CTTGCTGAGCACGTCCTCTCATTACAACTTCCAGACAGCCCTCTTTGATCTGTCTCATTCACTCACTCACCACTTTCGTCACTCACCGAGTCGCGATATACACCGTTCATTTCAACAGGTGCTCCGGTATCAGCACCCACACAGTCCCTACTCAGCTAGCAAGAGTCCCAGCGACCACTTTGATACCCGTCTCACATCACACAATCAACCACCATGAAGTTCTCCGCTGCCACTACTCTGGCTGCCCTACTGGGCGCCGCCTCGGCCGGCTCCAAGTCCGATGACAGAACCTTTGCCGTCCTCCGCTTCAACAACAAGCAGCTCGTCAAGACTCGTGTTGATCCCATCATCAACCCCGGAAATCCCGCGACCCACGTCCACGGCGTCATGGGAGGAAGCAACTTTGGCATGTCGGCCACTGGCGAGACTCTCTCGCAGTCCAAGTGCACCAACGCCATGATCAACGGCGACAACAGCGCCTACTGGTTCCCGTCTCTGTACTTCCAGGACCCCAAGACCAAGGAGTTTGAGGCGGTCGATGTTTTCTACGTCAACGTCTACTACTTGTGAGTGTGATCGTCTCCTAGACTAGGTTCTATACTAAGACCGCCCAGCTTCGATGGCACCGACGATGAGATCAAGGCCTTCCCCAAGGGCTTGCAGATCTTCAGCGGTAATGCCTCCACTCGTGTTGCCCCCTCCTCCGGAGGCAAGCAGAACCTCGAGCCTGCGGACGGCCCGATCCAGCCTGTTCAGTGGACTTGCCCTAGATCCAACTATAACCCGCCGTCGTACCCCGCCAACTCTGACGGCACCACCGCCGGCATTGTCGATCCCAACAACGACGGCTCCGGAGTCGGTTTCCCCGACCAGAACTGCGACGGCTACGCTTCCCCTCTTCGCGCCGACGTCCACATGCCTTCCTGCTACAACCCCAAAGCCGCCCTGACCGACTACGAGAGCATGGCCTGGCCCTCCAACAAGGGCGCGTCTAACAGCCGCCGCAAGAACTGCCCTGCCGGATGGATCCACGTCCCTCACATGTTCTTCGAGGTCTACTGGGACACTCCCAAGTTTGCCAGCCGCTGGACTCCCGGCCAGGGATCCCAGCCGTTTGTCCTCTCCAACGGCGATGCCTCTGGCTACAGTCTCCATGCCGACTTTATCGCTGCTTGGGATGAGACCGTTCTTCAGCAAATCATTGACAACTGCAACGCCGGCTCTTCTGGCATGGATAAGTGCCCCGGTCTTCTCAAGGGCCTCAACACCGACAAGGACTGCACGATTTCCTCGCCCGTCGACGAAGTTGTCGATGGTCTCATGAGCAAGCTTCCCGGTGACAACCTCCTCAGCGGCTTCTCCTACGGCTCTATCGTCGGCAGTGGCAGCGGCAGCGGCAGTGGTTCTGTCGTCAAGCCTTCTGGTTCGTCCGCCTCGTCTGCTGCGACCGCTGCTTCTGCCAAGCCCTCTCCCGTCCAGCCTTCTGCCAGCAAGGCCGCCACTTCTGGCTACGTCAGCCAGGAGGAAGTTCCCAAGACATCCGCTGTTGTCTCTTCTGAGCTTCCCATCCAGGTCGCCCCTGAGAAGGCCAGCACCACCAACGCCGCCGAGCCGTCCAAGGCTGCCGAGCCGTCCAAGGCTGCCGAGCCGTCCAAGGCTGCCGAGCCGTCCAAGGCTGCCGAGCCGTCCAAGGCTGCCGAGCCGTCCAAGGCTGCCGAGACGTCTGCCGCCGCCGCCGTCCCTACCACCAACGCCGTCGTGCCCAAGCCCTCGGCATCTTCATGCTCCCGCAAGACCAGGACCGTCTACAAGACTGTCACCGTCACTTCTCCCGCGGAGGAGTCCAAGGCCGCCGCAACCCCCGCCGGCTCGACCGACAACTACAAGGCCCGCCGCCACGTCCACGAGCACGAGCACCTCCACCGCCACCGCAGCAACCGCAACTAAGCGGCTTGTCCATCGAGCCTATGCGCGCCACCAGCCTTTGGGTTGCGCCTGTATCAATCTTTTCTTCGTTAGACATTCTAGGGCCGTGGCTGGGATGGGAGTTTGAGACGTTTTTTGGACAATGGGGCTCGGCGGGGTTGTTTGGAAAAGCATCCCCTTTCTTTGTGTGCGAGAATGCTCGCGCGAATTTCTTTTTTGATGATGATGATGATCAGTTACATACACACCTTTGAACCAGAGGAAGCAAAGCTTGGGGAACACGAGCAATCTCAAGGGCAACTGGATTCGCTTCTTGTTTGTACCTTGGAACACATACATTTCGATTCTTACACGGGTCTCTACAGAAGAGGCACCGCATTTGGGAAGGGGTTTTGAGAAGTGGTTATTTGGTAGTCAGTTAGACAATTGAGCCAACTTGCCGCCACTGACGATTGAGCTGTGTGAGGAGCTTTGGAGCCTGTCGGTTGTCTAGGTGGACGTTGGGGCCCACCAAATTGGCGTCTGGACGTCGAAATAAGGTTATTTCGTCCACGCGAAACAAATCCACCACATAACTGCATTGCCAAATCCATGATCCAGATGCCGACTCAAAAGTTAATTAATTCAAGTCACAGTGACCATTTCCGGGTGAAGCAAGGGACACATCGAGACAAGTGCGTGTCTGGCAGTCTCAATTGGCCAAGCAATCAACGCGTCCGTCCACTGCCGCCGGTCCCCACAAATTCTCCGAACCAGCGGTGCCCACTGTAGAAATTTCTCTTCACCTCACCCGCCGATATCCCCACAGCCGCACACCGAGACGGCTGCGGTGACCAACGTCAATACATACGGATTGCCGGCACCATGTCGCTGTATCACGAGGCTGCCGACATTCTCACGGCGAGCTCCGACCATGGCGGCAGCTTGAAGAGCCGCGTGTTTGGCAAAAAGGGTCTCAAGTCGCCGCCGGCGCAGGTCTACGCCCTCGCACTGGAGACGTGCAAGTGGAGTGCAATCTTGAAGGAGGTCATCGAGGCGGCGGACATTCTGCGCCATGAGCGCAAGGTGAGCCTACTGCATTCTACAGTCGTTGAATACCGCTGACTGTGCAGCTCACACCTATACTGGCGCTACTGCTGGTGCACGACTTCCTCCTGGCCAAGAAGGGTATCGCGCTGCCCCAGTCTCACGGTTTCAGGACAACCATTGAGCGGCACAAGACGAGACTGACCTCTGAGCTCACGCGCGCCCGTTTGAGGAGGAAGATGTCGTCGTTGGAACTGCTGCGGGCCGACGTCAACGCCAACACGGACCCCGAAGGAAGACACCCTCGATGGATCAGGGTCAACGTGCTCAAGAGTAATGTGGAGGACCAACTTGAGACCACCTTCAAGGGGTACGAGAGGGCGCTTTCCATCGAGGCCGTGACGCAGGCAACGGGCAAGGCCATCTTTATCGACAGTCACATCCCCTTCCTCCTCGCAGCATCACCCGGCACGGATGTGACCAAGACGCAGGCCTACCTCAAGGGCGAGATCATTCTGCAGGACAAGGCATCCTGCTTTCCAGCGTATCTCCTGGACCCGCACTCGGAGGACGGCGACGTTATCGATTCGTGTGCGGCACCGGGGAACAAGACAACGCACCTCGCAGCGATTGTCAAGTCGCATGAACCCGAGCAGGGAGCCCAAAAGCAGACCATCTTTGCGTTCGAGAGGGACTCCAAGAGGGCTCAGACGCTGGAAAAGATGGTCAGGATTGCTGGCAGTCGGGGCATGACCAAGATCGGTCCTGGCCAAGACTTTTTAGATGTTGATCCCAAGTCCGACACGTACAAGGACGTCGGGGCCCTGCTGCTGGACCCCAGCTGCTCTGGCAGCGGTATCGTAGGACGTGATTCGATGCCGGAGCTGCATCTCCCAGAGGTTCCTGGCCCGCCTGGATCCAAGAGCGCAAAGGGAAAGCCGTCAAAACAGGACGACCGCAAGCGCAAGCGGGACGAAAAGGAGGAGCCCGGCGCGGTGATGGTCGATGACGACGGCAACACGGTCGAGGTTCAGTCGGAGCAGGAGCTGCAAAAGCGCCTAGACGCGTTAGCCGGCTTCCAGTTGACGCTTCTGCTTCACGCCATGAAGTTTTCCGCAGCCAAGAAGATTACCTATTCAACCTGCTCGATACACGCAGAGGAGAACGAGGGCGTCGTGATCAAGGCCCTCGCGTCACGCGTTGCAAAAGAGCGCGGATGGAAAATTCTACCGAGGCAGAAGCAGGTCCGCGGTATGCGGGAGTGGCCCGTCCGTGGACTCCCCGAGGCGGCCGGAGGTGATGAGACCGTGGCGGAAGCGTGTATACGGACATACAAGGGCGACGGCCACGGCGTGATGGGGTTCTTCGTTGCCGCGTTTGCGAGAGAGGAGGCGATCGACGAGGATGGCCCGTACTTGAGAGACGACGACGGACGGATCATGAGGGATATGGCCGGGATGCCGGTGCTCAAGAGTACAGGGAAGCCTGTGGTATTGGAGGCGGCGACTGTGAGCGCGCCGGAGGAGGAGGCTTCAAGCGAGGATTCATCTGAAGAGAGCGAGGACGAAAGCGACGAGGGCAGCGACGAGGATGAGTGGAATGGATTTGACTAGATTAGCTCTATGGGAGAGAGTCGATGCTTGGGAAGAACTCGCCAGTCCACTGTAGGCCTTCGTACCTGCCACGCCGTGTTTACTTCGACGTGCTCCTTCCTCCCCGAGGGACGACCTATCGCCAGGAAAGCGGGTCCTCAGCCCTTCCTTCCCTACTCGGTCTTTCCAACTTGTGTGCGTTTTGCTTCTCCCAGCCTCGAGGAATCTGCCTTCTTCCCTTTTGTCCGTTGCCTCGTTCAGCCCTTTCCGACTTCTACCCTCCACCTCGCTCGCCCATTCTGCCTTTCCAGGTCGTCCATTCCCCTACCTCGGCGACCTGGGTCCCTCGCTCGACTATCCCACCTTCCCATTATCCATTCCACGCCGGTGACCTCCATATTTCGTTCAACAATCCCGCCTTCTCAGCTTGCATCTTCCCGACCATCTCGCTCCACCATGGCTTCTCAAACGAAGAATGTCAAGTAGGTACGACTCGGCAAAGGATGGAGGCAATGAGCTAACGTCTTTAGAAAACTCGCCATGGCCTCACAGCCACAGGTCCTTTCCATCGAGAAGCACGTTCTTCCCTTTTCAAAACCATTCAAGGACTGGAGGCCCTCCCCGCTGCCATCCATACGCCTTCCCGCGCCGTCCGAGTCTTCTAAGCGCCAGTCGATCGTGTTTGCGACCTTCAGCGGCGTCAGCACACGTTCGTGCGTTGTGGACTTTGAGCTATCTCCCGATGGACCTTTGGATGCGAGTATGATACCCAATGGCTACGCCGTCTTTGAGGTCATTGGGGGTTCTCCGAAGAAGAAGCAGAGGTTCCAGGTCCACAAGCAGACAGTCTACAATGCTTCAGCTCATTGGGCATGGAACTTTGACGAGTTCCCCAACCAGCGAATTTGGCCCATCAACGAACGACCTACACTCATACGCGATCTCATGTCGATTCTCCACGCTGGATTCTTGCCGCGGGGTTCACGCAGAAGTTGCCAGGATATTCTCGCCCTGTGCTACCTTGCCCGGGTGTACTTGATCATGGGCAGTGTGAGAAGAGTCCTGGACGCTTTACTGCACGCCAGCACTGCCATGACCAATCAAGAGTTATGGTACATGGTGCTCGCGGCGCAACCGCTGTGCTGCGATAACCAGAGGATTGGTGAGCTTGCATACAACATCTTGGTCTGGCGGCAAGAGGGTTCATTCTACCCTCTCCGCGAGTTTCAATTCCTGGACGGTGGTCACATGTTCCACTATGAAGAGAGCGAAATCATAGGTGAGACTATTACTACATTCATGCAGTATTTTTGCTAATGCCACCAGCGAACATGGACGAGCTTCGACATTCACTCACCCTTCAGCTTTGTGAGGTGGCCGTTGTTGTCGACAAGAAGCTTTTGCGGAACATGTTCCTAGGCTCAAACAAAGATCGGCCTCTGTGGGACAAACTCACGTATCTGCAGCACTTTGTGTATCTGAAGTTCCCCAAACTTCCACTTGGAAGCGAAGAGTGGTCCTATGAGGCTGTCCTCACCCAAGAGTCCCTCGAGATGGCTGTCGTCAGGGATGATGATCCTGGTCTAAGACTCCTTGCTCTGTGTTCAAAGGATCTCTGGGCCTTGCTACGGGACATTTGGCCTCACATTGCCAAAATTTCCAACGAATACGTCCTCGGTGCAACGAGCTGCGTCAAGTTTCCCTTGCCTCGGGAGCTTCATCTTGATCACCACTGTCCTTGATGAGGACACATTGTTAGGACGCTATTCTTGCAGACTCTGTCTCCAATCCCCCCTGGCATGAAGAACAAAGAGAACAAGGGCATGAATGTTGGATCACTGTTAATTATTGTACGGTTATTGGGAACGGCGTTTGGATTGGGTTTTCTTCATAGCTGAGGCTAGGCTTGTAATAATGGAAAAAAGTACTGTAAAGTCGTCGTTCCCTGCAATATGACCTTGAACAAGCCTGGCCCTTGTCCAGGAGTCAATCCCTGTCGCCCATCAGACAGGGGTAACCGACGACATCCCACTATTTCATTTCTTCAATCTCATCCTCTCATCCTCCCAAAACCACAACGGAAAGACAAAATGGTTTCCCATTGGTTTTTGTGGATGCTCTTGGTGCCGCTGGTGTCTGCGGCGGGGCAGGATCAAGTCCCGCTCAGTACAGAGATGAGGCTGATTGCCTGTGAGTACATTTGACAATTGAACCAGACTTGTGCTAACAGTTTTAGGTGCCAAGGTAGGATGAAATCGAGAGGGCATGGCCATGTTGCTGACAGAAAGGTCCATGGTAGTCTGAAGATATCTCCAAGCACCTAGCGGCGGAATGGGAAGCAGCGCAATCCTCAACCGATTTCCCCATGGCCTGGACCAAAGACGCCGCCGACGCTCACTGCACAGACGCGCCAGCAACCGCCTACCCCTCCGTCAAGCTCCTCCGCGACGGCTCGCCGGTAGACTACCTGGGTCCTATTACAAGCGACGAGTACGTCTGCCTCCCTCCTCGCAGCAAAGCTAACACGTCTACAACCAGAATCCTACGCTTCATCAACCGCGCCCGGCGGCCTCACGTCTCCAGCGTCTCACCCGAGGAAGTCGAGTCCTTTGGCAACGACGACGCCTTTGTCTGCGTAGCTCACCTCGGCCCAGACGAGACGGCACTCCGACAGGCTTTTGAAGCCGTGGCGCGGAAGCACTGGGCCGAGTTCACCTTTGGCGTCGTCGATACGCTGACAACCACAGACACCTCCAGGGTTGTGTGCCGCAAACGCGACGACGAGAGCACGCACACGCGGACCGCGGCAGACGGGCTCGAGGGCTGGGTCCTGGACGTTTCGAGGCCCGTCATCGCGGAGCTGACGCTCTTGAACCACCAGCGATTCATCGACGTAGGTCTCCACAGCAAAAACACTCACCTAGATGATACTAACGAAGTACAGCGCGCCTGGCCAATCGTCTACATCTTCTCCCCCTCCCCGACAACCCGCGCCACAATCCGCGCAGACCTCCACGACTTTGCAAAGAAGCAGTACGCCTCCCTGACGCCCGTCACCGTCGACCCGAACCGCTTCCCCGACCTCCCCGCCAAGCTGGGCCTCGACGTCCCCGCGGAAGACGCGTACCCCGTCGGCGCGGTCCACCAAGTCTCCAACGGGAGGATCTATCCGTACCCCAAGGGCAAGGCTTTTACGCCGCGCGAGCTGCAGGGGTGGGGTCTGGACGTGTGGCAGGGACGAGTCAAGCCGTGGACGCCGCCCGGGCAGAAGGAGGCCGTCGGGGATAAGGCTGGGTCGGTGAAGAGCAACGTGAAGGTCGTGGGCTCGCATAATCTAAACGTCAAGAACATTCCGGGGCTGAAGATCAAGATTGGCGGGCGGGAGCGGGATGAACTGTAGCACGATTGATTGTGGGTGTCTTGACCTATTACTCTATGATTATACAGATGAGGGGGGTCTATCTGGTATCTAATGTAGGCTCCTGTGGCCTGTCTAGTATGCTCTAAAATGCCAAAAATAAAAATAAAAACTCCTTGTAAATGCTAACATCATGCCGTGACACGTGCCGCTCCGGGTATCATCGTCTATCCATGCTTCCATCTATTCCAGATACGTAGTGAAGAAATGTCGTCCAATGCGTCGTGCAGATACGCCGCATGGATTTTAAGCCTTTGGAGTCTCGGGCTCGCCCTGGACGGTCTGCTCGTCATCGGACAAGACACCGCCATCGACGGACTTGTTGCGCTCCTGCTCCTTCTCGTGCTCCTGCTCCTTCTCGTGCTCCTGCTCCTCGGCCATGGCCTCGTCCTCGTTGACCTCCTCGTGCGTCTTGCGCATGCGCTCCAGCACGGCGGCGGCCTCGGCGGCGAAGGCGCACTTTGCGCGGATGACGGGGCCGTACTTGTAAAAGAGGAAGGGGAAGGGCAGGCAGGCGAGGGCGAGGAAGGCCGGGATGGACGAGGCCCAGTGGATGCCGAGGTTCTCGTACATTTGCGTGGTGAAGAGGGGGAAGGCGGCACCAAAGAGGGAGCGCATGACCGAGTTGGCGGCCAGGACGGAGGCGGCGAAGATGACGTACGAGTCGATGAGGTAGTTGAGCAGACTCAAAAAGACGAGGACGAGACCCGCGGCGAAGAAGCCCGAGGCGATAATGGAGACGATCCAGTGGATCTCGGGGCCGTTTGTCCAGGCGAACCAGAAGAGGCCAATGGGGAGCAGGCAGGCGCCGACCATGGAGGGCGGGAGACGGGCCTCGGGCGGGGCGAAGCCGCCGTGAGCGGCCGAGACCTTGAGGTAGCGGCGGCTGTCGAAGCCGGTGTAGATGACGGCGAAGATCATGCCGACGGCGACACCGAGGAAGGCCAGGCCGCCGACGCCGGGGGACCAGCCGCGGCCGCGCTGGAAGACGATGGGGAAGGCGGCGAAGAGCATGTAGAGGGTGCCGTAGACGATGGCCATGTAGATGGAGGTCAGGAGAACGATGGGCTCCTTGAAGAGGAGGATCCAGGGGCGGGAGAGGGCGACCTTGAACTGCTGGGCGACGGTCTTGCGGGGCGCGTGGGCCTCGTACTTTGAAATGTAGTTCTTGCCCGTGATCTTGGCGAGCTTCTCGGCGCGGCGGCGGAGGAGGACGGGCGCGTACGTCTCGGGGACGGTCAGGCCGACGACGATGAGGAGGATGCCGGTGAAGATGGCCATGAGGCCCTCGATCCAGCGCCAGCCTTCAGCGACGCCGAGGAAACCACCAACAATGGGGCCTACTTTGTTAGCTGGGAACGTATGTACTGGGACAAAAAGGACATACCGATAGACGGCCCAAGGAAAGGGGCGGCGGCAAAGATGGCCGTGGCCAGGCCGCGCTCGTTAGCGTTGAACATGTCGGCAATGACACCGCCGGCGTTGGTCATGGGCGAGGCACCAAACGTGCCGGCGAAGAAGCGCAGAATGATGAGCGTCTCAATGTTTTGGGCCCCGGCGGCACCGGCGTTGAAGGCAGTGAGGGCGATGTAGGTGGCGATGAAGAGGTACTGACGTCCGTACAGCTCAGACAGGGGCGCCCACATGAGGGGACCGACGGCGAAGCCAACGACAAAGAGAGAAACACCCAGGATACCAATCTCGGTCGACACCTTGAAGTCGCGAATGACCTCGGCGATACCACCAGAGTAGGCCGTGCTCACAAAGGCGACGGCCAGGGTGGCGAGGGCCTGCTCGATGGTGTACGTCCACTTCTTCCACTTGGGGAAGGTCTGGGGGTTGTGGGCATCATCGGGGAGGAAGTCGACGACGTAGGGGGCCTCGTCGGTGCCCTGTCCGGGGTATTTGCGTTCGAGAACGGCCTCTGTCACGCCGGCCTGGTCGAAGAGGAGGTAGAAGTAGTTGGCCTTGTTCACGGGCTTCTGGGCCTCGACATCAGCCTCGGTCGCCGTGATGGACGATGATGATGAGTGCGGCGCTGACGCCATGGCTGTTGTCTAATAAGCTTATTCTGCTGGACTGTGCTTGGATGACGATCGTCGGCGCTGAAGTCTAGGTCGGATGAGCGAGAGATCTGATCTGGTACCCGGAGACTTGGGACGGCCCATCGTCTATATACTGCCACGACTGCGTAGGCCGGGCGTGGCCTTGGGTGGAGATTTCCAATGTGATTTCCATCCCCTTCGTCGGTGCCCGTATCAACACACACCCATCTCCATCGACCAGGGGGTGTGGTGATGATCCACCGGTGCAAGCCCACCCGGGCGGTTTGTCTTCCGCACGCACATTTCCATGACTATCGGTCGTTGGACGGGGACAAACCAGCGGAGGGTCACTTATCTCCGGGTCGGTTTAGTGCCCGATGCTGCGTTGCAGTCAGTCTGATACCTAGCGGTATCTGACAGGAGTCACAAGACGGGATTGGGCCAGCAACTGCACGGTTTTGGCTTTGTCAGATATGCGATGGCATGCAGGGAATGGACGAACGCAGGACGAACGCAAGCTGAGGTTTGCAAAGTAGATCTCGACGGAGCAGAGGTTTTCTTCTTTCCTCCGTCCGTTTTTTCCCAGGCACGTACCCGCTTGCGCCGCATGCACGGCGGAATGACGTGGTTTAGCGAAACCAAGGGACGGCCACACCGGGCCTAGTACGCCGAGGCAACGTGCCAGAGACGATATTTCATGGGCTGGCGGCTCGCTAACGGGGACCCACCGGCCGGGATGTCGGCGGACCTGGCCACCGTGCCGAGGTGCAACCCCTTCCAACTCCAACGGATTTCGACACCACTGGCTTGAGTCCTTGACTATTCCCCCCCTATTTTCTCATTACAAAGCCGTGAGACAGGACCTTTCGGACTTTGCTTAACTTCGTCTCACCCCCCCTTGAACGAACGCGCACGCACTCGCAGTCGGATTACTGCGAGGATACCGACTCTTTTTAATATGTTTGACTGAATCATGGCATGGGGTTCACCATCGTTGGCTACCAACACCGTCCGAACGGCATCCCACCAACATACGATGCAGGTGCAGCTGTGCAAGCAAACTACATGACGGATGAACTAATAACCAGGGGCTTATCGTCTGTTGGCGCTACGCTCTACGGACCTCCCAGATCTGGACATCCGGTGATAAGAGGGTGCGAGTCGATTCGAGCAGTGTCAGACGTGCATCGGCCGAGCGACGATCAACAACAATACGAATATCACATCTTTTATTCGAGTACGGAGTAGGGCTGTTCTTTTGATCGAGGCTCTGAGTCTAACTTACTCATATTATTCGGAGCCGGCCCACTACCCATCGGGACCGAATCTACACGCAGTTGTGGCGTCCGGGAGGGCCCCTGCATGTCTGGCCTGCTTGGCTCCCGAGCCGTCGGCTCTTGCGAAAATCTGTAAAATTGCTTGATTGTCTGGACCGCCGCATCCCTCTTCCGGACTGGTCAGCCCATCAAATCTGGGTCTCAAAAGGCCATGCGAGAGTCCCATTCGATCGTGCCGTCACAGATCCACCTCTGCTTATCAACACGACCTCGGAACTCGAGACTTAGCAGAGGCGCACTTTTTCAGTCTTTGTTTTTACGGCGGATGCAGCCACGGCCTTTGACCGAGCGGCTGGCAAATCACCGAACGCGAGCCTCGGCTGTCACTTGTATGGCCCGCGGTGTCGAAAATAAACTCGAATTTGAATGTCACCCTGCCTAACCCATGCAATTAGTCCCGCTGAGGCTAAACGACGATCGATGAAAGGAACAATGAAAAGAATCTAGAACGGCGTCCGTGCTGCTCACGTCCACCTCAGTCTCGTCCTCGCCGTGCATCCGCAAGCCGTATGCCCCCGCGAGCCTTGAAGTGCCTCATAAAGTCCGAACTGGGCCCGGCAGCGCGACGGCTCCGGTCCACCAAGACCAACCCTTCGGCGAATTTTGTCGTCTCCTTGAGACTGGCCCCGAACAACTTCATCAGCTCCGGCCACGCGTCAAAGTGCTCAACCGAATCGACCTTGATCTCGACGAGCCGGAGTTGGTTACCCGTCGAAATGATGGGCAAGAGGTGCATCAGCAACGACGTCTTCAGGTCCTGTCTCTCCTTTTCGAGGAGATCTGTCATTCGTCAGTCAGAACACCCACAATGAAGCACTCGACTTACAGCACATCCGCAGCGCAAACTCGATATCTACCACGTCCTCCGCGTCCACCAATTGTATGTACGGAACCGTGTGGTTCCAGACTAGCATGCGGGTAATCTTCTCAAACGATTTGGCCTCGTTGAGCAGGCCCGCCGCCAGGCCCAGCCTCCACAGGTCGCCGACGGTCAAGTGGTCAATCGACGGCTCGTGGTAGTGCAGCATGGTTTGCGACGCATACTTGAGCGCGTCAATCAGGTCGTACTTGTCGGCGACGACCGCCACCTCGAGGATCGAGTCCGCTGCCGCGATCTGGCACACGCGTGAGTTCTGGTGGTGCAGGATGTTGAGGATCAGCTCCATGATCTCGGGGTCCTCGTCCGGGAGGCTGATCTTGACGGGCTCCGATCCCCGGTCCAGCAGCTTCTGTCCCTCGGAGAAGCGCGGCCCCAGCATCGCGCCAAATACCCTCGACGCCCGCTTCAGTATGAGTGAGTCTACGCGCAGCTCTGTCGTCTCCTCGCCGATCCCCACGACGAGGATCACATCGCCGTCCGGCACGACGGGCACGCCGCTGTAGTTGCGCGACCACATCCGCGCCGCGAAGCTCGCGGGCGAGCGCACCTCGAAGAACTTTTCCTGTGTCGTCTTGTCGATCGCCATGTGCTTGCTGAGTGGTTGGTCCATTGTCGGTGGTCAAGTGTGAAGAGGATTATTTTTTTTCGTCCCCGACTCTGATACATATTTTCCCCCATCGCCACCGTTTATTTAGCCTTTCCCCTCAAACGTAGCTCCTTGTGGAGAGTCAGTTTGGTGGTGTCGTGCCGGGAACATCCAGGCCCCTCAGGCTCGGATGAGACGCCCGGCGCAAACGAGATGGCCTTGGTGGTGTTTCCCCCGACTCAGCTTGCAGGCAGTGAGGTGAATGGCGTCAGAGCCGAGGCTGCTTTTGGGCGATTGAGTCTCGAGCTTGGCCGGGTTTCCCTAGCGGGACGGCGCGTGGCCTATGCGGGATGAGGCTGCCCCCTCACGTCTTCGCCTTTCCACAGGGCATAGGAGTCCTGACTGCCGACGCGAGCCTTATTGGGCTTGTTGAAACTTTGAATGTGCATTCAGCTCGTGGGCCCAGTCTTCTGTTTCGGGGTTTATCTGGCTGTCGAGCCTCGTGAGAGTCGTTTGATAGAAACGTCTTCGGCGAGAGCGAGGAGGTGGTGGCTCGAGCTCATTGGGAGGGGCAATGATGTCGGCCTTGGCCAGCAAACAAGATCAACACAAAGGACTGGTTCGAGTGGCTCAGCTGAGTTCTTTCGGTGAGTAAGTGGTCATACCCAGTCGAATCTGCTGGGGGTGGCTTAGGGAGGGCTCTGTGATATTGATCAAAGTCAATTCGACTGCGGCTGATCATGCGTCGGCAGTCAGCATTGCTATCACGGGGGCATGTGTTGGTTGAGGCGGCGGATGTCGTCCGATCTCTAGGTGGTCGGATGGCTGACGTTGGTGGTCATGGCCTGTTTGGGAGACGACGGCGGAACATGCCGCAATAAAGCCTTGGATCTGAATAAACACTAGATTTTAGATCATGGCGATGAAGGACCTACATGTCGTGATTATGCGTCGTTCAGGCTCTCTATTCCGTCCTTCCATCAGTATTACTTTGAAGAAAGACAACCGAAGTCGTGAAAAGATAGATATCAGAAATCAGATGGCAGGCAGAGAGACCGAGCCAAGATCAGGAAGGCTGTGATAAGGCCAAGGAGGGCGACTAAGGAGATGATTGGATTTGTCAATTACCATACGGCTGCCCTGGCGCTAGTGAGGCTTTGTCAAGGTTCTCGACAATATTGATCGTGTGCAAGCCCGTCATGTTTTGTTTCTTTTTCTGCTCGATGTATCAAAGTGGCTGACTTGAGCTCAGGCCGGTTCTTGAGGAGGGAAGGTACGTCCCAATTCAGTTTGTCAGGGAAGAGGCCCACTTGGTAAACTAGGAAGGCGCACATCAATAACCATCCAATGTAAGTTGCCTCTTTAAAGGCAGGCACCCTTAGGAATTTGGAAGGAAGGAGGGCGACTGCCCTTGCGCTGAGAGCACTTTCCTATCCACCCCTTTCCCTGGCCTCTTAACACACCTGATACATGTTGGTGTTGGAGTCCTCTTTCCACGCAACCTACCAGTGCCCATGGAGAACAATCAGCCGATGCTTGACAAAACGGGGGATGAAGAAGCAACAATGGACGCGACCTATCAGAAACGACTTGACGATGCGGAGACCGAGCTGGCATCGAACGCTGATACAATGCAAAATTTCCGCCGTAAGATCCAACAGTTGGAAGAATCATTGACAAATACCGAGACGAAGTTGGAAACGGAGAAGCGCCTACGAGAGCTTGCAGAGCAGCGCGAGACCGCGGCAGAGGCATTCAAGAATACAATGATTGAAAACCACAGTATTGAAATGAAAAGGCTCAACGCAGCGTTGGATGATAAAAAGAAGGAATCGTGTGAAGCACACTGCAAAGTTGGGATACTAGAGAGGAAATTATTCAACGATATCGTCAACTTCAATCACTATGTGGAAAAGGGGGAGCGGGACATGGCTACGATCAAGAACAAGCTCGAAACGGCCAACGGCCAGACGCAGCACCTCATCGGAGTGCTACAGGGGGTGAAGGACGAGTTGGAGAAGCAGAAGCAAGGAGCAGTCGTCTTGCAGAATCAGTTGGTCTCAGCTGGAGCAGAAGCAGAGAAGGCCAAGCAGGATATACAGGAGCTACAACAGTCAAAGTCGACACTAGAGTCAACGACCAAGTCTCTCACGGACGACAAGCTTGAGGCGTCAAAGAAGACTGAGGCTTTGAAAGCCGACCTCGACGCGCAGACCATCAAAGTCGGCGAACTGACGTCGAGTTTGAACGAGGTCCGGACCTCGCGTAATAACCTGGAGTGGAGCTTAAGAGAGTACAAAGAAAAGTTGGCATCAAGCGAAGAGTTGACCTCGATGCTTACGAATCAGCTTGGCGACATTCGTAGACAGTCCAATGAGACAATCCTGCTACGAGAGAATGAAGTGGAAGCAGCAAAAAAGGCCTCACAAGCGACAGAGACGAGGCATCAAGAGAAGATCCGCGTACTCGAAGTAAAGGCCAACGCCCTGCGGACCACAGAAGCGAACGAAAAGCACAAGATCAGCATCCTTGAAACAGATGCCAGCAAGCTGAAGGCTACAGGAACTGAGGACAAGCAGAAGATTCACACGCTTGAGGCACAGGTCAACGACCTACAGACCGCAGAAACGAACAACACAAGATCAGCACTCTCGAGACAGACGTCAGCAACCTGAAGGTCATAGAGACTGTGGACAAGCAGAAGATCCACACTCTCGAGGCACAGGTCAATGACTTGCAGGCCACAAAGACCGAGGACAAGCAGACGATCCACAATCTAGAGGGACGGTTCAATGCCCTGGAGGATTCTCACACTACTACGAAGACGCGACTATCCGAATTTCTCAGCGAGGCAGGTCCTGGTTTCTCTAGTGCAATCGTCGCGGGCGGATTGGAAAGCGCGACGGTGGAGTACGAGCCGTTGCTGATCTGTCAGAACTGGAACGGCAACGCCGAGGAGCCGGACCTCTCAACTCAAAGCACGGTCAGCCTCATTGCTGCCGTCTTTTCGGTATTTGACAAACCAGAGTGGGACGACCGCTACGTCGGCGCCTTGATGAGACGACTCACGGAGTGTCTGGGTGAGGTCAGCGACGTCTACCCCCAGGTGATGAGGTTGCTGGTCGAAAGATGTACTGAACGCATCACTGAGACGATTCCTAAGGGGGATCGGCAGCAGATACTGGTGACACAGCTTTCTGCGGTAGCCGACGTGCTCGCCATGCGATGGCCGAGCCTGCAGGACCTCGCTCCGGCACCCGACAGCATACTTGCCGAGATGAAGGCTCACTGCTCAGATGATGCCCCCAAACCGTGGCGAAATGTGACAGAGGTGGCACCACTTCTCAATGCCGATGATGCATCAGTCCAATGGTGGACTAGCTATCATGCAATTGGTCCTTCGCCTTGACAACGTCGATGTGATCAAGGCCAGTGCATGGGAAAAGGCAATTGTCTGGCTTTGTGGGTCGAAACGGTTCTGGTTCGTGGAGGCCAACGGCCAGAAGGAAATAGACTGTTCCTTTGTGGGCCTCATGGCCCCAACGGGGTTGGATAAAGACAACATCATCATCGAAGTGGACGGCAGCGACGCGGCATGGGATTAGTGGATGATGGTGGGCTGGCTGGAAGTGACTGAGGGGGAAGTCATTGAGGGAGAAGTGGCATAAGAAGCCCAAACTGGGCATGAGCAGATAAAGAAAGATCTGACTGCAAATAGCAACGCTCCTTGAGGCAACGCCTGTGGAGCAAAGTTCATGCCTATTGCTGATTGCCGCCTCTGCCTTTGACCTTATGTCCGTATAAAAACTTGCGCTCGCCATCCTTCTCGAAGCACTTGACCGGGAAGCATCGCTTTCCAGGTTCGCTGTGTCGAGGACATCTGCGTCTCTTACCCCTAAGAGTCGTAGGTATTTGGCACTCTCCCTACTCCGAGACTTGACTAAAGCAGTGAACGACATCCATCTCGGCTTGTTCAATAAGGGCCTGGACCCCGTCTCTTAAATCGCACTGACCTGACTATCTAAGAGCTTGCTCAAGGTGGTGATGCTTTTGTACTCTTTGAATCTACCTTGGTAAACAAAAGAGTGAAGAAATATGCCCCCCCCCCCCCCCAAAGAAACTCTCTCCTAACGAACGCAGAAGCGGAAACGAAGAGAGCAATAAGCGAGACCAAATCTGACGGAGACACTGGCCCGGCGAGATTAAGATCTCGTACGGCGAGGCAGAGGATCGAGCTTCGCGAGCTCAAACACCTGATCCACGAGCGTTTGACCTAGGGCAACGATGGTGATAATGCCAGCGACGATGACTTCAGTTATGCTGACGAAGGCGACACTAATCAAAGTAGTGTCGCTACAGCTAAATATATCAGTACAAAACTCTTCAAATCTGACACATGGGACTCTGAACAGATGATGAACGTCTGTGCAAATTGAAACCACGTCGGCCATGTGTCCTCCATCTTGTTGTGTGGACAGTCCACACGTCCTGTAGCAGTGATCCCGACATGACCACTGACCACATGGAGGCGCTCTTTACATATCCCAGCCACCATCCGCTCCTCATCGCTTAAATCAGAGAACCATGTGCAGTTTCCGTCCACGAGGGTACAGGAATGAATCGCTAGGGAATCGAACCCTACCCGTAGATTGCTCTAGGGCCGCCAGGATGACTTTAGGACTGCGGTCCAAGGATTTTCAACCCTTAGGCTTTCGCCTAGCAAGAAGATTAACTTCAGACTTCCGCCTAGCAGAACAGAGAAAAAAGGCTTTTGCCTGGGAATGAATCATGCTGGAGAGAATAGGCCTCGGTCGAGTACTCGACTGGTTGGCAGCAAAGTCGGCGCCTCCGGACTGGCGTCGAGATGGTGAAGGAGCGGCGAGAGTTTCCTCACCAACGTTGTCTAGCAGCAGCATCAGAAGCGACAGCACCGGCGTTTCCATATCTCTCCCATCTGATGCGGATCTCATTGAGGAAGAATCTTCCGACATGCACATGCGATCGCCATCAGTTGTAGCCTTCATCTCGTCCTGGAGAAAAGCCAAGAGTCTTTCCATCGTGCCGAAGCGGAATTGCTCAGCAGAGGCTGTGGCCGATGCTGGCAGGACGGGAGGCACTGGTGCTGCTGTAGTAGCGGTTGTGGTGGACGGCGATGGAACAGGAAGGTTGAGTTGTGGTCGAGATGTTGCCACGGCGCCGGCGAACGCATTGGTATTGACAGTGTTGCGTCCGACAGCAGCCTGTAAAGCCTGAATTGCTATTAGGAAAGCATTTCATATCGAGGGGAAGTTGACCTACCAGGTTCCTGCCTCTGTCTACCTTGACACTCAGCTCGCATGGGCCTCCTCGTGCTGGGTAAATGACTCCTTTGAGGTTTCGTCCAGCTCCGTGGCAGTCGATCCGCTCCGCGAACGAAATGAACACTTATCCATGATGACTCGACGGGAGACTCTGTCGGGGATCCTTCGAGGGCGGCCAGTGGAAGTTGGCAGAGTCCGGCTTGTTGAGCTTCGACTTGAGGAAGGCCTCGACTTGGTTCCTGGTCTCTGCAAAAGGTAAACCCTTGACCATGAGAAGCTTTCTGTTCTTGCGGCGAGGAGCAAGAGTGCCATCGAATCTCTCCTGGTCGTTCTTGGTATTGGCCTCGATGCCGCTGCGACTGTTGGATGCCATGCTGTGACGCGGGTCAATCACTGAAGGAGTTTGCCATTCGTCGCACTTACTTGGGTAGTCTAGCTGGATGTGCTTTTTTTCCGTTCGTTGATGTTGTTGGAATATTTTCAGGGAGGTTGAAGAGGAAGAAATCAGATGCGTTGGTGTAAGGTAGGTATGTGGATAGGAAAAGGAAGGCATGGTCAGGTGAGGAAGGTACATGAGGCAGGTACGTTCGCAAGGCATCTTCAAGGTAAGGTTGTGCTTCTTAAGCCATCCCGTCTTACCAAGTACCTTAGGTAGCGCAATAATTGACCGCTTAATACCTACCTTGGCTTTCTTTCACTTGTTCCTATTCCTGCTATTACTCCTACTATGACTGCTGCTATTACTGAGTGCCTACATAGGTGGCTCGAAGTCTACGGTATAGGAATACCACTCAATACGTCGAAATCGCCCTAGCTCTCAGCCGGGCTCCCTTCTTCCAGACAAGAATGGGAAGGGGAACGGCAAGCATTGCGCCCACCAGGGCCATCAAACTATTGGCCCAGCCGTATCCGAGTGCGTGATACATGCTCGGGGCAAACAGCGGGAACAAGAAAGCAGTCAAGCTCTTGGCAAACTGAATCGCTGCCATGGCACTGCTAGTATGCTCTGCGTATGCGTCGATCACATAGGCCGTCACTAGTAACTCGTCAGCCATGTCACCAATCGATCAAATCAGACTTACTAGGCATTCCACTTAGCTGCATGCCAAACATCATGACGACAACTCCGACATCGACGATCAGCCAGTAGAGGCGATACTGTGCTGTCCAGCCGTAGAACAGAGTACCCAGCCAGGCCGGAACAATACCAAAGAATGCGAGCATGACTCGAGACTCTGGTGTAGGTTGGTCTCGACGCTTGTACAAGCGGTCCATCATCAGCCCACCAAATTGGGATCCAACAAGCTCGCCAAATGAGCAGGCTATGTAGTGCAGTCCGCTAATCTCCACAGACTGGCCGTATTGTTGTTTCCAGATGTCTGCAAAGGTCGACAGTGTGACATATAAGATACCGTAGTTGAACCCTGACAGGAAGGCCGACACCTGAATGATGGGATGGAAGAGCAGCAGTCGAAGCGGTCGTGTGAGGGAGTTTCTGATGACCGCCAAAGTGGACTTGCCAGCGTCTATTCTCTCGCTGAACGTGTAGTATCTCGTATCGCCGGTTTCCTTGCGGAGACAAGCAGCCCGCCGGCGTAGGATGAGCGGAGCGTAGCACTCTGGGAAGCTGAAGAAGGAGACGACTATCATGACGGCTTGGAACATGGAAGTGGACCAGAACATCCATCGCCATGTCGTACGCGCCGCGATGAAGCCGCCAATGATTGGGCCTGGAAGGGGTTAGCATGGTTGGGTGCAAAGCTCGGCCACCTCACCAACGGCTGCGCCCAGCAGAGGTATGAGAAGATAGAACCCAAGAGACTGGCCTCTCTGCTCAGGGCGCCAGATGTCGCCAAGCACTCCACCTCCGAGGGCATAGATAGAACTGGCGCCGAAGCCAGCCAGAAAGCGAGCAGCAATGAGCGTTCCCTTGGTGTTTGCGAACCCACAGAGCACGTTCCAGATTAGAAACCACACGCTCGAGGTATGGAGGACGACCTGCCGACCGTAGATCTCGGACATTGGTCCCATTACGAGGGGCCCAAAGGCGGTGGCGAGGAGGTAGATGGACAACGCCATGGCGGACTCGGTGGAGGTCATGTCGAGCTCCGCCGCGATGTTTGTCAGGGCGGGCGCCATGATTGTTGAAACCATGATGCGATTGAACCCCGTGGCCGAGAGCACGTCGGTGACCATCCACTTTCGACCCGCGGGCCAGTCGAGAGGATTCTCGGCGTCATGCGGCTGTGCAAAGGTAACCAGGAAAGGGTCCGCGTCTTTTGACGAGGTGGGGCCTGTCGGAGCGGGGGCAGTCGCGACCGGTGCGGGGTCCGGAATGGGAGCCAACTCCAAGTCGGCTGACGTCGATGCCACCGAGACTACACCACAGCCGTGCTGAGATGAGTTCGCCATGGCAGGTAATGTGTGTCTGGGGAAAGTGTTGAGTGAGTTCTGGTTCAATGATAATGACACACTGGAAATCAAACGACAGTCGTCTGATGGCCTGTTTCTGCAGCCTGAGGGGATACGATCAAGCAATGCGCAAACGAGGCTATTCGAAGCAGGAGAAGTGAACAACCAGAAGGAGTCATCCGTCTTTTCTATATGACAGTGTTGCTCGGTTTCTGGCTGACAAACCTCGGAAATAAGAGGTGAGGTCGGATGTGCGATCCGCCGACCTACCTTACTCAAACAAGATGCGCTAAAGCAGGCAGCAGCAGGTACTACTTCAAGCGAGAAACAAGCCATCACTCTTGCAATGCACCATTCTTGGGTTCCTACCGACACAACAACATTGCCTTACTTTGCAGGCTCACCAAAACTGGTGCGCCCAGAGTGTAAGGTCCAAATGCAGAGACCACCGCGTGTCGATGCTGAGGACTTGGAATACTCCGTACACCCACCGTCATTGTCGGCCCCATTTTCCCGTGCCAAGCCGGCCCCAGGCCTGACTTCTTGACTACCTGCTTCCCCGGGTGATGGCTGTGACGAACGAATTCGTTGCGCAAATAAGGTAACTTACATTGGCGCGAAGGCCTAGTTGTGAAAGTGATGTATTCGTAACTCGCTCATCTGTAGGTTGGACGCAAGCATTAAATGATCATTGTGTAGGCGTCACATTGCGTCAATCGTGCCATCATATCCTGCATTAAATTCAGGTCATGCGTACCTCGTAAGACTGCTCTAGATTTCTTGTGTGCGTAATAAATGCCTTCTTTTCGCGCCCTCCTCGTAGTTCAGGTCACGACCGATACCGCCGGCAGGAACCAGCCTTCAATTCACTCAGGTGTTTCGCAAGGTAGCTACACCTACCTCTGTGATAAGCCTGTGAATGACCTGGAACCTAAAGTGTGATACCTCAGTATCTAAAGTAGTAGATTTCAGTTTATCACAACATTCTCGTGTCCACCTTCGAAATTCCTGTCCTTCACCTCCCTCCCTCCCATCCGCTTGACTGGCGCCTGTTCACCTCCTCTTTATATCCTTAGTGGCCCATTTTCCCCGACCGTACTCATGTTTCTTCACTCTACAGATATTTAACCAAAAAGAAACAACTTATTCAATTTGACGCAAAGAAAAATTCAATTCCATCCATACAACGGCACAGCAAAAGAGTTCACCCCCCCGGTGCTGAACTGGGGGCTACATCTCTGGTGCACTTGCTGGGACTCGAACTCGGGTAGGGTACTCTCGCTAAGCCTGTCGTCGAGTAGGCTGGTTGGCATAAATTGATTGTTGACCATTAACTATTCCACCACCACGCCACAGTTTGACCTGACCCCCGGCCTAGAGGGCGCCTGCTGTGCTGGTGACAGGAATGGAATTGACCTGACCTATAGAGGCTTCACCTGTGGCGTCTACGAACCTTGAGGCATCAGACGAGGCTGCGTGACCCGGGGAACCAAGTTGGAAGGTGCGTGGTGCCTCCTTCCTGCCTCACCTCCACCACGTGCCCAGGCGGTGACCCGTCTACTAGTGGACCTCTCAGTCGCTTGCCGTTCATCCAGCTCACAGGTGAACCTAGGGTGGTACTGAAATTGAATATCTGACTGAATAATATGGTTTCCACGGCGACGAAAGAAAAAGTAATGTTATGAAAGATGTAATTTTGCAATTTTAGGAGGCAGGTATGTATGTATATTCTTTCGAAAAAGGTCCACTTGGCGAATACGTACTTAGCGTGAGGAAAGACCGCCACATTCAGACCTCTCCTTCTACCTTTCCACCTTCCTCTTCCCACCGTCTCATTTCGATTTTTCTCCTACTCGCTACCTACCTTCTCCTCTTTCACCTTCCACAAATCCCACCTTTCCCCATCCCAAATTCCTTCATCCACGATCCACACTCTCCAATTGACACAAAACACCAGCTTTGTTTTGTCAAGTGAAGGTAAGTACAACTCATACGATTCATTCAGTATTGAGTACTAATTCTCATCGTCTTACTAGTCAATCATGGAGCCTAAAGACGCGCCTCGGCGCGCAAACAAACGAGATCGCTCTCGAACAAACAGTCCTCGCGACACCAAGCGAGCCCGGCAATCATCGACTCCGGCCAAACCCGTGTTTGGCCGACTCCAAGTTACCGCTGATACCGATGGCATCAGCCAAGTCACCAGCCATCGCCCTGGCCAGGCAGTCGTCGACTTGATAGCGGACGATGTGTTCGCCTTACACGGGCCACGAGAGCAGGCCCACGAAATGCTCGACAAGATTATGAAGCACAGCAATGGTTCTGTCTTCACTGCCGTGTACCGTTTTGAGCCAGGCCCTCAAGCATCGCGGGATGACAAGAACACTGGTCATGCTTCAGCTGTAGCCCCCGATCTGTCCGGCTCTCCTCCTCCCCTTCTTTCTCACTCTACCGAGGGATTTTTCAGCAGCCCGTTATCCATAAAACTCAAACATGGAACGGGCCTTGATTCGAGCGGCACTACTGACCAACAGACCGGTGGCCTGTTTGAAGGTCGCCGCAATGACCGCGAGGTGGCTAAGCAAGAGGCTACTATGCCGTCCACTAGCAACGGTCAAGCCCAGCGACCCACCACTGACGGACAGGAAGATGATATGCTATCCCCAGAGTCCTCAAAAACAATGGCTCTTGTCTCTTTAAGCCAGCTTTACTCCCAGTCGCCGCCAGGGATTCAAGAAGGCACCAGACCCCGACTCTCACCTGAAATTCAAAGATCTGGACTTTGACTCCAGAGACTTTGAGTTCTTGAAGAGGGATCAAGATTGCGCTGATGTGGTTTGTGGCAGTTGCTCGGGCAAAGGCCACCATTTCCTGGATTGCGTTTGGCCTGATGCTCGAGGCGATTTGGTGGGCTGTCCATTCTGCAACACCAAGGAGCACGTCATGGACAACTGCCCGCAGCAGCCGACACTCAACGATTTTGAATGGACTCACATCCTCGTCTTCCGTCGAGCCAACAAGCCGTTGCTTAGAACCACGCGCAGCTGGTACCATTATGCCGAACTTGCCAACCGCTACGCCACAGGTGCTGCTGTTCATGGTACAATGGATGCGCATGAATGGAACTATCTACTGTCCAAGGGATTCACATGGACCAGATCCTTTAGCCAGAATCTGGTCAAGTCTAGCAACTTGTCGCGTGGCCCCTGGCTCCGTTATAACTACAAAAACGACAGCGCCGCTCAGTGCGAGTTGAAGCGTGACCCGGAAACGATGAACCACTCCGTCGTGTTTTCAAACGATCGTCTGAAGGACGAGCGGTTCATCCCCCGCTAAGGTCAACTGAGACGGTGTCTTGAGACCGGGGCCCAGTGGTCTATGCGATCACAAAAACTCATCCGGTGGGCGAGCGGTTGAATTCCTGTCGAGGTCGACCAAGACAGTATTTAAGGCCAGGATCCAGTGATCCACACGACCTCACTCGAGGGAATAGTTTGAGGTATATGTCGATAGGATAGGAACGTAGGAATAATAATATTAATGAAATTGTGTCCATTATCATTTGAATGTCTACTTCATGCTGTGAACTGCTGCTGATGCTGTCTCGTCGTACTCGGATAAGTATTGTTACTGTAGCTCAAAGAAGCCGGGCTCGTAGGTAAATAGTACTGTTTTGTCTTCACTGTCATCATCGAACGTGGTCCAGTGGTTAACCACTAGAGGCTAACTAATATACAGCCTCTAAGCCTCCCATGTTCAAGCCATGATATGATTCTCTTTTTTTATTGTTTGTACTTAGTAGTATATCTGAATATTGACGACTGTGAGCAAGAATCGAAGGCCTCAGTGCGGATACGGCCGGTCCCAGTCGTCACTTTACATGACTCATAGATGCCCGTTTCGTCCATCATCGATTGCTGTACTTGAAGATTCATGCTTTTCCACGCGCCTTGATAGTGAATGGTAGGTTGGTGCGACAGCGGCGCTGGCTGTCTCTCAGCAATAAAAGTCTCATGAGGAAGAAAGACGAGCATGCGGTACCTTGTCAACGCAGGGGATCAAGCAATGATCACGGTATGATATAACTAGGTCAAACCAAAACATCCACGTCCACGAATACCTTGTTTGACCTTGACGGGTAACGTAGCAAGTTTCATTCTGTTTCTACGACTACGATGACTATCAGCTCTTTCTTCCGCTTCTTGAATATTTCTCGAGAATGCACATATAGTAGAAAGGTAGGCAAAGAAGAGCAACTGTAAAGATGAAGGTAGGTCCGTAAGGTCGGTATTGAGCGCCAAATCATTGCGCCACCCACTTGGGGGCATTGGAGACAACACAAATGATCCCAATGCCATCTAGACCTTATGGAACTAAGTTTGAAAGACTCACCTCACCTCACTGAGGCGACGGTCATCATCGTGGACGATTGGGAGACGGCAAGTCTGCGCCTGGGCACTGCCGGGCAATGACGGTATACGACCAAGCAAAGATGACCACTCGCTCATCAAAAGCACGGCCATATCATCCCAACTTCTTCACCCAGAGGCCATCGACCAGCTTGACGTGACGCATGCCGCACAGATGAATGCAATGTCTCAGGAGACGTTCCAGAACAATTCTGCACCTCCTTGCATGTGTCCGCAATCAAAGACTGCCACGCGACAGTGCCCTACCATGATTCATTTCAAATGTCAGGAGCTCGCAAGGGTGCAATGCGGAGGACAACCGCCAGCCAAATTGCAATGAATTCGGTCATGTCGAGTCTGCTCATTGGACGGCGACGGTCCATTGATAACCCAGTTCTTCAGGTGTGCGCCGTGACAGAAAGCGGCATCACAGCCCGTCACCTTGGGCGCTAGGAGAAACGGCTGCAGGTCGAGGCTTCCGCGGCCACACACTGCTTTCGAGGACGCCGGCCGGAGTCCGTGATCTCGTGGTTCACGCCGTTCCGTGAGACGGCGACTGATGGCGGTAGTTGGAGATTGCGGTGCAGCATCCCGGCCTCGCCTGTGGCACCCACCACCGGCATTGACGAATTCCATGATGCGTAGATGGCGACGCAAGGCACGCAGATAACCAGCGGCGCCTCGCTGACCTGTTGTGGTCCTCTTTGCGGTGGAGGGTAGGATGCAGAGTCGGTGATTGGTGGCGGCTGCGTTGTTGGAAGCGGGCATTTTGTCGTTGTAAGGAAATGCGTGCGTTGGCAGGGCCCTGGTCAGGACCCGAGCGACTGTCACCGGACAGTGCAAAGATGAGATGCGGAAATGAGCCACGACAGGACCGAGGTACGAGAGGTCGGAGCCTTCCCGCTCGTCTTGGTGTAAGCGGGCTATTGTTTGCTGCAGCCTAAGCAGATGTGACTGGCGGTTCGTATCAGGCACCCAAGGTACCGCCAGGCTGGTACGTTCGTTGCCGTGTTTTCTCATCGTCGTCGACGACGGCGAGCGAGGCCGACTTCAAAGGAAAGATGGGGTTCGAGACACTGCTCCATTGCAACGGCCGTAGCTTTACTGTGTTGATGCCTCGAGGCATAGTTGATTGAATCGACGCCGTCGTTGGAAGTAAGTGCTGGCCCGAAACGGCAAGGCTTACACAGTAGTGTCTGGCGAGTGGAAAAAAACACCACCAGCGTATGGACCGAGCGTCACTGTCAGAGCTAGATTGGCGGGATGACGGACCCGTCGTTTAACCCGTTCTTAGCGGAGGAAAGCCCTGTGGCGTCGCTGCTGAACTCCGTACTTCGAACCCATGCGAGAAGTTGAACACAATCACCAACAGCTGAGAACCAACAAGAGTGGGGTTTGACGGTTAGTGAGAAAGCGTGTGTGTGGGGACGACGACATCGAGTGCGAACAGCAACAGGGGGCGTGGATATATCCGGAAATGACCCCACAATGGAACGAGTCTGATCTCGACTCTCGTCTGCCAAGAGGAACGGCAAGATACGCGAGCAGCCAACAGCTGGCGTAGACTGTCGCGCGCTGTGTCCGTACGAATATGAATAAATGGTTGTTGGCTTGGCTCGCTTGTCTTGAATCGGGTGTGGTCGTCACATGCCCATTGTTGGCCGCCACATGGACACTTCATCGAGTCCATCTGGCATCATCCAAATCGTGCACCCGGGGGACAGCCCTGCATTCGATAGAGGTTGATTTGACGGCAGCTGTACTTGAACGGCCAGCACAGAGGCATCTCACTGCAATCGCCCGCGGTTGGCGATGGGAACCGTCGACTCGGTAGGCGGACGCGGGTGAGAGGTGACCGGCAGGTAGTGGAATGCAGCAGCGCCACTAGAGAAACGTCAGAGAACGGAAAACGAATTGCAAAGGACTGGTCTTGTCTCACCGGCCGGCCGTGTCGACGCCGATTGGCGATACTCATTGACAACCGAGACCACCGTCTAAAAGACATGCATCCGAACATGTGGCCCGAAATCCAGGTACTCCGTACCGGGCTCGCCCTTCTGGAGATGGGCACGATATGCTGAACTTTATCCAACTCGATTTGCTGCCACCCACCCCGGTCGCACCCCGGTCGCACCCCGGGCGTGCGGCCCTTGCCTTGACAAGCAAACACGAACCCGGATTCAGCGTCACATATCTGCTGGGCGGCGCCCAAAGCTGTAGAGCTGCAAATAACGGCCCCGTCGATTGGTTCGTCCTTTGAATCAGTTGATTGGTCTGTAGCATCGTGTGTCCCCAGCCACACGTGGAGGTGCACCAAAATCACAGAGACGTGACAGACTCGCTGCCCGGAGGCCTACACAATCAAGTCAATCACAGTGCAAGAGAGGGAGATTCTCCCAGCAGCCGCAATGTCGGTTCCGGGTGGCTGCCGGTGCCCGCCACGGCGCGTCGGTTTGACGACGGAATGCTTTGTTGCATGCGGCGGCTGCATGCTGGACAATGATTGACCCGAGAACAATCCAAAGGAGCCTCGGCCGGTGGTCTCGAAGGAAATGCACAAAAGACGGCGTACGCTGACATCAGCCCATGGACTGGTCCCTGGTGGCTAGTTGATTGCGACTTGATTGCCTCGTGTTAGTAATGAACGCTGGTGTCGGCACGGAGCAAGACGCCGTCAAAAGAGCCGGCAGAAGATCATTACCAATGGGTGATGAAGTCGAGCACCATCAACATGCCGACGGAAGGAATTGAGGAATACAGGGGAACGTGGGCTATTCGCCGATCGGGTGAGCAAGCGGCGCGGGTGAATGCCTCGATTGAGAAGCGTGTTTACTGGATGGCCGGAGGACGTTGAGAACTGGGGGCGACAAAGTGACGGACGGAGGGCGAGCATGATGAGTGGGATCTCCGAGACGATGCACACCAGGAGGGCAGAAGGAGCGGGCCGGGCTGGGACGAAAGCCCCCGTCCTCCGGTGCAAAGGTGGTCCCCAGAATATGTCTGATTCGAACTGCCTCGGCGGGCATCTCGAATAGTACTTGGTATGTATGGGCCGGAGGTAGTCTCAGGCCGGGGTGGTTTGCGATCGTGGACGAGACTCGCTCGCGTGGCACAGCACAGGCAGCGAGGCAGCGAGCGGGCTGCGGCGGATACAGAGAAAGCGACGAGAAGCTGAGCAGGATCTCGATCTCCACACAGTCTGGCCGAGGGATATGAGCGAGTGCGAGGCCTGAAAGCAAAATGTCAGCAAGCAACCATGCACGTTGGGACACAGAGTGGCCCGTAGGATACAGACTACAGAGTAGAGTCTCGCCCGAGGCTCAGTCAGCTGAGGGGCATCAGCAAGGCGGCGCAGTGGAGGCCGCAAGCTCAGCGTGCCTGTGAGGGCGGCCGAATTGTATTCCAGAAGCGTACGAGTATGTCTGAGTGATGGAGTTGTGGACGTGTGGTGCAGGAACTTGGGAAGAGGGAGGGAGCAAGATTGAGTGGGCTGGCTGGGATGGTGAGGTGAACCGCAAACCCCGGTTCTAATCTCGTTGCAGCAGTAAGGACCCAAGTTCCAACAGAGGCAGGTCCCCCCCCCGGCCGTTGCAGATGCTGAGTCTGTCACTTTCCTCCAGCCAGGTACTTGGCCTGCATCGTGCCCGCCGTTGGCAGCACCGTCGAAGCCTCGAGAGATTCTGTCATTGTGCGTGCAGTGAGAGAGCTGCCACCAGAGGTTAACGTACCCGCCATTACCTCTAAACGACTAAACGTCAGCACTCCATCGACGACCTCACAACTAGAGGCGTCAGTCGGGCGCTCGTAGCTTCAACACTAGGATAGCGCGGAAAGGGAGTGTAGGCATGGCCCCTGGCGCCAATCGTCGGCCGCTAGGTATGGATGCACCCGTCGTTTAGCGGGCCCAAGGCGCGATTACGTCCCCGCAAACTTCCAGGTTGACGAGATATTGTTGATTTCGCTGTTCATGCTTTTTACAAGCACCGTCGGCGACATATCTCGCAGCCAAACCGTCCTTCAGACTCATGGTGCTAGTGGAATGCAAGGTAAATGTAGACGTGTGGCGATTCCGGAACTCGCTCCTGCCGGTCCTGGTCCTGGTCCAGGTCCAGGTCCAGGTTCCAGGGGCTCCAGGGCGAGGTGGTCCCCTTCCTGGGCCGTTGGACTGACACTCGATACAAATACAGAGGCTGTCGGCAAGATATCGCAGCGTCGGGGGAATGTTCAAAGTCAACGAGTTTGCGACTGGCGGTTGGGACCAGGGCTCCCTTTCCCCCCCTCTCTCTCTCTCTCACTCGTCGAGTCTTGTCCCTCGCGGGTTTAAGGCGTGCATGGTCGGGTTGCATTGTCCAAGGCTCCCCGGCACACCCAAGTCCCAAGTTGCAGTTCCGACGAGACGTCCAACGCCGTCTGATTCGTTGAGTCTGTCCACTCTGCTCGACTGGGCGCAGGAGCCTCGCATGCGCAGTTCTGCACGCCAATGGAGCCCTTGCTTTTGTACTGTACTGTATCCGTATAATCGTCCGGAGTGCTGCTGCGTGAGCTGGGTATGTTGCACAACGCTCGCTGCGATGCCTCCGATGGCTGCAATGCATTGTTATGAGAAAAGTGCACCAAGGACCGAGGACTGGTCACCTCACCTCAGGCAGGCACCAGTCAGTACGTACAGTACGGAGTAGTCATCAGTGAGGTACGTACGATACGTATCCGTACTCTGTGCCTTCCCCACACGCCTCATTCCAAAGTTGGATAGGTATTCCTTCCTCAAGTTCCTCCAGCTTTCTCCTCTTCTTTGATCCAATCAGACCCGTTCATCCAATGACTTGTCCGATGACCCGTCCAATGACCTGCCCGTCCAATGCTTCAGGAAATAGTACGTACCCTTTCCCCTCGACTGTGTCTCTTCACTGCCAACTCCGTACCGACTCCTCAACCCAACTTCATCCAAGTTGCATTCTAAGCTTCGTTCCCATGCACCCGTCTCTCTTTTTCCCAACTGGACGGAGGACGAGTGCGATGCGGCACCCTCTCAAATCCCCACAACCGACCATTCACCGGCCAGAGTCTCGACAGTCGATAGCCACCGTCCCGGATTCCCCCAGCCGTCCGCCAATGTCGCCTCCTGTCTTGCGGCTATCCCTGGTCGAACCCATGATCCCGGTCCTTGTCCTGGTCGCCGGACTGGAACCGCATCCTCGTCCAACTCTTGGCCCTGGCTCGCCAGAGCTAGGGTCCCCCCCTAAGCCCATCCGTTTCCGCGCCGCCTACGGATACCTACCTACCAGACCACCCCATCGATACCTTTCTGTGCTGCTCGCCCAAATCTTCCAAACGAATGCTCTCCCTCCCATCCGTTGGTCTCTCGTCCCTTTTACAGCCAAATCTGCGTACGATATCCATACTTTGTACTCTGCTGGATAGTACTGATCACTTTTGCACAGTGACCGAGAAAAACGTCTCGAATCCTTTTCGGCCATCATCCACTGATCCAGTCTGGTATTCGCTTACCATTCTCTCGCCCTTCGCGTCCAACAAGTCGCAAGGCCCCAATTTCTCTCCCCCATCCATCACATTGTCCGACGTGGGGCCTGATCCTGGTCTCTCCTCGACAGGACAAGACAAGACAACACTGCACCTGGTGTTTTGCGGATGCCGCGTGCTGATGCTGGTCGGCCCTGATCCTCGCTCGTCTTTTGCTCTTTTCCTCTTCCTCTCCTCCTCTCTCTCTTCCTTCTTCGCCTTTCCTCCTGAGCCAAAACCATCGTACCTTCACAGCGGTGCGTTTCGCCAGACGGGCAGAGCGAACAGGGAACCTAGACTCCCATCCCAGCAGTGTGCAGATACTGTACAGCCTCTCGGCTCCGTTATCCACCCCTTCTCTGGCACCGCAAATCGACTCCTGCAACTGCGGATTGGCCCTGTTGAGTTGTCCGCAGCTTCATATACATACCTGCCAGCAACCCCCCACCACCCACCGTCGCCTTGCCTTCTTCTTCCCTTCACCATACCTGTGCCTCGCTCTGGTCGCACTCCCAACACCGCACACCCTCCCACGCCTACGCCTACGCCTATCCGACACTGGCCTGATCCGACCGCCAACGTTTACTCACACATCACCATTTCATCCGTCTCGCATGCCAGACGACAACATAGTCGACGCCATTCTGTCTCGAACCTCAATCGTCCCGCTGATCGTTCCTCCCGGTTTCTGGGTGCTCCCATCAGACTAAGTTCGCTGGTGCCAACCTCGACAAGGATCTTCCCGGCTCACTTCTATTCACGCCGACACACCTGGCCGCTCCGATCCATCAAGCAAAAGCCCGCACTTTGTTTGTCGCCGACAACGATTAGACCGTGTCTCAACCGCGCGCCTTCGACCAGTGGTCTGGACAGCGAAAAAGGAAAGGGAACGAGGCGTCTCTGTTCTGTTACGAGGATTGTGTAGAGACGTTTGCCCACGTTCGTCCGCCAAGCAGCGAAGCGCCATTGGGCAAGACAGCGGACAAAAGAGCCCCTCTCTGCTACCGCCCGTCTCTCGGTTCATCTTCAGCATCCAGCACCTCTCAACCTTTGTTTCTTCCCGGGAGCTCCCAATGGGCGTGGTCTGACTTGCATCATCCAACGCCGTTTTTTTTCCATCTGAGAATCTTCAATCAAATCAGAACCAGGCCAGCTGACACGCGCCGATCGTGCTGAGCGCATCCGGAGCTGAAAGTCTCTCCCTCTCCCGCGCTCGACTTGGCCAAGGGCTGAGTACGGATCTGGAGACCTCTCCACATACAGTGAGTTCGCTCCGGCCGCCACACCCCCGAGCCGAGAACGTGGAAGGGTGGCCTCGCGCCGGAACGAGCATTGGTGCTAATAAGGGCAGCGTACTCTCAGGAGCATCACACAGATCGTGTTAGCCGTCCTTTCTCTCCGTCTTCACACAGCGGAATCCATCATTCATCATCCAGTTGAAGCACACACTATGGCTCAAAGACACAACTCATGGGCGCCTTCGCCCTCGTCGTACGGTCTACCTCGGCCAGCCATGGACGGACATTACGCCTACGAACCCGAACCAATGCCACTGCCACCTCCAATGCACTCAAATTCGCAACCGAGGCCCGTCGCGCAGCAGCAGCAGCACCCCGAATATCACCAAAACGACTACCATCAAGCACCCTACTACCGTACTGATTACCAGCATCAGCGCGAGTACCACCAACCCCCCTCGCCCAGCTACCATCAGCCACCGCAGTACCAACACTATCAACAGCCGCCGCCTCAACCGACACAGCTTACCGATCCGTACAGAGCAGCTCCCATGCCCCGCTATCCCCAGGAGTCGCCACGCGAATCACCGACACTGTCCGCGACCAAAGGTGAACCATATGACGAGTACCAGGCGGCAAGAGAAGCACACTACCTCAAGCGTAACCAGCCTCCACAGATGCCGCACATGTCGCAGGGTGCTCCGCGGGTGCTGAACGACAACTACCAAGGCGGAGGAAAAGTCGCCATTCCGTTCACGCCGCCCAGCCTCAGAATTCCCGCAGTGCGATCTGGATCCGCGATCCCGACGGCCGGAGCACCGTGGAGTGCCACGAGCCAGCATGAACGGGTCAAGATCGAGGATCTTTTGAGCGGCGGCAGCGAGGACCGAAGGATGCTTCAGCGCGTTCCGGAACCAGAAGTCAAGATAGTCCGAAACGAGTACGAAATCTTTTTCCGCCAACAACCCATGGCGGCCAGGTGCTGTGGCTACGGCGAAAGAGATAGAAGAGTCATTGATCCGCCGCCCATTGTCCAGTTGAGGATAAACAACCCTGACCTCACGCCCGACGAGCTGTACAATAAGATTCATCATCCCGCCTACGTCGTTCACTGCAGTATCTGGAACGTGGACGGAGAAACTGACGAGACCAACATGCCCAACGACGGCATGCGGCCAGGCAAGCGGATCATGGGCTCGCTGGTATCGTCGCCTTTTGTGGGCCAAGATGAAAACGGCAACGAAGGCTGCTTCTTCTGTTTCCCCGACATGTCGGTCCGCACACCGGGCAGCTTCCGCCTCAAATTTGTACTGGTTGTCGTCGATCCGACGCACATGGCAAGGAAAGCTCCCATCCGGTCAACCATCATGAGCGACATATTTGTTGTCTACAGCGCAAAGGATTTCCCGGGCATGCAGGCCAGCACACCTCTCACCAAGCGTCTCAAGGAGCAGGGATGTCTCATTTCCATCAAAAAGGGCAACGAAAAGTCTGGTGGGAAGAACGCTCGTCGCCAAGTAGACAGCGACGACGACGAAGACGAGGAAGACAACGGTGGTGGTGGCGGCGGCGGCGGCGGCGGCGGAACCTCGACAACTAGGCGCAAAAAGACAAGAAAGCAGCGGTGAACGAAAACCCCCACCCACTTGACACGGGACGGCAGCATAATGTAACACGGCGTTCGTTGGAGATTGGGACATCGGCGAATAGACGGCGGCGATGGTGTTTGAATTGGGAGTTCTCGTCGGGCTTGGGGCCGTTCTTCACGATAGAGGCGTACAAGAACGAGTGTGCAACACTTATTACACGCCGAAACCGTCTTTTTCGAGGCCAGGCGGTAATTCATCACGGCCTAGCAAAGCGAGAAATACCCGCTACGATGGTGTTTTTATGTTCATGTGTCTATCCCATTTGTTGCTTTATTTTCTTCTCGATTCACTCATCATTTCTTCGTATCTATATATACCCTTTGTGGAACTTTTATGGGTTATGATCATGGAGAGACGCGAGCTTGACACGGGTTCGACTCTCGAGGCCCCGGTTGCATCATTGGCGGGAAGGCAGTCTCTTGCTCTCTTCCATACGGGTATAGCTTTTTGCCGTGGCCTCGCTAGGTACCAGATGGATACAAAATTCAAAGTCGGGGCGCCGCCTTGTCGGACTCATTTCACATTGTTCAGTCACCAGTGACGCTGCGCTCAGCCGACACACGTCGGAGCGGTTTTCCATTCCAACATGATCTAACTGCACACCGCGAGCAAGGGAGTAGACACTCCTGTTTGGGAAACTTGTCGCAACGCATGGCCCATGGCCCCATTGCCACGGCTTTGGCGTCGATGGCGCCGACGATCCCTACCCGACAGCCGGGCCATCGTCGCGGGCGTTGCATTCCTCGGCTGGCGACACTAGAGTCTGAGGTTACACGGCCCGACACAGGGCGAAAGGCGAGCCGGGAAACATTTAGGGAGCAAAAAAATGGGTGAGGCCATCCGAGGTATGCGTCTTGTCTCTCCAGGGACTCTCTCTTTCCCTCGCGCGCACTCTACTCCGTACCGTGTGGCATGTGTCCCCCGCCGTCCTCGGGCCAGATTTTATTTTCTTTGGCATCCCCAGGGCCCGAGGTCCTCGTTCGTGCCGTCCCACTGGCGCACCGTCCATGATGCTCCCCTGGCCAAGCTCTGGCGATCTGCGGAACTGTGCGAGTCAGGGTTCATGGGTCTTTTTTTTCTTGTCCAAGTTTCGTGGGTCGTGGGCCGTTGAACCATTCACCAATGCAAGGTACGGATACACCGCAATTGGCTCTCTCCCCGCCGCCTCCCTGGTGCAGCGATTCGAGCATCGCGGTAGCCGCCGCCCATCATCCAAAATAAAGTTTCGGGAGGGGACGGGCGAAACGGGTGACGGGTGACGGGTGACGGGGTCACTGGGTCACCCATTCGTGCTGTTTAAGGTCCACGGTTCACGGTCCACGGAACGGGTATGCGCGCGCAATCTCCTAAAATTCTTGCGAGATTTACGGGATGCCTAGGTACGGATACACCAGGCGGGAACGATTTTCCCGTTCGGCGGGCTCCAGTGGTGCGCGGGTCTTGGTCCGGGCTTTTATTTCCCTCTTTCGTGGACACACCCCCAGTCCGATGCCTACTAAGTAGGTGCAGGTGTGAGGATACTTCAGGGGACTGAGACACCCGCAGAATTGTCTTTTGAATCGCTCGAGGGGGGAAAAATGTGTGGCGCTGTGGTTGCTCCAAAAGCTCGCGTGGCTTAGAGTCATTGACATCATTGATTTTTTTATGCTGTACTCCGTACTCCGCCAAATGTCTCACTCCGGATTATACTCTCCCAGTCGCGCTTCCTCACGCGACAAGTCTCCCTTTGCAACAGTGACATGCCAATTGGAACACTCTTCGCGGGTCGTTAGAGTTGAAGGTGGAAGAATCTCGTGATTTCGTGTTTTGCGTCACACAGCGTTGGTGACCGGGCCATTTCACTCGCCCCAGTATCTCTCAGACACATACCTCCCACTCACCCATTCACCCACCCCCACACAAACACGCTCACTCGCATTTCACAATGGCACCCGGCCCGCGCGTGATATACTGGTTCCGGACCGACCTCCGGCTCCACGACTCGCCCGCCCTTGCGGCAGCGCTCGCCCTCGAGCCGGCCGCCCTATGGCCCATCTTCACCTGGGATCCGCACTACGTGTACCGCGCCCGAGGCGGCCTGAACCGGTGGCAGTTTCTGTTTGTTTCCCCCCACGCCCCGGAGTGACGAGTAACGAGCAAAAAAACGACTTACACAAACTAGACTGGACTGCCAAAATGACCTCTCAGAGAGCATCACCAAGCTCAATCCAAAGTCCAAGCTCTTTGTGCTACGCGAGGGCCCGCAGACGTTGTTCCCCAAGCTCTTCAAGGCGTGGAAGGTGACGCACCTCGTTTTTGAAAAGGATACGGACGCTTACGGCCGCGAGCGGGACGACGTGGTCATCAAGGCCGCCCAGGATGCCGGGGTGGAGGTGATTATCAAGAGCGGGCGGACGCTGTGGGACAGTGACGCCGTGGTCGAGAAGCACGGCGGCAAGCCGACCATGTCCATGTCGCAGCTGCAGGCGGCCGGCGCCAAGGTCGGGCCCATTGCGAAGCCCATTGCCGCGCCCAAGTCGCTGCCGGACCCGGGTGAGATGCCGGTGGACTTTGAGCAGACGCCGCCCGAGACGAAGCCCGACTTCAACGCGGAAAACCGGACCGAGGGCGGGGATGCGGCGTACAAGAAGATTGCGGGGCCCAAGGGGGATTTCGCGATTGAGACAATGGAGGAGCTCGGGTTCCCGTCGGCGACGACGCCTCACAAGGGCGGAGAGACGAGGGCGCTGGCGATGCTCAAGGAGATTCTGGCCGACAAAAAGTACACGGCCACGTTTGAGAAGCCAAAGACGAGCCCCGCGGCGTTTGAGCCGCAGTCGACGACCTTTCTGTCGCCGTTTCTGCACTTTGGGGCGCTGTCGGTGCGCGAGTTCTACTGGAGGGTGCAGGACGTCGTGACAAAGTACGGCAAGGGGGCTTCCAAGGTGCCGGAGAGCTTGCTGGGGCAGCTGCTCTTCCGCGACATGTACTTTGCGGCGCACGCGGCACTGGGCTACCAGTTCACGCAGACCGCCAACAACCCCTACTGCCGCTTCATCCCGTGGCATTTGCCGTCCAAGGTCGACCACGAGACGGGCCTCGTGACGGGCGAGTACCACGTCGACTCGGCGGAGGCGGACGAGTGGTTCCGGCGGTGGAAGTACGGCGTGACGGGGTTCCCGTGGATCGACGCCCTGATGCGGCAGCTTCGCGAGGAGGGATGGATTCACCACCTGGGCCGCCACTCGGTCGCCTGCTTCCTAACGAGGGGCGGTTGCTACATTGACTGGGAGCGCGGCTGCGAAGTGTTCGAGGAGTGGCTGCTCGACCACGAGCCCGCCTGCAACGCCGGCAACTGGCAATGGCTGAGCTGCACGGCCTTCTTCTCGCAGTACTTTCGGTGCTACAGCCCCGTGTCGTTTGGGCAAAAATGGGACAAGCAGGGAGCCTTTGTGCGGCGATGGGTGCCGGAACTCAAGGACCTGGACGCCAAGTACATTTACGAGCCGTGGAAAGCACCGCTGCCGGACCAGAGAAAGGCCGGAGTCAGGGTGACGGGTCGTGGGGAGAAGCAGGAAAAGGGCGTGTACCCGAAGCCAATGTTCGACTTCAACGAGAGGAGGACGGCGTGTCTAGCGGCGATGAAACAGGCGTACGGTGTCGGTCTCCACGGGAATGACGACAAGGTGCGGGACGGCAGCTGGCGCGAGCTCTTTGCGGGCCAGGACACGGAGATGATGGACGAGTTTGAGAGCGACGACGGCGAGCACGCTGACCGCGGCGAGGACCACAAGACGGCGCGGCCCAAGGGAGACGAGATTACGCCGGCGAAGCGCGGTGCCGACGAAGGGAGTGCCGAGCAGCACGCCGAAAAGAAGAAGAAAAAGTCGTAGCCCGGCGTCGCCGTACGTCTAACTGCAGGTTTGATGAGAAGTGATGTGAATGGTTCTGTAGCGGTCATAATGTCAGTATAGTCGCTACGACGATCTAGGCGGTGGATAGTAAACTTCAGGTTGTTGACTGCAACAAGACAAAGCTGTTTGTGACCTGCCTGCTAGCAAATGAGAAAGATAATTTTGCCATGTTTATGACCGCTCTGCATCATGAAGCGACCAGGGGGGTTCGATTAAAGTTGTAGATAAAACCACAACGCTGTAATACGTGTGGTTGAGTGTTCCCCGGGAAAGTCAAGGTCAGTAATACGCCGCTGCGTAAAACACGCTGGAGGTGACGTCGCACCCCGGTCCTTGGCTTGGCGCACGGCCCCAGACAGCGGGGCACAACAGCCAGATCTGGAAACCGCGACCAATCAGCAGCCACGGTTTGTGGAGGCAGCCAACTTCAAGGCAGGAGCACCAATTGCAGCTTCCCGTTGCTCCCTCCGCCCTGACGTTGTACCTTCCCGATTAGTGTCACGATGAGGCTGAATTCAATAACAACAGTCCCAAGTGCCTGCGCGACACCGATGGCTTGACTCAAGCGATAGAAAACACCGTCTACCTTGTCGTCTATAAGTATCTTGCAGCCCTCAGGTTTTAGATTCAACACATCCGACTCACTACCCAGACCATCACTCAACTCACCATACTACACACCATCATTATTCCACTCAATTCTACCATCCGACACATACGGCCCAGCACCACAACACAGGATGACCAACACAAACGACCCCGAGACCGTCGAGGTCATGCCCGAGATCCGTGCCCAGGAGCAGCCCATTGCCAGCAGCCGCAAGGTGACGGTACGTCTGGGAGACAACGGCCCCAATGCTACACGATCAGACATCCGCATCTCTCACGGCAGCAAGAAAGATGCCCTCTCTATCCAGCTCAACCGCACGATCCGCGTCCCTGATAACAGAGACACAAACAGCCTTCCCCCCGGCCTCGGAACTTTTCCCCTGTTCAAGGTCCAAGACTACGCACACAACATGCCCCCGGACATGGCTAAGAAGGGCGGTATCTTCTTCCCAATGTACCAGCGCGAGGCCATGTGGGTCAACTTCTCGGCCCAGGCCCCGTTCGCCATCAAGATCTACGTTGGCGGTGTCAATGCGGTTTCCGGGCTGCCCATGACGGAGAACGAAAAGACGCTGGAGAAGCGCGTGCGGATGCTCAACAGCGGCAAGCAGATCCAGGACTACATGGTGGTGCCTGACCAGAACTGGCTGGACGGCATCGTCTCAGAGGACGGCAAGATTCGGCAATTCGTCGCGCAGCCCAAGGGATCGGGCTTCTCAGTCGAGGCCCAGGTCACCGGGGAGGAGAACATTGGCGGCATCCAGATTGAAGTGATTCCCATCAAGAAGAATCTCCCGACTCAGTTTGACGTCCGCTACGAGAACAAGCAGCACAAGGTTGTCACTCGGACCTTCAACGTTGCCGAAAAGGGACTCACCGCCGAGAGCACCTGGCTGGACGTCAAGAAGCTTATCCGCGACGAGTTTGATATTGCCGTCGATCAGCAGCGTCTCAGCGACCACGGCAACCGATCGGGCTTTGACAAGTACCGAATCGACTTTTCCGGCGATACCAAGCTGGGCGACACCTACTTCCCACCAAACTTCTCGACCGTCAACGTCGTGCACGATACGCCAATGCGGAGCCGGATGCGCATGATGGGAGGGCTCAAGTCCATGGCAGCTCCTGGGGGTCCCGAGACGATGATGTACGAGTGCGCCACAGCTTCCGTCTCCAGTGCCATGGCGGCACCGCCTCCGGAAGTCGAGGAGATGGGCCTTGCGGCTGGTGGTCTCATCACCCAAACGATCGAGGCAGACAAGTACCCGGCCGATGTCTGGGATGTCGAGGCCTCGGTGATGATGAACCTTCAGATCCTGGGCGTCGAGTCCTTCTGCGCCGTGACTGGACAGCCGGCTCCCGACACCCCCATCAACGCCCAGTCGTACGCCAACCACGGCTATCCGTTTTTTGAGATTTGGGGAGAGGAGAAGACGGGCATCAAGGGGGACTTTTCCGAGGTGAAGAGCGTGGCGCAGCTCGGGGCCGAGAGAGCCGAAGCAGCCGGCAAGGAGTACAAGGAGGAGGAGAGCGTACCGGTGAGGATCGTGCAGCTGGGACCCTTCCGAAGCACCTTCCGGCCTGTAGAGGTGCTGAAGAAGGAGCTCGAAGGGCTACGCTTGGAGTGATTGTATGATATTATAATGATGCATGAAAGGAGGCACAGGATGTTGGATTTTCAGACAGAAAGAAATGTTTTGCACACTGTGTCCCAAGTCCCAAGCTAAATTTGGAGACATGGATAGGATGGAAAATGGAAGAAAGCAACACATTCTGCACCAGGTAGCCCCGATGAAAAAAGATCTACTTCACTCGCATGCAGTCAAAATCCGGGGCCAAAGTGGGGCCGATCGGAGCTATCCAAGCTTTCCGCGAATGCGGATCCCTCCGGCCGACATCAGGTCAAGTAACAGTAACCCGCGGAGTCGTCCGTCTTATAAATTCAACAGCAGAGCAGCAATATCAATCCGCTCAATCCGGACGGGGATTTCTCATCACCAAACCTCGGCAGCCCCACACACCATCTCCAACTCCATCCCATCATTGTGTACTTGGATTTTTTGGAGTTCCTACCTCTCTTCTAACACCACATCCAACAACAGACGTATAAATCGCAGACCCCCCTTAAAGTCCCCAACAATGCACATCCCATGGAATCAAAAATCTACTTAAGAGAAAACAATTCAACCGCACACACGCATAAATACACACATAACAACACGCAATGCCATTCCAATCCCGAGCCCAAGCCCTCGTCAACGCGCAAACCGGCGCCGACGCCCGTCTATCCCGGCACTCTGCCCAATCCACCTCCCCATCCGCCTCCTCACCCGCCGTCCCCAACATCGAAGCCCTCATCGCCCACGTAGAACAGCACGGTTACGTAATCATCCCCGCCGCCTTTTCCGCCCCGGAAGCAGACGAAGCCCACGCCGAGATCGTCTGCCTCACATCCTCGCCCGAAACAGCCGGGCCAGCGGGAGGATTCACCACCCATACTAATGAAGAAATCCGTATAAATCACAGCAGCACCACAACCACAGGCGACAGCGACAGCATAGGTGGCGGCAGAAACAGCTTCGAAGGCTTCAAAACACACCGCATCTACGCGCTCCTCAACAAGTCCCCCGTCTTCCAAAAATTCCCCACACACCCGGCCCTCCTCGCGCTCAACAACCACTTCCTCGACCCGGGCTTCCTCCTCAACGCCTTCCACAGCGTCTACATCCAGTCCGGCGAGGTCCCGCAGGCGCTGCACCACGACGACGGCTACGTCGGGGTGCCGAGGCCCCATCGGCCCTTTGGGACGGTAACGCTCTCCCTTCTCTCTCTCTCCCAATTCCAACTGTACCACCTCACCCCCTCTTCCTCCACGACTGACACAACCCCCCCCCCCCCCCACAAACAGGGCGTAATGGTCGCCCTCGACGACTTCACCCCCACAAACGGCGCGACCATCATCATCCCAGACTCCCACACCTGGGGCCCCGACACCGCCCACCTGCCCCAGCGCAAAGACGCCATCCCCGTCGTCATGGACAAGGGCAGCGTCGTCTTTTTCCTTGGCACCCTCTGGCACGGCGGCGGGGAAAACAACTCGCCCGGCCCCAGGAGGGCGCTGACGATCCAGTACTGCCAGCCCTGGATGCGGCCCCTCGAGAACCAGATCCTCGCCGTCGAGTGGGACAAGCTGGCCGGGATGCCGAGGCGGCTGGTGGACCTGCTCGGGTACGAGCCCAGGGCCCCCTTTGTAGGGTACGCGGATGGGGTTCATCCGTGGAAGGTTGTCCAGAGGAGGCTGAGGGAGCAGGAGGAAAGGGGTCGCTGGCAGGGGAAGTTGTAAATGGCTTCCGATTTTGTGTTTGATCTCGTGCGGTGTCACTGAGCGAATGCGTGTTGACTACATATTGTATTAACTTGACCCTGGCAGGCCGTCGTATCCATCCCCACACCAATGTGAAACCGCCACCAAAAAATATCCACGAGAAGAGTATCAACAGTCGCACCATGCGAAGATTACAGTATATATAGCATCTCATCAAATGCCAATGGTTGCCATCGTATATGACAATGTATGCCGCCAAGTCAGCGGATGCGCCATGCCCAAATCCCGGCTGCTGCAAATAGTCACGAAACCGCCATCCGATGCCGTCCCTTGGGACCCGGCTCTTTTTTTACTTTTCCCCAAAGTCCGACCGTGAATAGAAATAAGACTAAATACTAAGTGTAATGTTAAGACCGACCAGGCATCCGACCTGGTGCGGCATTAGAAGTAGAAAAAGTAAATGCAAGAGAATCTTGAGGGTATCATGGCGCTTGCTGGAAATCAAAATAACTCAAAACATGACTCGTTACGATCAGTGCAGTCTCCCGACCGCGTCTCCTTTTACAACATGTTGTAAACGAGAGCCAGGGTCATGGTCGTCGCCGCCAGAGCCCAGGATGGCACCGACAGCTCTGCCGTACTGACGGCGGCCAGGAGTGTGTCGTTGACGTACTCTGGTCCGCATATGGTATTGACCTGCGACGCGGCGTCTGCGTAGGTTGACGAGATGGCGAGTTTGCGGTTCGTGGTGAAGGTCTGGTAGATCTCCATGGTCTGTCGGAGACACGTGCCGCAGGTAGGATTTGCACTGCCGGGCAGAGTCATGTTGAGTGGGAGGTAGTAAAAGTAGACGTTGGACGGCGTGGTCAGGTTGGTGACGGCGTTGGCGAAGCAGTACATGGATGTGTCGGGGTCGGTGAGGCAGGTGGCCTTGTACAGCATCTCATACGATTTCAAGCCGAGATAGGCCTGCATGACGATTGGGTTACCGGCCTGGTAGTCGGAACCGCAGTTGGCGTCCAACGTTAGGTTGCCGGCCACACCGGTGAGGAACTCTGTGCAGTACTCGACGTCAGCCCCGCAGGTGGCGTCGAGCACCCTCACAATGCTCAAAAGCTTCTTTTCAGCCTCAAAGAAGGATCTCGAGCCCTGGACAAAGGTTAGCGTGTGTACGGCGCCGGCAGACGGAACAAACATACCTGGAGCAGCATCGACAGCGGGTAGCACTTTTTAAAGTTCTGGTTGGTGAGGAGCGAGTTGATGAAGCGAGGGCACGACGCGCCGTCGTTGCTGGTAAAGTTAAAGGCGAGACTGGTGTCGAAAGGTAACGGCAGGGGCGAGGCTGTGTCCACAGTCGCAGCGGGCACCGTGACGGAAACGGTCAGCGTCGTCGATTCTGCAGTAGCCGACGCCTTGTCGGTTGTGCTGGGCGTCAGCGTGATGCCCTCGTCGTCACGCCTCTTGAGTTCGTCGCATCGCGGAACCATGGTCCACCGACCCTTGATCATCGTAGGCGTGCGGTCGTCAATGACGAGGGCGTTCATGGGAGGAAGGACTGCGGGGGCCGTGATCTGAGCGGGAAGAACCTCCAAGACGGGTTCGGAGATGGCCAACACCACGGAGGCGATGGTGAGGCAGAGGAAAAGCCATAGTGACCGTGGTCGGGTCATGGATGAGAAAGACATGATGGCCATCATGAGGGAACTGCGACACGCAGGTTGGAGGGATCAAACATAATATTTTCCCTCTTGCAGCGGTTGTGGCGAGTCGAGAAGAGCAGTCCTCGACAATGGAATTTTGCTGGGGTAGAAAAAAAGGCAATTATTGCTGCTGTTTGCCGAGAGAACCCCACGTTGGATCGGCGCCGAATGTCTCTAGCCGGTGATCGACCAGATCACGCACGCGATGGTGGATATTTTATAGCACCAAGGAAATACAAGATCACCACTGCACTGGCTGCACGGGTGGAACACTTTTGCGGTCGGGGGTTGTGCTGATGCAGATTCGACTACCAATGAATGCGACGGTGAGTATGGGCGGTTAAACGAATGGATTCGGTCCAAATGGCCGAAAAGATGACGGGTCGACAACGCTGCAGTCAATGAGATGACTTTGAGAGATTGGTCGCGTTTACAAAGGCGGCGGCTTCGAGGTGATTCGGGGCGATTGAGGTCGAGTCGAACGAAGTGCCGTCCAGTTGGTTCCAAGCTCTCCAGGCGACGGGTTGGTTGGCGCGGTAGCTTGCAATTTTTGTCGGTCGCAAGGAGGTGGGCCGTAGCACTCGATAGCTGGGTTGGAAATTGTCCACCGCGGGCGAGTCGTCGAGACGATCAGCTCTGTCGGATCTGGTCTGGCGGACGGGCGAGACGAGGCAAGGTGAGGCTCTTGGAAGGCGGCGACGATCCCTGGGTCTGGCTGGGGGGGATGAAGAGGTTAAGAAGGAGCAACGAGTGGACGAACGCGGGTGAGATAGGACGGGATGGATGCTAGATTTGGGGGGGAAGCTGGCAGCAATATTGGCTTGGCTTGGCTCGCTCGCGTGGTGGGAGGCGTGCAGGCTTGCACACTTGGTCGGCCGGACAGGGTAGCAGGGGTCCAGGGGAAGTTGTATGGCGACGGTGCAAGTGGACTTGAACTTGCGGCTTTGGGGGCCCAAAACGTAGTCGCGTAAAATGGGGACCAAGTAGTGTAGGTATGATGTACTTTGTATTTGTTTCCGTATGGTAGCAGCAAAATACAAGACAACCACCTACCACATTATTCACGGGCAGCTCCTGTTCGGGTTCAGGTGGATTGTGAACGGGCTTCTTCAGTGGAGCGTGTGCAATGCATGGACGGCAGCTGGGGGGGTCCAGGTCGGGCTGGGTCGTATTCTCACAGCAGCGACAGGATGGGCGACGCCGGGGCGGTCGAGGTGCATGTTGGTTCCGCCGAGAGAGGGAGACGGAGACCTGGTCCTGCCTTTTTTTTTTTCCTCCTGGGAACTTGGAAGCAGTGGGCACTTGGACTGGTTCGTGGACCGTGGCCCCGTGGGTCCAGCAGAACTTCAAAGAAGGAACCGGTCACCCTTGGCAGGGACAGGGGAAGGAGGCAGGGGGTGGTACTCCGGCCAGGAAGGGGAAGGTCCAAGGAGGAGATTTGGCGTCAAGCCACTCAGCCAGTAAGAGCCAATATTTGCACCTGCCGCCTCCTGGCCACTCCAATGGAACCGTCACCTGGGTCACCACCACCAGAAGGTGCGCACTTGCACCTGCGCCTGTAGTCTACCACTCCTGCCTGCACTTTTGATCCTTTGCGCCTGCCTCTGCGCCTGCCCCTGCGCCTGCCTTTGCACTTTAACCGTCCCGCAACCACAACAGCGACTGCCAGCCATAACAGACCTGCATCTGCGGGGTGCTCACGAGAGCGCGGGTCCCTAGGTACCTTGGGTACGTACCCATTCAATCCACGGAAGGTGGATGTTTCCCAGTCGGCGGGCAATTGGACTTGGACAATGGACTTGGAGGCTTGACAGCTTTCGCTTCCTTGTACTTGCGGGTTGACGTCGCAACGTCGACTCTGGGATCCGCTAAGAAAAGCAACTCTTCAATTTCATGTGCCGGGCGGGAGTCCGGCACACCTCAAAAGTATCCGTACTCCGTATAGTGTAGGGCAGAGGGGCAGTGAGCTTGAATCAACACAAAAGTCTGATAGCTCATCGCATATAGGCAGGTAGGGAGATAGCATGAACAAAGGGGAAAACAACCTTATCATCTCGCAATCTCAAGCGTCGACCAACCGGACTACCCCGGGAGGGTGTCTTATGTCGCATCGGCCCACGCGTAGACTAACTACACTCTGTACGGAGTAGTGAACTATCCATATGCTCATTGCCTCGCTCTTTGGTTGCGTTGCAGCGGTGGATAAGACGGAACGACGTTTACTGCGTAGCCAAGAGTTAGAGTAAGCGTTTGAACGGGCGGCTGACTGAACATACCAGAAGGTGGTCTAGAACGGCGGGCATTGCAGGGTAGCAACGAGGGATGAGCAGCTACGGCCATTCATTGGCACCGGCTTGGAACGGGCAGCACGTCAGACTGGATTATTGTCTCTGATGCGAGGCCGGATCTGTGGTTCTGGCTCACTAGCTGTGTGTGTGTGTCCGCACTTTGGGCCAAGCCAGCCCCAGGCAGGCGGGAGATGACCACTTCAGTGTCCCTATTCGGAATCCCCTCCCCTGCAACTGTTGACTTGTTGTGCGTCTCTTGGGGTTCTGCTTTGGAGGTTCCTCGTCTGGGCTTGGTGTGTGCGGCGTGCGGCGTGTGCATTGCGTTCCAATATCCGGCTCGCGGTGCTGCGCCTGGAGTTGTGGGGACCATACGTTCGTCTGTCTTCAAGTGAGAGCCCACATGGTTGATCTTCTCTCTCACCTGGCACAATTCTTTTGACAAGCATTCGCGTTTCTATTTCCAGCCGGTCGTCACTCGCCAACAGTACGGATACGCAGACACTGTGGACAACTTGTGTAGCTAGTCCGTACTACGTCGTGCACTCCAGAGAGAGAGCAACATACCCCTCGCGGCGGGACGGACGAATGACGGAATGCAAATGGCCCACCGCCTGGCATTATCCAGATGAACGTGCATGCACATCGGACATCCACCTCGTGTGCATCGCCAAGGAGAGGGATTTTGTGAAATATTAGCAGTCCTTTACGAAGAAACATAGGGCATAGAACAGTTTATTCTTCTATAAAAGACTCTAATATAAAAGCTTACCCCCTTTAATATTTACCTACTTAAATATTAACTTTATAATAATTATCCTTAATTTCTAATAAATATTTTTTAACGTTGTTATAATAATATTTAAAATATTAAGTATTATAATTTTTAATTTATTAACGTTAAACCGTTATTAGTAAACTTTAAATTATACCTTAAGCTACGGAAATTAGTTTATATTTAATAACTATATTTAAGTTAAGTATAAAAACAAATATAATAATAAGATAGCTTAACGTATATTATATTTAATTATATTTATAATATGAAACATTTTAGTAATATTTAATATTTATTAATAAACATAAATAGATTATATTATTTATCAATAATAATACTAATTGTTTTTTTATATTTTAATATTAAAGATGTAATTTATTTTAAATATTACTTGAAATAATTTGAATTTCTTTTATTTATTTTAAATATAACGTGGTTTACCAGTCAGCCGCGCATATCAGTCAGCCGCGCATTTCCTTATCGCATACTAAATTGCATATTTACTTAATTTCTTAGAATAATAAATAATTAAAAAGATTTCAGTATCTTTATAATATATTTAAAATATAACTAGTTAAGTTTAATAGAAAAAGACACTTTAATCTTTTTATATTGAAATAAGTAGTGGAATAGAAATATGGGTCTTTGATAAGGATATAATATATTTACTCTATCTCTAAATAGAAATTAATTTTTAAAACTTTTTATTTAGTTTGGTGACTCTTATCAAAGATTAATGAAAAAATTTAAACGTTATATAACCAACAATGAAAAAGATATTAATTATATAATGTAGGCGACTTAGTATACGATAAGGAAATGCGTGGCTGACTGATATGCGCGGCTGACTGGTAAACCACGTTATTTATAATTCTTTGAGTTAAATATCTAATGATTAATATTAGAAAAGTATTATTTATTTACATTATTTTTTATTTTTAAGCTATTAAAGTTAATTAGAAATTTAAATAATAAAGAGCTTTTTTTTAATTATCCTGAGATCTCAAAGTTTATTTTAAAATATAATGTTTAATAGTAATCAGCAGATACTATAATAGTATAATCATTTGATATATAATTTTATTAGCTTTTTTTTGCCCCTGATTAGAGGCAGGGAGGCGCAGAGTGAAATGTTGGCAGGTGCAATTAATTGACCTTCGTGACTGGTGTAGATGTAATGAGCCAATCATGTATGAGGTCAGTCCAGGAAAAGGGGCCAAGGTGGATTCTGCAGATTGGTTCCTGCCTGCTTTGCCCACCCCCACAAAACGAAAACACCAAAAGTCACTGCAACAGCAAGAACCAGACGAACACATTGGCCCATTCTTCCTTCCTCGTGCGGTTCATCCAGTTGGCAGTCATTGCCCGCCACGGGAAACGGCGGGACACGACGCTGTCTGTGTCCAGTGATCTTTCCGGCTGTCAGAAACTGCTCGTCCGTCAATGGGGGGTCCTTGCCGGTAAAAATTGCGACTCGTGGCCGGGCCATCCATGGTGCCAGGCCGGAATGCCGTCTGTTCGCCATTCCTCCGACTGGTAATACTCTTCAAATGCTGTCTTTTCGTCTTCACTTTGGACCCATGCTTCGGCCTCCCCTATCCAACTTCCGTGCGCGCTTTCCTCATTGATCCCATTAAACATTTGACACCATGTCCCGATTCGACCAGCCTCTGGCGCCTGAGTCGTCGTCACCCGCTGCCCTACGTGGACCGAAGAAGGAATTTCGACTGCGTCTAGACTGAATCCGTCTCAATAATCGACCGATAGAGGCCGTCGCTTCCATGCACCTGACCGCACCTCTCATCATCAACGTCGCCCGGGAAAAGAGCATACAAGTAATACACGACCCCATAAACGGTCGCCTCAAGGGAGGTTTGCAAGCACTTCTGCTACCCAGTACGCTGCTGCCACCAAACGCGTTGGACCAACATGGCGAGAACCATGTAATCGACCGGATCGTCCAACCCCAGCCGGGAGCTGGGACTCATGGCGGCTGTCATCCACCACCGCTCATTTCCAACCGCGCATTCCTCGAGGGGGTCCCTGGTCCACAGCCGCCGCCTCCCCAATCTTGCCAGGCCACCACGTCTAGACGTGAGATTTGCAACGAAGAACCCTACCATAACCGCGTTAGTCTTTGCGGAGGCGCCACTACAAATTGCAGCATAAACTTCATTGAAAGTCAAATACATGGAGAGCCAGGAGACTCGTGTAGTGCCCCGGATCCAGCGGCCCGGCGGCAACCTCAAAAATTTTCCTCGCTCGTAAACGGTCAGACTACGCTCCTCGATTTCTTGCAGAAGGGATGCTCCCTCCAGACGTTGATGGGTCTTGGCCGCGGCTCACTTGGCTGCCACTGTGCATGCGTGAGAGTTCGATATTTGGCCCAAAGTGGTCTCATTCGACTGGGTCTCATTTCCTCCGTGCCGGTACGCCGCTCAGCCCGGAGAGCACGATGTCTCCCGCTTCCGTATGCCCAACTGTCATGCGGTGTTGACGACCGTCTTCTATTATCCTATCGTCCACATCCACAACGCCCTCCCAAGTCGGTGGGCTAGCGCCCTGCCGGTACGAGGTCTATTGCTTTGGCTTTCGCGGCGCTTTCTGCTAGTCGACGGGTACCTGCGCCTCCCCACATAACGCCCACATACCGCCGCATGGTAAATGGTCAAGCTCCAGACGGCGCGGTGGCGGCTCGTACAACGGCGCCACAGATCGAATACAAGCGAGAAGTAAATTGTGCAACGGGCGGGTGCTTTCGGCCTGGCTGGCCATTGAGTGATATCATGGCCCCTTTGCGTTCTCTTACTAACCCTGAGGACAAAAGTAAGTAGTGCGGAGCGTCGCCCCAAATGGCATAGGTAGCATCCCCATGCCAACATTGCAAATGCAGCGAAGAGTAATTGACCCTGTGGCTGGATACATCAAAAAAGCCCCGGCGCGCAAAGCAGTCCATCGCATAGTGCCACAGACTGCGACTTGGGCAGACCGAGGTTGCTCAGCGACAACCACCTCTGCGGTACGAAGCCTGGACGGCGCCGGCATGGTAGCGTGTTGTACAACCCAGACCTCATTTGGTTCCAATCGGGCCACGGCAGCACAGAGAATAAGAGTGGGAAACAAATGTCACTGGCTCACCGAGACAATGGGTAAGAGTAGTCTAGAACCTGTCTAGCCCGAACAGGCTCAGGCCGGCCATGCTCTCTTCCCGGATTGCACAGCGTGTAGTCTTCACTCCAGGGACTCCGAGACAAGTCTCAAAATTTCGCCATGCTCGTCAAAGACCCCGCTTCCATTTCTCGCACTTGGTGCTGGCTTGACCCAAATCTAAGCATGGATTGTCAGGCAGCTTCCCGTGAGGTAGTTGTTGGCAAACACGTTAGCAAGGCAGCCTTACGGCCGGTGCGAAGCTCCATGATTGTGTTCTTGAGTGTGTAGACATGGAGAAAGGATGGATTAGGACCAATTCCTCCGAGAGGGAAGCTGTTGTGTGGGCAGGGCCGTTTATAGCCCTGCGCTGCCCTTTCTGCTGACTGCCCTCGAGACTTACATTGGAATGCTATCTAGAGGCTCTCGCAAGTTTGCCACCGGCGCAGCCTTGTAGGATACCTGAGGCCTTGACTCACCGTTAATTTCAGCGAGGCCAAATGCCCACTGGACCAACTGCCAGGTATCGTGGTTCGATAAGTCAAGTTGGGCACTGAAGGAACCTCTTCCGAATCGAAGTGCAAAGCGAAGCCCCGCTGCTCACACATATCCGGAGCCCATGATGTGCCTCGTACTTTATTCTAGGGACTCTGAGACCAGTCTCACCACCACGCCACACCGCAACGCATGTCTGACTGACACGGGCGGGCCGCTGAGCCAGTCCAGCTGAGGCTGGTGTGTGTGTTTTCTCGGCACCACAAACGGCGCAGGTCTCATCTTGTCACGATGAGGCTGGGCAAGCGAGGGCGAGGGCGGCGGCGGCAGCGGCAGCAGCAGCAGCAGGCGACCGGATGGACGGGCGACGGCGGCACAGCGACTGGCTGCTCCAGTGCAAGACCTCCGCGGGCACATGACTAGATCCGTCGAGAGAAGTTCCCGTTCTGACCGTTTCTGGACTCCTTGCGTCTTCACGGCGTTTGGTGGATGTCGTTCAGGAGCACATCATTGGGCCTCATCGATATCGATGGAAGAAAAAGCTGGACAAATCCAGATGGGATTTGCGGCATACCGGCACACCTCGGCAAAGTATGTCAATCTCGTACGACGCACTTCTTCTCGTTCTTCAAAGTGGGTGGTTGTAATCGTTTTGTGTTTTTTGGTCAACTATCATGGATAACACACAAGCGACGGATGGCAAATGTCTGCTAGTAGCTGATGGGGCTGGATGATTTCCGCCGTGCCTTATCTTGAGGCAATTTACCATCTTTTTTTTGGCCCACCGCCATGGGAGTCATGATGCCTTAAGTATCTAAGCCGTCTCCAATCTGTAATATATCCTAAATTCCACATACACGAAGAGTATGCAGTGCAAGTGTAAACTGACAAGGCTCGCTCTAAGTAAAGTAGTCTCTCTCCCCCTCTCTCTCCCCTTCTCTCTCTCCCATGTGTTTGGAAACGACTTTATGCTCATGAGTGAATAAGACGGGGATGGAGGATGTGTGCTGAGAGAAGATGTCTGGTGGAACGCTATGGTCATCTGTTCAATGCAAAAACACAATCAAATTCGAGTCCTCTAAAGCACTCCCGGTGATAATGATAATAGTGTCTATGCCTCTGCCCCGGTATTCATGGCCAAGCCTCCTCACTCCTATGACAACTACTCGGTAAACATGCGGTACTTCGAGCCGCGGAAGCGCTCCAAGTCTCGAATGCCTTCAATGTCCATGCCAAGGAGCGCTGCCCGCACCAGCTCGCTCTGGCTTTGATCCACAATACAGATTTCCATCCTGTCTCCTACTCCATGGTCCCAGAGCTCCTCCACTGTCAGTCCAAGGGGCATATCAGGAAAGTGGAACAAGAACGATGTCCCGTACTCAGAGAGCGCGCCATGCCGTACTTGGTGGGCGGATGCATATGTTATCATCTGTTGGCTCAGGTTTTTGGAACCTGTATCAAGTGGAAGCTCCCAGTTTGACTCATGGCGATTTCGGCGCATTCTGTAGCGGCTCCGGGGGGGGGGTTTCGGCGATGGCTGCTTTCTCGAAATTGGGGATCCGGCAATCGAGGGTTCCGGTCGTTTTCATCTCTACGTAAAGCACGCAAATGCTCGTCGCGTCTTCGTTCCCGTGTCCGAAGTTGATTTTGGAACCCTTGGGCTTGACTACGCCGATCATGTCCGGACGAACCACAACATGATCCCTCTCGTGCTCGGTATCATCGTCCTCGGTGTGGTAGTCCTTGGAATCTCTGGTAGTCGAGGTTCTGCGGCGTTTCCTTTTGTTGGTAGGTCGATGAGCGTCCTCGTCGATCTCGCTTTCGTCACCATCGTCTGCTGTATGCCGTGGTTTCGGGATATTGGGGAGGCACAATTGATGTTCCCAGGTATGCCTCACTTCGTACGTGTCCGAGCTCGTGATGTTGTTTAGACACTCCATGACAGGGTGTATGACGTGCAGATTGTATGCACAAACATTATCCTGCTCGGAGTATCTCTCCAAGGAGATGCCTCCAGGAACTATGAGACTTTGGTCGACCTGATTGAGCACTGCGTCCTTGAAGCGTTCGGCGATCTCCAAGTACTTTGTTACCGGAACGATCTTCAGCGTCTTTGGGACCTTTCGAGATCTCGCGGTCTCGCTGATGGACGTGGGTTCTTTCTTGAATTTTCCCGCTGGATATGTCGGAAGGGGATGCTCGAGCGAGAAAACCGCCTCCGTGGTTGTCGGGTTAACACCTGCCATCGTGATTGACTGGGTTATCACGGTTGTGTTGAGTAGGCGTTGCAGAAGGGGTGGAAGAAGATGTCAGCCGAATGTAGCAATGAGACGAAGCAACGAGATGAGAAAGTAGTCGGGATGAGGCTGGAGATGGAAATACTGGTGATTGAGATGGCAGTGAAGGATGGACGACACAGCTACCATATTGAACGACGAGATGAGGGAGGTGCTACTGAAGAAGGAGGCAGAAGGCTTGACACCGACACTTCTTCTTTCTACCTTGAGAATGTCCTTTCACTCGTATTCTTTGCATACAGTTCCCACCTTTAGCTGAAGGGTTTGCATTACAGAGTAAGGAACCTCACAGAATACGGCATACACATATTACCATGTTGACGCCGTGATAAATACATCAAAGCGGCGGTGAGACGACTGAGAGAATCTCTTCCGCCAATTTCCGCTGCATTATGTTTGTTGCCTGCTTCATTCCACACCGCTAAAGACAACATAAACTGGAAAGAGGTATGCCGGGAAGCGTCTTGTCTATTCCACGGGCAGCGGACGTTTGACATCTGTCACGTACACAGGTGTCAGTCTTGTCAAGTACCAGCCAACGGTCAGCAGCAGTGTTTTCAGGGCCAGTGATTTACGATGCCCAGAGTGACTTGGTTGGAGCGAGTCTAGCATCCAGTATTTTTTTGTGACATGTCTCTGCTAGGCAAGGACATTCTATCCGTTGGTACAAGTGAGGGAGGTAGTAATATCACCCTACCAATGTCTAGGTGTAGTCTCATGCAGTACGGCAAGAGGCAGGTAGCAGACGAGTTGCAGCGGAAGAGTACCAGAAAGTGTGATTTGATGTCATTGGCAGCTCCTGTGAAGAAGTCATGAAGATGGCATGGCATTGTGTTGTCCTTGCTATCTCCCATGATCTATGACCTCACCAAATTGTTCTTTGCTCGGCGCTCCAATAACTCGAAGAGGACCGCAGGCTTCGTCACTCATCACTTCTAGGGGTCGCTTCTGTCATCGGTGTATGCCGTACAGTGTACGTATGGGAGCAGGAACTTTGGACAGCGGGCTCTGCTCTGCGCTTTTGTTCGGAAGGGGTTGCTTCAGCGCCCAACATGACTTATGAAACTACGATACCCGGTAGTTGGCCCGGTGGACAATTGACACAGATGATACGATGGAGGGGTGAGTCAAGGTCTCGGATATTCTTCAAGGCTGTGCCGGTAGCAAACCGACAAGAGTTCCGTACAACTCTCTAGAGCATTCAGCAGAAAGGGCAGCGTAGGTAGGGCTGTAAACGGCCCTGCCATTACGACTACTTACATCTCTCCGTTTTGCAGTGTACCTTAAGCAACTAGATACCCGTGCTAGAGCCAAGCATGCAAGCCCGAAACCTCCTCCCTTTCCATCAGCCAGTCGAGTGTGGTGTGCGTTTCGGGCTGGTCGCTACAAACGATGATGGCTTACCTTGCAAGATACACCTCAACCATGAGCAGTACATTCTTCCTTTCCTCTTGTTTTACAAATGGCACAAGGATGCTTTGAGACTCTCATCACCTTTGACAAACAGGCATCAATTGCTTGCAACCTGACGAGGCCGGGAGCCTTGATGCAAGGCACCGAGGTAAAATTCTGGATGGCCGACATGGCTGTCTCTTCCCGAATGTGACCGTTGTGGCTAGGAGCATCCGTGCAGATCTCAAGCTCAATTCGTTTGACTTTCCGATCGCCATAGTACCTTTCATGTACGACACCTCAAGGTGCCACCCACACCATATTTTAACTCCATAAGCAGCGAGCCATCTCCGTTTGCTTTGCCCAAATTTTCAACTTAGGACGACTCAATTCCTCCCATTGCTGCTTAAGCCAAGCCATTTCTCTCTCCCTCTGCCTCTCTCTTGCTCTCACTCCCAATCTCACTCCCACCCTCACTCCTCACTCCTCACTCTCATCTCACTCCACACTCTCATTTTCTCTAGCTTCATCCTCATCAGCGTCCATCATGTCCCGCCCCAGCAGCAGTCGTACTTCGAAATGGGCTCGATAAGATCCAGGACAGAAGCTGAAGCTCTACCAATACACGACTGTCCAGCCATACGGCCAGCCCCAATACGAGAACCCTCCAAAACTACAGGTCCGTCCGGGAGGTCTTCGGAACTTCAATCCACAGACCTATGTCCCCCCTAGAAAACAGGCCCAAATTGAGGTTATCGAGCTCCTATCCGGGGGCCCCAGAGGCGGCGCTCAGGTACTTCTTTCCAAAATCGTCCACGCACCCGCTGAATACAGGTCGTCCCATGCCCCATTCCCAGGCAGTCCGCGCAAGAAGAACTCGGGACAAGCGCCAAGTTTGGTCGTCGCCAAGGTCTTTGACCCATTGTTCTTCGAAGGGAATAATGAATATATCTGCGCGTTGTTCGGCAACGATGTGTTCGCGGAGCAGCTCTTGAGTCGCGAGTCTGGAGCATACGAGTACATCTACGAGAAAGGCAAGCCTAAAGGCCCTACACCTCATTCCAAGCGGAAGGGCAAGCGATGGGAAAACGACAACAGCATGACTGGCCATCCCCACCTCACCCCGCAGTACTACGGAACATGGGCAGTCAAGATCGAGCGCGGCGACCACAAATACGATTGTGCCGGCTTGGTTTTGATGGAGTACATTGAGGGTCGTCCCATGGAGAACCTTTGCACAAGGGGCAGGATTACCGGACAGCTTCATCCGCGTGCGCTGGCAATATCACCTTCCACAGTTTCACCGACTCGCATGGACAAGTCCAGAGAAAGAAGGCAGAATTGACCGAGCCTTTCCGGTTGAATGTCTTCCGTCAGATCATCCACGAGCTGGTGGTCCGCATCCACATTGGTTTCGAACACGAAGACTTCGACCCCGAGAACATCTTCCTCACGTTTCGCGACCACGGTGCGGTCGATGACCTACGCGAGCTCCACGAGCCGCGGCCTGTCTTGCTTGATCTGAACCTTAGCCAAGTCTTTTGCAAGACCAAGGATGCAAACGAGCCTGATGGACCGCAACACCGTCTCGAGTGGCTTCCCTTACCCCCCCACCCCTTGGAAATTACTTCCCGCAATGCCATGGGGCTTTTCATCGGCTGGTTTGACCCCGATTGGTCGACCAAGAGGTTTGATGAGTGGTTGGTGCAAGAGTTTGGTCCTTTGGAGGAGGGCTCGGCGGAGGGCTCGACTGGGAAGTACTCTACGTTTGCCACTCTGGATGCAATCGAGGCCGGAAAGGACGAGATGATGGAAGAGGACCTACTCGCGGACACTGCGCAAATGGTTGATACCGAAGAAGCGCGCGCTCTCGCGTTGGAGCCTCTTGTGGCGAGCACGCAAGGCCTTACGCTGGAGGACTCCCCGGCAAAGACGACATCGCCGCGCCCGAGCCCCCCGCGCGCCGACTGGTACGCCGAGGACATGGAGCCGCACGACATCTCTTCTGGCGCAAGCAGCCGCACGAGCAGTCGCCCAAGCAGTCGCACGAGCAGCCGACAGTCCCATCGATCTGACGAGTCAACTGGAACGGAGAGTGGAAGTGATAATGTCCCTCCACTCCGCAGACACCCGTCATTCAAGAGTCCTACCCTCAAGCGCCGGATCCTACCTAGCGGCCCGACCTCCGCTCGCGGTGAGACAGAGCAACTTGTGATCAAGCAGGCCGGGGAGGACTCGGGCATGGATACCATTGAGGAGGAATAGCCAAATCACGCGAGCAGGTTGGGGATGGAGATGGAGTCATAGGAGGGAGCGGAGGGATTTGGATTCGGATCGGATCGGAATAGATTGGGTGGCCCTGTGCATGTTGTCTCCAGATTGACCAACTTTTTGAGACGTGTGTTTCGTTTTTTTTAGATCTTGAGAGAAAAAACAAAACACCAAAAAAAATAATTCAGTCATCAGTGTAACGTGAATGATAAGCGAGTGAGACAGACAAGCGAGTGAGACAGACAAGCGAGTGAGACACAAAACTGCGCCGATGATGCTTCAACACAAATGGAGACGTTTCTTCCACAACACATCATGGCATCCAGAAGTAATGAGTCAGGCATACAGCTGGCCCTTCAAGCTATCAGAATCAATCCAGAGCTTAGTGCACGGGCTGCAGCTACGATCTACTCGGTCAGCCATGCAACATTGAGTCGACGATTGAAGGGCTCTACATCTCGAAGCGACAGGATACCGAACTCGAGGAATCTTACTTTGCTAGAAGAGCAGACGTTAGTTGATCACATTCTCGATCTAGATGCCCGATCATTCCCTCCCCGGATCCGTGGTGTGGAAGAAATGGCTGATCGACTGCTTGCTGATCGCGACGCGCCTCCGGTTGGGAAGCGCTGGGCCTTAAACTTCGTCAAACGACAACCACAATTGCGGACGCGGTTTTTTCGGAGGTACGACTACAAGAGGGCCCAATGCGAGGATGCAGAGGCTATTCGCGGCTGGTTCGCTCTTGTGAAGAACACAATCGCGAAGTATGGTATCGATGAGTTTGATATCTACAACTTTGATGAGACTGGCTTTATGATGGGCCAGATTGCATCTGGCATGGTTGTCACAAGTACTGAAAGGCGTTCAAACACAAAAATGGCGCAGCCTGGTAATCGAGAATGGGTTACAGTGATTCAAGCCATCAACTCGCAAGGCTATAACGTCCCGCCGTACATCATCGTTGCAGGCCAATATCACCTCTCAACCTGGTATACAGAGTCAGGTTTCCCGGACGACTGGGTCATTGCGACGTCATAAAACGGATGGACAACAAATGAAAGAGGCCTAGATTGGATCCAGCACTATGATCGTCATACGAAACCACGTTTGAGAGGCCAATATCGCCTCCTCGTCGTCGACGGGCACGAAAGTCACCACTCAACAGACTTTGAGCTATATTGCAAGGCAAACAAGATCGTTACACTTTGTATGCCGCCTCATTCGTCTCATCTACTCCAGCCCCTTGACGTTGGGTGCTTTGGTCCGCTAAAGACGGCGTATGGGCAACAAATTGAGGATAAGATGCGGCGGGGCGTAACCCACATCTCAAAGGAGGACTTCTTTCCTGCATATCGCAGCGCATTTAGTCAAGCGATGACTGAAAAAAACATCCAAGGGGGTTTTAGAGGAGCTGGGCTTGTTCCTCTGAGTGCAGAAAGCGTCCTATCAAAGCTGGATATCCGGCTACACACTCCAACGCCTCCAGCATCACTACCACAGACACCTCCGCCTTGGGTTTCAAGGACACCAAACAACCCAGTAGAGGCAAGCTCTCAATCCAACTTTATTAAGAGTCGGATCACTCGTCACCAAAGCAGCTCCCCAACCTCTATTTGCGAGGCTGTTGAACGACTTTCTAAAGGTACAAGAGGCATCATGCACCAAGTAGCCTTACTTAGATCTGAGGTACAGATTCTTAGAGACGAGAATAACCAACTCAGTCGACGACGGAGAACTAAGAAAACACGCCTACAACATGGAGGAAGTCTTACTGTAGCTGACGCAGCAGATATACAGTCACAGAAAGATGTGACTGCGCAGGTTCAGGAGGAAATGCGTCGTACTAGTGGTCGCAAACTGAGGGCCGAGACAGGTCAGCGACGGTGTGGCGTTTGTGGTCACCCGGGACACAATTCACGAACGTGCCAGTTTATTGAAGAGATGTCTGAAGATGAGGATTATGAGTAGTTTGAATTGAATTGATGCTGTTGATGTTGATATGGAAGCCAGTTTATCTCATCGGCGCAGTTTTGTGTCTCACTCGCTTGTCTGTCTCACTCGCTTATCATTCACGTTATCGTCTTTTCCATTCCCGTTCAAAAAACAAGTGCATTCATAAAACGCGTGGCCCAGCAGCCATCAAGTCCATCTCCTCACCGACACCACCCACCGCCTCGGCCAGCTTAGATCGTGAACTCAAACTCAACGTCTTCATCATCACATGCAACAGGCTACAATCCCGACTAGGCCAGAGGTATGTCAACCAGCCACACTCCAGTCCCATCCAGCCAAGGGCAACTGCCTAAATATCATATCCCCAGTGCCTTGCTCGCCCTCGGTACCCGCCGCTACACAAGGCACCAGATCACCACGCACAACCACACGTAGGAAAGCAACGCAAGCGTTTGAAAAGATTGGAATTACTTCTAAGCGAGTCGGTTTACCCGAGTACCCACCGAGGGGAGTCTATTCTCTCAACCCTGCCCAATTAAACCAAAGGCTACATACAACACCCCGACATTTCTCATCCATCTAACCTCCTTTTTGTTTGACGACGGCGACGACCGCCTCTGACAAATCTCTCTCGTGAACGAGTAAAACGCCCAATAATGCAAAGAAAAGAAAAAAGACATGGACCAGTGTCATGATCCGGATATCTCTAGCGACGACGCAATGAAGCCTTTCGCAAGCAAATGCAGCTCGCCACAAAACAGGCAAAAGACTTTTCCTACTTCACGCACATCGTTCCCACGTCTAGCTGTTCTTTTCCAGGGACTGGAGGTTGACCAGCTCAGCATAGCGGCCATTCTTCTTCATGAGCTCGGCGTGCGTGCCTTGCTCGACAATGCGGCCCTGGTCAAAGACGTAGATGATGTCGGCCTTTTGAATGGTGCTGAGACGATGCGCCACGGCAATCGTTGTGCGGCCCTTGGCGGCCTTGTCGAGGGCAGCCTGAACGACGTGCTCGGACTCGGAGTCAAGGGCGGACGTGGCCTCGTCCAGCAGCAGAATCTTGGGATCACGGATGAGAGCGCGGGCAATAGCGATACGCTGCTTCTGACCTCCAGACAAAAGAGCACCCTTGCTTCCGACCACCGTGTTGAAACCCTCGGGCATCGAAACGATAAAGTCGTAAATGTTGGCCTCGCGACAGGCAAACTCAATGGCCTCGTCGGTGACCTCTGTGTGGGCACCGAGCAAAATGTTCTCCCTGATTGTGCCCTGGTACAGGGTGGGCTCCTGGCTGACGAGGGCGATGAAGGAGCGGTACTCGTTGACGTTGAGCGTGCTAATTTCCTTGCCGTCGACAAAGATGGCGCCGGAAAGGGGGTCGTAGAAACGCTCGAGAAGGGCAATCGTGGTGGACTTGCCGCAGCCGGACGCGCCGACAAGCGCGACGTACTGGCCGGGGCGAACGACGAGGTTGAGTCCGCGGAGGACGGGCTGCTCGGGTCTGGTCGGGTACCGGAAGTGGACGTCGCGGAACTCGAGGGTGCCGTCAACGGCGTCGAGAGAAGCGCCCTCCTTGGACCACGTGTCAATGGTCGGCTTGCGGTCAAAGAGAATCTTGAGCTCGTTGGCGGCCTGGTGAGCCTTGCCCATGTCGGGAGCAAACGAGAAGATGGAGCCGGCCGACTGCGCACCAAAGATGACGGCAGAGAAGCAGACAAAGAACTGGAACATGTTGTACTGCCCATCGGCGATGAGCCTACCACCGTACCAGAAACCGAGGGCAAAAGCCAGGAACATGAAGGACTGGGACGCGGCGAACAACAAGCTCGACTTGAGGATCGAGATGAGACTGGCGCGCTGTTGGATGGCCAGGGAAGTCTGGTACTGGCGGATGACATCGTCCTCGCGCGTCAGCGAGGCAACGGTGCGGATGGCCGAAATGGCCTCGGATGCGTAACTCGCCGAGTTGGAGTAGGCAGTCTTGGAGCGGCGCTGGAAGTGGGCGAGCATCCAGAAGCGGAAGAAACCACAGCCAATGAGGATCGGGATGGTTGCCGTACAGACGAGGGCGAGCTTCCAGCCAATGGCGATGGCGAGCGCTAGCGCAGCAACCAAGGTTGTCGTGACCATGAGCAGGGTGCCGAGGGTGACGCCGCTAAGTCCGGCCAAGTGGGTGGTCTCAGTGGACAGGAACGAGGTGAGCGCGCCGGCCGTGTTGGAGTCCTTGTCGAAAAAGGCAACGTCTTGTCGAAGCATGGTGCGGAAGGCCTGGTCGCGAACACGGTGGATGAGGCGCTCGGAGCACTTTGCAAAGACGATTCCCTGGACGACAAAGGCAATGAACTGGACACCGGCGAGCATCAGGTACATGGCGCTCCAAAAATCGGAATCCTTCTTCATCTGGTGGAGAGTCTCCTGGGTAGTCTGCGGGGTGATGGGGACCGACAGAGTCGTAATCTGCTTGGCGAAGAAGACAGCCTGGGTAGGGTTGCCGCCACCGCAAATGATGGAGAAGAAGAGGCCGATGAGCATGAGCTTCAACTCCTTTTGGTTGAACGAGGCGATGAGCTTGATGAGGGTCCACAGACCGTACTTGGCCTCGCCATCGTCCTTTCTGTTCTGGAGGGCGATGCTGGACAGAGACTTGGAGGTGCTTGTCCGCTGCAACTTGGCGGCCATGTTGTCTTCGGGGTCGGCAACGTAGCCCTTGTCGGAGGCGCGCGAGGCCTTGCGGATAATCTCGTCGTCTTCGGCGTCGATGGCTTCCTCCTCGGCAGCGTCCATCTCGTTGACGCGGGCAATGTTCTGGGCCGTGACGAGGTTGTAGTAGGCGCCTTGCTTGGCGAGGAGGTCGTTGTGAGTACCCTGCTCGACGATGCGGCCGTTGGACATGACGACAATGTTGTGGGCATCTTTGATGGTGGACAGACGGTGGGCAATGGTGATGGTGGTGCGGCCCTGGGAGGCGACTTCGAGAGCGGCCTGCACAACACCCTCAGACTTGGTATCGAGGGCAGAGGTGGCCTCGTCGAGCAGCAGGACTAGGGGGAATTAGCATAGGGCACTGCCGAGACGTACAGGGCTGACTTACTCTTGGGGTTGGACACGACGGCTCGCGCAATGGCGATGCGCTGCTTTTGGCCACCGGAAAGGAGGAAACCGCGCTCGCCAACGTTGGTGAGGTAGCCTTCGGGGAGATCGGTAATGAAATCGTGCGCGTTTGCCATTCTCGCCGCCTCCTCAATGAGCTTCTTCTGCTCCTCCTCGGACGCGTTCTCGTGTTGGGTGCCAATGAGGCCGTATCGGATGTTCTGGTAGATGGTGGTCGCGAACAGAGTGGGCTCCTGGCTGACGAGCGCCATTTGCTGACGCAGCCAGCGCAGGTTCAAGGTGCTAATGTCGTGGCCGTCCAGGAACACTGATCCGTGGACGGGGTCGTAGAACCGCTCAACGAGACCGACAATGGTACTCTTGCCGGAGCCCGAGGCGCCGACCAACGCCGTGGTCTTACCCGCAGGAATGGTCAAGCTCACGTCCTCCATGACGATGACCTCTGGGCGAGACGGGTAAATGTGCTTAATGTTCTCGAGGCGGATTGTGCCTTCGACCTGCTCGAGCTTGGTTCCGTCGTCGCGGGAGGGGTCCAGCGGAGAGACGCGGTCAATGGTGTTGTAGATCTTGGCGGCCGCCGCAATGGCAGTGGTGAAGGCCTGGACGTTGGGTGCGACGTTTCCGAGGTTAAAGGCACCAATCATGATGGACATCATGATGATGAGAATGTTGGACAGCTTGATGCCGTCGTCAATGAGGAACTTGCTTCCCTGCCAGAACGCGAGACCGTAGTTGAGATACAGAATGGTCATCATCAGCGCAACCATGACGCCAATGGCAGACTTGACCTTGTAGCCAAAGAACTCGGCCTTTGTCAGGTGCGCATCGTACTGCTTGGCGAGGCGGTCCTGGGTGCCAAAGGCGACGGCGTTGCGGATGGAGCTAATGACCTCGTCGGCCAGACTGCCTCCGTGGGCGTACGCCTCGATGGACTGCTTGCTGTACTTGACGATAAAGGTCGAGCCGCCTCCCATGCTCAAGAGAAGGGCAGCGACGGTAGACAGGAGGATCAGGGTGAGCTTCCAGTAGTGGACGAAGCCAATGACAAAGGCCGAGATGAAGGTGGCGATGGCGGCGAGCGTCAGGCCGACCTTTTCCGAGATGCCGTCCTGGATCAGGTTGGTGTCGGCGGTGATTCGGGTCGTGACCTCGCCGGCGCCCAATTTGTCGAAGAAACCAATGTTCTGGCGCATGCAGCTCTGGAGGTAGTGCTCGCGAATCTTTGCGCTAATGTGCTCTCCCGTGTCTAATTTTGGTCTTGTGTCAGATTTAGACTCGCATCCTCCCGCCAGGGGGGGGGGACTTACAGATGAATCCAACCGTGGTGATGTACTGGCACACAAAGACGCCAATGGCGAGGTAGACAAAGTACAAGACGAGGCTCGCCATCTCTGCGTTAAAGTCGCTCTGGGCCGTCTTGCCGGCAAAGTAGTCCTGAAAAGTGCCCTGCAGGTTACCAAAGATGACCGTCATGAGCGGCAGTGCGGCGCCGACCACGATGGACGTGAAGGCGGAGAGGGAGAGGATGAGCAGGTCGTTGGTCGAAGAGTACCGGTACAGGGTCATGATGCCGGCCTTGACTTCGGGAGTGAAGACTTGACGCTTGAGAATCGCAGCCTCATTGGCGGGCAGGTGCTCGTAGGGGTCATCGCTGGGGTCTTTTGGTGCGATAGCCTTGGAGTCGGCCTTTTCGAGGTTGTTGATATTGGCCGTCTGGTTCTTTGGCTGGCTCGATGCATCCACTTCGGTCGAGTCGCCATGGGACGATGCCCTGTCAGAGTGGCCGTTGCTCGCTGTCTTCTCAGCCACCTCTGTTGCCTTTTCGCTGGCCCCGCCGGGCTTCTCGTTTTCGAAAGACATGTTGGCGGCGTGGCTCCTGGTAGAGCTGTGCGCAGTGTGAGGGGGAAAGCTTGTTGCGCCGGTATGCGCTGGGCGCAAGCTGGTCGTTATGCGGTTGTCGGGTTCCAATGTCGCTGGTGTGGCTTGTGTACTATGGCTTGGGTAGGTTGGACCGACGACGAGATGCAAATCGTTCTCCCCCCAAATTACAATCAGTTCTATGGATTATGGGCAGGCCAGTAAACGAAGAAGAAGAAGAAGAAGAAAGTCAACCACGGCGAAAGCCAAGAAAGAATTTGCGGCGATCGGGGGTCGGGATCGTTGTTGTCGCGCGCAACAATGGATCGGGACAGGCAAAGGGCGGGAAAACAACAACTGTAGTCGATTTGGCGTCCCTCGACTCTTAATAAAAAAAAAGACGAGGACGGATAGAGAAAAGAGGCGTTCCCAGTTCCCACTCGGGTTGCAGGCCAGGATAGGGATTAGTGGAATCCGTCGCGAAGGTGTGGACTGTGGAATAAAAAAAAGGTCCCCAGGACCTTGGCGAGGGACGGACTGGGGTGTGCACATTTGATATAGATGGGCGGCGGGCCTAGCACGAGGAGGAGATGGGGGCAACCGGCCGGGACGAGATTCGACGGAATGCAACCGACCCGTTCTGACCTCGCTCTTGTCAAATTCCCGAACTGTGACTAGCTCGGTTCCCTGTGTACCTCTACCATGCCCGAACCGCGCCGCCTACATGCGTGTTTATCGTCCATCTCATGTTGACTCATTGACCCGCCGCCCATCATCAGATGAGAGAAGGAACTTTGGTACGTTTGGGTATGAAGAGGTACCAAAAGTAAGTAGTGCGATGCCTTCCCTGTTGGGCACGCCGATATCGACACCGGTGCCAGTCATCCGGGAACGATGATGCACATGTAAGACTCTATAGGGCTTTCTCACCACAGCAGCATGCCCTGTGTCCGGTATACTCACATTGGCCTATTCGGTCTTGCTAGCTGGATTCGCAGGGCATCAAGTGCGAAGTGCGAAGTGCGAGCTGCGAGCTGTGGGTCCGATGAGCAGCAGCCGCAGCAAGTTGCACCGCACTGATGATTGCAGCCAACCTAAGGTTGTGATACCGCAGCTTGCGCAGCAAACCAACGCTGCACATCGGGTCTGCGCCGGGGTTCAAGAGCCAAAAGGGACCGGGATTCAAGGGGTTGGCGCACACTGCGACCTGTAACTGTTAGTGATTAGTACAAAGTAGGTACGGAGTATAGCACCCACGTTGTCGACGGGCCTCAGCATTAACCCTAAGGCTCAGCTGTCTCCTTCTCCTTCTCCTTCTCCTTCTCCTTCTTTCCTCTCTTGGTATGATTTTGCCCAGGCCGCCTTCCGCGTGATATTCTGGGGAAAGAGCCATGGAGACGGGAGGCAAGTACGAAGTACACAGTACCTGCACGCACCTTAGTCATTCGCAGAATCGACGCTACCGTTTTTGTGGACCTCCTAGGCAATCCTTACGGAATACTCCCCTTCCAAAGTTCCTCCCTCCTGTCTCTCAACCAAATGGGGTTTTCAGACTCGAATGATTACGATTGATCCCTCATATCTCGCTTCATCCACGTCCCCGATACGCCTCGAAGTATACGTGTAATGGACCAAAGTCAAAACTCAGCCTTTACCGGTCCCAACGCTTCCAACCAGCAACCGATTGTGTTTCGTCGACAAACAATCCCAGCACGCCGGTCCAGCAATCGAGAAAGACCACAGTCTCGGAGAAGCCGTGCTTTGGGCTTGCAACCTGCACGTCATGTTCGGATCGTCCACCGGCCAAAACAGCAGGCAGGAAGGCAGCTGCTGTCGAGGTAAGCACTGGCAAGCAGGTACCTGCTACACTAGTCACTACGTATACCCGTACCCATACCCGTCTTAACCCGTTCTGTCTCACCGTAGTCCAAGTCAGGCCCGTGTCTCGCTGCCGCCCCCGGTCGAGTCAGCCGGCGTGATAGAAGCCCAGCCCAGCGCCTCGCTTAACGACCTACGCCGCTACGCTCCCCCCCTCACCCCCCGCCAGCAATACCATTCTGCGGCTTTGCCCTCCCCCCTCGGGTTTCTTCAGCAGTCCGAATTCCGATCCAGTTCATTTCCTTTCCACGGTCCCTTGAACAGCTTCCAGAACATTGCCTATCCCTTGCGGTTGCTCTTTCAGCTTGGAGGGGTGTCGCTACGTGTTACAGCGCTGAGCGAATATACTCTGTACCCCGCCATACGCACCCACCGAATAATCTACCGATACACTTGTTTGATGATAATGGCAATCCCTCTCATCTTGCGCCGCTTGTCCTAGGAATCCTGTCTGACAGTCTGACGGTGACAAGGGTCTGGCGCGGGCCGGGTCCCTATCCCACCTATGTCCGGACCAGTCCTGAGGCGCCGGCGATAACGTCCCCTCGGGCCCCTCTCCTGTGGGTCTGCGGAGGGAAATGCGAGCGATTCAATAGGGGGCTCAGCGGATAAACCGTAAACGACAACGTTGGGTTTTGAGGTCCTTGGCCCTTGGGGTCGGGTATCCGTGCCGGGCTGTCTCGTTCCGGCGGCTGGACGATTACGACGCTCCATTACTCTGCCATGGACGTAGATGTCGGAAACGAGATACGAAATGCAAGTGCTTACAATCCAAAAGGTACAGAGTTCAGACTGCGATTCGTGATGGCTGCCAGGAATGCGCTCCAGCCAATGAGTCCTCTCCCAGTGTCGTGGACGGGACGATCTGGACTCGGCCAAAGTTCCCTGGTTCCCAGGAGCGGTGTGCTGCCGCGGCCACCTATTGGCAAACAGTTGTTGGTTTAGACGAGCTGCTGGATTTCAGACTTTGAAGGGTCCCCGCAGCCCTCTCACGCTCCCGTCAACAGGGGTAAGCCTTGGACGACGCGCCAAATGCTGTCATTGATCGTGGTCTCATGCCAGCACAAAGGCACGCGTAACGTTTGAATACGCGGGCTCGGATATGGTCTATTGGAATGATTACTAGGCAAGCTACCTGGACGATAGACAATGTCAGTCGGGCCACGGAGCATATGTCGCCGCCGTAGCTAATGTACTTGTGATAGGGGCCTCACGCTAAACTGAATCGCGGGCGTAACGTGTGTACTCTCGAACCGTACGGCGGTTATTTTGGCGCCGTCCCCCGATCGACCAGCCAAGCCGTATCTGCTCGCATTCTCTTAGCAGATGCGAGCCGTCGCTTGTTTCAACAACCCACTATCCCGCGGCGGTCAGCAATCGTCGGTCTCCCGGGACGCCACAAGACACCGTCAAATTCTCCGAGCCCTGCCCTGACCGGATGACTTCCACAGACGTACCGTAGCACCGGGACGAATCAAACGTGGAGCGACAGTGCCACTTGTGCTACCTACATCTCGAGGCGCGTGGAAGCCTGGTGCAGCACCGCCAGTTGAGCCTCAAGCACTGCTATTACGAATTCCTCCGGTTTGCCTTCGCCGGCGCCGTCGACCATCCGCAGATAGTCTTCGCGCTTCAAGTCCCGAATGACGACGGGAACGTAGCCCTGACGCGCCAGGTAATCCTGCTTCACCATGCGACTGGTACGCCCATTGCCATCGGGAAACGGATGAACGAGAACAAAGTAGGACGTCATCTGACAAGCCAGAATCAGCGGTTGCAGCGCCCTCTCCCGATGCTGCAGGTCCCGCCATTGGAAGAACCTCTGCATGCAGGCCGGAACCTCTTGCGGGTACGGAAAGATTCGAAGACGGTTGCTGCGGACGCTGATGGGCAGGTTGCGGTACTCGCCCAGCGGGACTCTCGATCCCCATACCAAGTTGCCGCCTGCCGTTGTTGAACCTGTCCGCCAGGTGTCGTAGGCCGCCTCGGAGTCTGTGTTGACGACGGACACCACGGCGAGGTCTCGTACTTCGGCTTCGCATAGTCCTGCGGTACCAGCCTTGGCCGCCGCGTTCTCTGCGATCCATTGCGATGCGATGATGTGGTTCTGCAGCTCGTTCGTGGCTGACTCGGTGACATTTACGCCTGCTGCAGTGGTCGACACGAGTTTGGCAAGCTCGCTGCTGGACGTGGAGGCAAGGTCAACTTGCTCGAGACGACTTTAAGGCGGTCGATAATGCGCATCGCGTCCGTCACTGACAGAGGGTTGTTCTCAATCATGACGGACTGCTGCGCGTATTCGGCAACCAGGGGTTTCCCCAGATCCCTTGCTGGGAGCCTCGCTCTGAGGTGATCTATTTCGTCCAGCAGGCTCGTCAGTTTCCGCTGCACATCGACGTACCCCATCTTGGAGGCTATTGCCGGGCGTAAAGTAATCTTCCCATACCCTGCCCGAGCGCGCCAAGTTTTCGTACTCGATAGATCCTTTCTGCAGGCGGGACGTCCACAGGCCAAAGCAAGGCTCCACGAAGGCCCAGCGAAGAGGGGGGGAGGTTCCTGAGCACGGCCCACCCCCATCCCTTTTTTCTATGCATATGTTGGAGAGGAGAGAGAGAAAAGAAATAGGTAGGCAACAGGCAGTGCGGATGGCCAGACCTGCATTATCTGATCTGATCTTGACGAAAGCTTCCTTGCCGTGATGAACCAAATTCAAATGCCGAGGAGGATTTCATGTTTCTCAAGTCTGGCTGACGCGTTCCCACCGCCGGTCGTCGTTTGACGGCACGACACTATTAGCCATTCGTGCCATCCCCCCAACCCCAAAGGAGACAGCCGCGATGTTGGTGGGAATGGTATGGATCTGGGACCACAAGAAAAGACGAGCTGAACTGGCGTGTGGCGCCCGAAACCGAGCCGAACGCGAGACGGGATCCATGTCGGGGGACCTTGGTCTGGTTCTGGCCGTTTCACTGATGGACTGTACGAAGTACGGAGTACCTGTGGGGGGGTTCTGGGGCAGAACGGCATTGACTCGGGCGTGAATCCACAGGTTCTTTTTTTCCTTTCTATATTCTATATTGGAAGGATGCTTCTTCTGAGGAGATGATCGTGCGTGATGGGAATGAGTGTATGTCCTTGATGCTATGATTTCTGCCTTTTACGTGGAATCGGTGGTATCCTCACTGCCTCATCGCCAACTTCATGATATGCCCATGTACTTCATGTGCTTCATACTCCAAAGTAGTGTAGAAACCAGAAGCACGTAGGGCCCGTACCTTGCAGGTTCATATTGCAGGTTCATATTCCCTTGCCCAGTGTACCAGCCTATCACGACGGGCAGTGATACCGTGAAATGAGATTAACTTCCCTTGGTCGGAGATTCGCTAGTCGCCATCATGCAAAATGAGCCTCGAGGCTCTGGTTCACAGTCAGCAAAGGTAGAACCGTTGAACCGTGGACAAGCACCGACCTTGGGGGAGGGGTACATTGATGGTTGGTGGTACAAGGACAGACGGAGAATATTCATTAACTTTGACAGTGACTGAGCGCTCCCGCCGAATATGCTTCTGTACTCCGTATCGGTAGTGCTAATCAATTTACCACCAGGAGAAAAAAGACTGTGATACCCGTCTTGGCGATGCACGACGATGCTTGCCAAGCTTTCTCTTTCCTTTTTTTCTTCTTTGAGATGGGGGAAGCCAAAAAAGCTCGGACACCTCAACTTCCATGAACCGACAGCTCGGGGTGCCAGGAGCCCAGGACAGGAAAAGTGGAGGATACCTTACGGAGTGCTTGGATTGTCATCAGGCACGTGATTGGAAGCCCAAAAAGGTCTGTGGGAGCGCCACAGGAAGAAATAAATTGGCCCCCGTTTATTCACTCGCAATCGCCACTGCTGCGCCACCTTCTTCACCGAAAAGCACCCAATCCCACATCACGACCAGGCTCGTCACTGAGCGGTCCAGTGAGATTTACTTGAGCTTCATCTCATACCTGTCCTCTTCGGAGATACAACCTTGCTGCCTGATTTATCCAGACATTAATTTTCACTCATTACTAGTCAAATCTTCTGATTTTACCAGGACCGCAGCGAAGCACCCTACACTTCATCGCGGCGAACCAGGCCGCCACCACGCGGGACATCCAAAGCGACGTCACATTGTCCAAAGCAACAGCATCAACATCAACACTCACACCTCTAATCCATAACTCACATCACCGACCAACAAAAATGCATCTCTCACTTCCTCTCGCCATAAGCATGGCATGCCTCGCCGCCGCCGCCGCCGCCACCACATCCAAACCCCCCTCCAAAGACGCAATCCTCCTCTCCAAAGTCCAATCCCTCACCCTCCGCGGCGCCGGCGCAACAACAACCCACCGCCGCGTCCCCGCCGCGCCCCAGCTCAAATGCCTCTCCCACCGCGCCCTCTGCAACCTCCACGCCATCGACGTCATGCGCTGCACAAACAACGGCGCCGGCTACGGCCCCGAAGACATCCAGTGGTCCTGCGTCACCTCGCTGCCCGAGGAGCTCAAGCTCGGGTCCACCGACGTCGTGTGCGAAGGCTATGGCCACCCCGATGACCCGTACGTCCTCCGCGGCAGCTGTGGTGTCGAGTACCGTCTCGCTCTCACGGACAAGGGCGAGAGGCGGTATCCGAACCTCGGCAAGGGACGCGGCGGCGGCGGCGGCGGCGGTGGTAAGAGTGGTCGAGATGACGATGAGACGGATTGGGGTGCCTATCTCTTCGCCTTCATCTTCTTCTCCGTCTTGGCTTGGATCCTCTACTCGGCGTGCGTGGCGGGCACTCAGAATCGAAGGACTGGCGGAACCGGTCGGCGCCGTGGAGGAGGCGGCGGTGGTGGGCCCGGAGGTGGCGGCGGAGGCGGATGGAACCCCGGCTTCGGACAAGACGACGATCCTCCCCCGCCGTACCCAGGCACCAAATCATCCAGCTCGAGCGACCAGCAAGGATGGCGCCCTGGCTTCTGGACTGGCGCGGGGGCCGGCGGTGCCGCGGGCTACGGCGCAGGTTACTACCAAGGCAGAAACAGCGCGCGGAACCAGCAAAACTACGGCTCGGGATGGGGCGGTGACACGACCAGCGGTTCGAGTTCGTATGGGGCTGGCCCGTCGAGGTCAACCAGCTCCTCATCAAGCTCGGCTCGTCACGAAAGCACGGGATTCGGGTCCACCAGCAGGAGATAGTAAACTTGAAAGTAGGCATAGAGTAATTTGAACGTCATGTGAGCCAGCTCGACTCTAGGTCTATCCTGTTCTCCACGTGGTCTCGTACATGCTCCTCTCGCCCGCCTCCTCCAACTAGTGTGTGATCAGCCCCAAAGGAAGGGGACATGACATTATGTACATTTTTTCCCGAGGTCTAGGCCGTCTTCCATACACGTAAAAGTACAACGATCCATCATTTCCAATCGCGAGTGTCTTAAAGGTATCATACCATGAAATCCCCTGCCACGGAAGCAAACTCCAAGCTGCGCAAACGTCTTTGAAGCATATCAAAACAGCAGCCGACACGTGAGCCGAGTCGGGTAGTAAAGCCGCATAACGGCGGCTAGTGGTGAACAGACATGACGTCCAGCCGGTCAAAGGCCCTCGAGCAGTTGGGGCACTTGCGCATCCGGTTGCTGATCCGGTCGTCTACGCACTGGTGGCAGAAAAGATGCCCGCACGTCTTCAAGGCCGTATCTTTGAAGTTGTTGCGACACACTGTGCAGAGTGCAAAGGTCTGCATAAAAGTTAGCTTTCATTCCGTGCTATCTCAGGGGGACTCACTCTGAGCATCTCTTCTTCTTCCGACGAATTGCTCAACGCCTTGCGTTTCCATTCGTCCTTTTCCTTTTGCATCATGTCGGCGCGGACCTTGAGGCGCTCAACGTCCGCTTCCTGGGTTGTGGTGCGCTCCCTTGCCGCAGCCATGGCCGCGTCGCGCGACTTGACCAAGCTGGTCAACTCGCCAATCTGGTTCTTGTAGGTGTCGACCCGGCGCGCTGCGTCGGAACTGCTCGACTCCATCTTCTTGTGCTCCGCAGCCATGGCCGCGTTGGCCTGCTTCAGGTCCGACAGCTGCTTCTCAAGGTTGCTAATCAGTATCCGGTTTTGCGCCTCCACCTCTTTGAGCTGCGCAACAATCTCGGAACTCTTTCGGTTCTGGCTTCGGAGCACGCCCAGTTCGCGGTCTCGCATGTCCGCGTCCTTCTTCACCGCAAAGTACTTTTGATCAACCTTTTGCTTCTCGGCGAGTGCGGCCGCGGCGCGATCCTCGAGAACCGTGTACTCCATCACCTTCTTTTGTGCGAGACCCATCGATCGCTTGTACGCCTGCTGGAGAGCGGGCAACTCCTTGTTGATCGACTCGAAATCCTGCTGCAGCTTCTTGTACTTGGAGATGAGTTCGTCGGCGGGCATGCTCTCCAACTCGGGGTCGGGGTCCGCCATCGGCTGGTCTTCAGGCTTGAGACGCTGCAGTTCCAGTTCCAAGGATGCGATTCGGTCCTCCTGGGCACCCGTGAGCTCCTTGAGGTGCTGCAGCGCCTGCTTCTCCTCCTTTTCTCGGGTTTCCAGCATGTTGGCCTTGGCGTACCACTCGTCCCGTGCGGCGCGGATTCGTGTCAGGTCGGCATCGCGCTCCTCGACCGCGCGCTCCAGGTCCGATGTTATCGTCTGCGCCTCGTCGTGGAGCTTGGTCCGGAACGCCGTTCGCTCAGAGTGCAGCTTCTCGGCCTCTTCTCGCAACTGCTTATTGGTGGCCTCCAGGTGGTTGACGCGCTTGATCAAGTCCTCGTTCTGGTTCTTGAACTGCTTGAACACGTCGGTCCGGATAAAATCTTCGTCGGTGAGGCCTTCCCGTCGTGCCTTTAGCGCCGAGTTCTCCTCCTGCAGGGTCTTGATATCGGCTTGCGCAGATTCCAGCTGCTCCTTTTGCTTGTTGACGACCGCCGATGCCTCCTCAAACTTGAGCAGTGCCTCGGCAGCGTTACCGTTTGCCTCGGCGGCATCCTGCCCATTATCCCCCGCGGCGATTGTCGGCTTGGCGCTGGCGATGAATTGTTGCTCGAGCTTCTGTACCTGCGCGCTCTTTAATCTGTCCATGCGCTTTTCGGCCTTGAAGAACCGGAGGCTAGCCTTGTTGAGGTCTTCCGATAGCTGCTCATTCTCTTGCTGTGCACGGTCCAACTTGACCAGATACTCCTTTTGCTGCGCGAGCAGGCTGTTGACCCGAGTCTCGAGGTCAGCAATGTTTGGCGTAATTTCTCCCCTGGCATTTGCGATGCGATTGAGCACAGCTTCGGCTCGCTTCTTAATATCAGAGGCTGTCTCGTCAAGGTGCCTTTGGAACTCGTCGTTATCTTTAAAGTGCGTGCTGGTAATGTACGGAGGGTCTGGTCTGTCAGTGTCACGTCGAGGTGGATGCGACAAGGGGACTCACTTGTCGGGCCTGAGGGGGGTGTCGCAGGGTCCACGAGCTGCTCCATCTCCTCTAGAACCTTGTGAGGGGGTCAGCCATGCCACCGAGTCAAGGGATCAATCAAACTGACCTGCTTCCACCATGCTTCAATGATGCGGATGTGATCCTCGCGATATACAATATTCTTTTGCAATTGCTCGACGCGCGACTCAAACTCTTGCTTTTCTCTTTTTGTTTCTAAAAGTTGCCGATAAATGGCTCCCTTTTGGTAATTCTGAACTCATCATCAGCTCGCGCCCTCTCCGTTTATTCTTTTCGCACCAGGCGATGAAAAAAGGCGTGTGGGATAGTCGGATGCGTGGGACAGGGAGACGGATAGCCGTCAGGCAGCCTCGTCGCCCTCGACGGCGGATCGAAAGGCCATTCCAGGCCAGTCGATCGCAGTCCGCCAGTGTTGAGCGTGGCTGGGGGCAGTCGATGATCGAGATGTCGCGTCGCCATTGATGGCAGAGGGGAATCGCGTAGGGGTCCATTGATTGTTGAGAAAACTTGATGTGTTGGGGAATAACGTGTCTCGTGACACTTACCTCGATCCAGTGTTCCTCGGCGTGGTCGCCACTATCGCCCTTGGACTTGCTTCCATTGACGGATTGATGTCGCTTGCTCGGAGGAGCGAGGTCCTCGGCGGTGCTGATGGGAGGTCTCTTCCTGTCCTCCATCTTGGCCAAGGTGGACGGACGCGGAGAGGCAGTCGGGGCTGAGGTCGCTACAGGCATGAGAAAGGTAGGAAGATGCAGAGACGGTGTGTGCGTCCGCGGTCGGGCGAGGGCGATGAAATGCGCTGCGTGGGACAGCTGGACGGTTTAGGGATTGGTGCGAGCCATGCGAGAGTCGACGGAGTCGTGCTGTGTTGATTCGGCGCGGATGATGGGTGAGGAATACTTGGGGCAAGGAGGTTGAATTTTCGAGGTTGAACACCGACGCTTCACGTTCAAATCAAGCCAGCCGGTCCACTCCCCAAACAGGATTAGCGCTGTGCTGACCATCCATGGCCTTATCAACCAGTAAGGCGCCCCGCGCACTGCACAGCACAGCGCGCGCACGTACTCCGTACCGGCTAATTGTCGGGTCCCGCGTCTACTTATCAGAAGCACTTTTTCTTCGCATCCCACCTCAGTCACTGTCCCGCCGCGATTGGCAAAAGTCTGGCTCGCAAGTGACAATCCACCAGATCCAACTTCCAACCTCAACTCCGACCATGAGGATATTGCCGCACCGATAAAAAAAAAGATTAGACACAATCGCCATCATGAGTTCCATGTTCAAGAAAAAGGCCGGCATGGCCTTCAAGCCAAAAATGCCCATGGCCCGTCCTCGAGCGCCTGGAGTAGGAGCAGCAGCAGCAGCACCGCAGCCATCAAGGGCCCCGTCGACGACTGCCGCCCCAATTGCAACTCCAGCAGAGAGTAGCTCAAGCGAATCAACAGAGAAAACAGCGCCGTCGACCGCCGAACAACGAGCCGATACGAGAGATACGCCCAGAGACGTGCCTACGAGTACCCCGCCATCGACCGAGCCGAGAACGACGAAGGCTGCCACGCCTCAGACACAACCCGCGACGAGCGAGTCCTCTGCGAAGCCTGCTCCAACAGTGGAATCAGCAGGAGCAAATCAGTCCACAGCGCCGCCAACACAAAGCCGTCCACAGCCGCCGCCGTCCGTAACGCCAGCTCCTGCTGTAGACGCTATCGTCAACAAGGCATCGACACCAGCTCAACTCCAGACCCCGCCTGCTACTGCCCCCTCGACCGACGTGGTGCCCTCAACAGAGAGCGCTGCGCAGCCAGCGACAGCGAACGACACATCAAAGACTGCCGCCAAGAAGGCACCTGCCAAGCGACCTCGAAAACGAGCAACCCTGACAAGCGAGAATACCGAAGAGGGCGAAGGCGGAGCTTCAGTCCCTAAACCCAAGAGACAACGAAAGCAGCCGGCAGACGGGGAAGCCGCGCCGAAACGACCGCCCCGGCCGAGAAAGAAGAAGACTACGGAAGAAGGAGAGACGGATGCCGCTGCTACGGCCAACAAGCCAGCACGATCTCGGCAAGCCCGCTCAGTGACGCCAGAAGACGCGGAGGACCAGGAGGCCGACCTCACCACACTTACCATGGGCGATTTGACACGAGACCTCCGTATCGGCAAAAAGTTCAGCAGACACGACGAGCTGCTCCAGCGTCACCGCGACAAGCAGGCCAAGTCTAGGGAGAGACTCAAGGCGAAGAGGAACGGCTCGGAGGACGTCGCTTCGGAGAGCGGGACACCGGCGCCGACGAGCGACCAGGCCACGCCAGCCGCCCCTCCGCCGCCGAAACCGACCAGCATGGCCTCCAGTGGGCCCCAGTTCCAAATCATTGACGGCCAGATCGTGGTGGACCAAAACTCGCTCAGCCTCGACCGCCACGCCATCGCCGCCGCGGCCGCCGAGGGCGAGGACATGCTCGAGATTGAAGAAAACGACTTCACGACGCTGACGACGCAGAACAGCTACCGCACGGGCTCCAAGCTCAAGGGCCCCAACGTCTGGAACGAGGAGGAGACGGAGCTGTTCTACCGCGGCCTGCGCATGTTTGGCACCGACTTCCAGATGATTAGCGGCATGTTCCCCGGCAAGAACCGGCGGCACGTCAAGATGAAGTTCAACCGCGAGGAGCGCCACCGGCCCGCGCGCATCGACGCCATCCTCGTCGGCAAGAAGGAGCTGCAGATCGACCTGGAGGAGTACAAGACGTGGACAAAGGCCGAATACGAGCCCGTCGAGGCCATCATGGCGGCGCAGCGCGCGCAGCAGGCCGAGTTCGACGCCGAGCAGGCCAAGATCAAGGCGGCCAAGGACGCCATCAACGCCAGGAACCTCGCTTCGCTGCAGGACAAGCGAGAGGGCGGAGGGGATGCCGAAGGCGAGGCATCTGCTGCGGGTGGTAGCGGAGGCGGCGGCGGCGGTGGTAGCGGTGGTGGCGCCAAGCCCAAGAGGCAGCAAGCCAACGTCGGTCCTCAGATTACGGTTGACGCGGACGGCATGATCACCATTGACGAGACGAACATGGACCCCGACGCGGGACGCAAGAAGAGGGGCGCGGGCAAGACGAAGAAGAAGGCCGTGGAGTATAACATGCGCGGTGAGATTATTCACTGAGCACGCGCGTGTACACACCACACAACACAGGGGTGGGGGCGGATATACCATACACGGAAAGGGGGGCCAAGGTTCATGGCAGTGTGGACAGAGGGGCTGGCAGGCGGGTGTGCTTCCTTCAGTCTTGAACAGACAGATACCCCTTTTTACTATTCCACCAGGGGCCCTACTATGGGCAATGAGGCGGCGTTTGGTATTTCAGTGGTTCCTTTTTTTTTTTTTTTAATGGCAGCGAAGGGGGACTCGGGGATCAAGGCGAATGGGGACGGCTAGGAGACCAGGACATCGTCATGGAAAGTACATTCCTAGAATTCAATCACTTTATGAACTTGACAGAAACCATTTGCTTGTGTTATCATACAGTGCCGTCCAGTAAACGCCTATCCTCCACGACAAACCCAACTCCATCGTAAACTACACACCTTCCACCACCCTCATAAATCGCAAAATCAAAACACCAAACCACACACATTCTTCTTCCTCACATCACCACCCAAGACACCAGCCACAACGACAAAAGACAACATGTCCCAGGTCGAACTGTGCAGACATCAAGAGACGTCCCAAAAAAAATCAAGAATTATACCTCGTACGGTTCCCACAAAGGAGCCCCACACGGCGAGGGGCACGGCCGCGGTACTCACTCTACTGCGTTCTGTGGTACGCAGCAAAAGTGTGTATGTGTGGAATGCAGGTCCCCCTCCTCCACGACCCGGTACTCTTGATCTCCGGAAGTCGTCAGGTAGGTAAGTATACAGAAGAAAAAAAACAAGAAACCAAAACGTGAGAATGGCGAGGTTTGGGCGTTCTTTCATTACCCCCCCCCCTGTTCCCCATCTGACGTAAGGCCAAATGCCAAGAGTGGTGAGGCCAAAGTGAGTTGGCCTCGGTTGGTTAAGTGGTTTGGCCTCACTCACAATCAAAGCCTTGGACGCAGACCAGCAAATGGCACTGAAGAGTTGAATTACCCGGTACTACCAGGCCTGGCTACCTAAGTGACGCCACGCTCTCTTCCAAGCCGGAACAGGAACCTTCCTGGTCAAACACAAGCAATGAGCATCTGTGACCGCGAGTAGCTTGCGACCTCCGTATGCGTCCAGGTCTTTTCACGCATATCTTCCTCAGCCTGCTTGCCTCCCCACCAGCTCTACCGAAAAAAAAGGATTGCATCATCTACCTCCACGCGGCCTCGTGCCCTCCCTGCTGATGAGGACCCTGTCTTCTGGGCTAGATATCCCCAAGTCTTTTCCTCACGTCAATGTCGTCGAGAGCCAACCCCGTCCGGTAATTCCTGAGCCCTGCGTTTCTGTCGTGGATTGTGTCGTCATGCGGTCGTTGCGAGTCGGGCTTAGTTCTGGGGCGCATCGTCGTCATCGGGCTGGTCGAAGAGGAAGTTTGCCGCGAGCTCCTCGTTCTTGTCGCAGGCAAAGTAGGCCTGGATGGCAGCGTCGCGGTCGAAGCCGAGGCGGCATAACTAAGGTAGTTAGCATCGTGATCCACGTACAATGTCAAGAGGAACCCACCCGCTCAATGGCGTCGCGCTCCTCCTCGGTGACCTGGATGGCCTGCGCGCCGGGGGGTAGAGGCACGTCGTCGTCAACCTCCTCGCCGAGAAGCTGCAGGAACTGGTCGGGGTTGTTGGCGATCAGCTGAGCAAGCTGGGGGTTGCCGGCGCCGAGCTGCTGAAGGATAGGCTCCAGCATCTGGGGCTGTTGCTGGACGACCTGGCGCAGCTGCTGGAACTGAGCATTGTTTCTGAGGAAGTCCAGGTTGCCGAAGCCACCCTGAGCGGCGGCAGCGGCAGCAGCAGCGGCGGCGGCCTGGGTGTTGCCGGCGGAGGCGCCACGTCCACCACCACCACCACCACCACCGCTACCACCACGCGACTGGGCGGCAAGATCGAAGAGGTTGACGTTGCCGTCATCGCCGCCGGCGGGCGCACCTCCAGAAGGCTGGGCGGGCGCCGCAGCAGCGGCCTGTCGCTGTGCCTGCTCCTCCTGAACGTCTTCGGGGATGCCCTAGTCATTGTCAGCTTCCAGCGAACCAAATCCTCGAGGTATCGGGTCTCACGCTGAGCAGGTACTCGACGGCTCTGTCGGGGTTGTAAAAGGCGGCACGCATGGCGGCGTCAATCTGGGCGCGCTCGAAGCCCATGGCCTCCATATTGGCAATCACCTCCTGGCGCTGAGCGCCCATGGCCATTGACGGGTCGTTGTTGCCGGCATCGCCACCGGTAGATCTAGCGGCCGGAGTCGGCGTAGCGGGAGCCGCGGCCGGGGCAGCAGCCTGGGCAGCGGGAGCGGGAGGAGCAGCCGGCGTGGCAGCGACGTGCTGAGCGGGCGTGGCGGGGACGGCGGGCGCAGACGAGGACTCGGCGGCCGGGGCGGGCTTGGGTGCCTTGGGCTGTTGGACCGTCAGTACGGGCACGCGAGCAAGCGCGGGTATTTGTCATGGGGCTACGGACCTTGTTGACCATGCAGACAACGAAGCCCTTCTCCTCAATCTTGTAGGACTCGACCGTGTCGTCGTCCTTTAGGATCTTGCCTAGTGTAGCTGTCAGCCGGAGCCATCGCCTTCCTCCAGGTGGCGGGGCTGCCTACCAGAGTAGATAAGCTTCTGGTCCTTGGGGTCCCATCCCTTCTCTCCAGCAATCTTCTGCTTGACAACCGAGATCTGTTTATCTCGTCAGTTTCGAGGTCGGACATCGCAAGGGCAGCCGTGGGAGGATCATCTCGGAGGCGGAAGTGGGGATGAGGACGCACAGGGTCGGTGGGCTCAACGTCAAGCGTGAACTTTTGTTGCTTCAAGTCCTGGAAAACAGCCGATATGGTTAGTAGAAGCTCAAGGTTGAAGCTGTGGTGAGGCGCAATGCCATCATGGCCTAGGTGGTGGTGGGGGAGGAGGCTCGGAGCTGGGCATACCTTGAATGTGACCTTCATCTTGGCTAGCTTCGGTGCAGCAAAAAGGCTGCAATCACAAGGGAAGAGCTGAGGGTGCTGATTTGATGGGGGAAATAAAGGTCAAGGTTGAGAGTCGTGGATGGGGGATGGGTGCGCTGGGGATCGATGCGCAGAAGCAAGTGGGTTAAAAGATAGAGAAACCCGTCACCTTTGGTGTTTTGTTGTGTGCGTTGGAAAGACTGGTAAGGTACAGATTTAATGGAGATGACGAAGGTGAGTGGTGACCTGAAGTCAGTGTTTGGTTGCCGCGCAGTGGGGGAAGGCGGCGGGCAGGCGGTTCTAGTTGGTTGGCTGAGGTGCCTTGCACAATGGAACTCACTGGATGGCCGTCCACAGCGGTGGTCAGTGGTCAGTGGTCAGTGGTCAGTGGTCAAGTGGTGGTGAACAACCTAAGCAATGGACCGCCCGCTTCTCCACTTAAACCGACAAGTCCAGGTCACCAGCCAGGCAGGAGCAACAGCAACGGCCTAGCGCATCGGTCTGGGTCGGGTGGCTTCTCTCCTAGCCAAACTCTGTTTTTCCTCCCACGAAAAGTGGCGGTGCAATTTGATCTCAAGGTGCTGTGTGCTACATCTGAAATTGGCTGGAGGTCTGCTTAGGCATCCAAGATGAGGTAAGAAAGAGTGAGGGGAGCAACCTTTGAAGAACCTGGTCTAGAACCTCCAAAAGCCATTGGATGACGGGCAACGAGAACATGGCACTCAAACTTCCTTTTCAATCTGCCTCGCGCTCCCAATCATTCGCCCATGTACGGATACCTACCCAGACGGCCAGACCATCTGCAGTTTGCAGAAATTTTCGGTGGCAGCTACCTTACCTACCTTGCGGAAAGCGGGGTGTTTGCACCAGCTTCTGGGGTTTGCTAGCCACGTTGACAATTGACATTTACCGTTGAAGAGCAGCACACAAAGAGTTGATCAAAGGCGCTCCGGCTCTATCCATAGGCTTACACAGACACGTAGAACATGTACTTACTCGCCACGCATAACATCACAGGCCGCTCCCTGAGCTGCCGCCTGGCTCAAATAAAGTGTCTCTTTCCCGTCTGGATACGTGCAGGAACGCCTGGGACCGTCGCTGAGGTTCGTGCCTAGCCCGGGGGTCTGCAACGGGAAGCCCATGCGGAGCGGCGCGGGATCATCCATATTCCGACATGTCCATTTCCATTCACAGCATCGTTCCAAACGTTCGAAAACCGATACAATCCAACCACACATGAACAAACGCACCAGATTTCGTTACTCGTTAAATTGCTTTAGCTGCTGTAGCCATCTATCCTAGCTTGTCGGCGGCTTCTCTGGCCGCTCGATGTTGGGATTTTTTTTTCCTACTCTGCCTCCTAGGACAACGCCGCGCTGGACAAAGAAAAAGTAAAATTCCTCAAATATGGTATCACCGCCCAAGTTCGTACTCCCTTGTTGTCGTCGAGGACAAAATAGCAATTAGACATTCATGAAGACCACGCCGGGTCAGTTTTTCCTTTAGACACACCTCTTGATGCCGATGGTGCGTCCCTCCGTCATCATGATTGCTCTTGCTCGGCGTCCCCGTCGATGCGGAGCTTCCGACTTTGGTACCCGTTCAGGCTCGTCCTGGCTCCGGCGGTTAGGATCCACTCTGGGATCGGAGGCGTCATCTGTCTCTCACCAAGTATTTCGTCCTCCTCTTGGGGTGATGGGAGTTCCTCCTCTTCTTCTTTTACGGGCGGCTGGCCGTTGGGGAAAAAGTTGTCGTAGCTGCTAGTGCGGCTGAGGGGGCTATGTCCTCCGGGCAGACTGCCACTGCGCATGCGGCGAACGCTGTGCCGGTCCGGGATGACGCGGCCGGCGTCGGGCGCCGCGGTGACGACCGTGCCGGGGGTCACCATGGGCGGCGGGTCTGGGGAATCAGACCGGAACAGGGGGTGAATGTGAGATTCGCTGGCCGAGCCCTGCATGGTAAAGGCGGGCTCGGGACGCCGCAGAGAGCACTCGCTGGCAGAAGTCTGCAGCGTAAAGGTAGGCTCAGGGTTGCGGAGGGTGCCCATGGGGCTGGGACTGTAGCTGCGGCTCCGACGACGAGTGCGCGGAGCTTCCAGGTCCAGATCCAACGGCGTTCCGGGGCTGGGACTGCGGCTCGTAGTAGGGCTGGCAGGGATCGTTTCCAAAAACCTGCCGGGCGGCGAGGACGTGCCGAGGACGGTCATGCGGCTCTGCATGTCGACCGAAGACGTGTCCCACGAGTCAAAGGACGAATCCTCGTTGACGCTGCTGGATCGCGAGCGGTAGTGGTTCGAGTCAATCGACTCTGCCCGACGCTTCTCCCGCAGAGGAAGCAGGCGGGTCCGGGAGGAGATGGGCCGGACGACGTTGGACAACGAGGAGCGGAACGAGCTCAACGTGTCGGTGGCGGAACGGCCGCTGCTTGATTGCGGCGGGCTTTGCGAGCCCATGGAGGTGGACCGGCTCCTGCCGTCAAAGGTGGGCGAAGTGCGGTGGTAGGGAACCGACTTGATGTGGACGTTGGGAGATCTCTGGGACTCCTCGTCCGTGTGCATGGAACCGGACTCGTCGCGGGCAACGAGGCGGGCCAAGACGAAATGAATGACAATGAAGATGAGCTGACAAGCAAAGCAGAGACCGAGAGCGACGGACGAAGCGATGAGGAAGCTCGTCTGGGTCGCACCGAGAACGGTACCCGCCAGGTCCCTCGTGGCGTTGCTGAGGCAGATCATGGTGGCTACCGACGCAGCAGTGGCCATGGTGCAGACAAGGACACTCGCACCAAACATGGCGCTGATGAAGCGCTTTGAAGAATTCCTAAACTTGGCAACCAAGTTGGTCGACAACATCCATCCCAAGAATACCAAAAGAATGCTTTCCAAAATCGACGACAGAATCGAGGACGTGCGGACAGGCGCCGCATCGGCAATGTGAGCGGCGAGGACGACGTGGATGATGACAATCGTAATCGTGGCAATCAGAGCCAGCACGCCGGCCGCAACGGGGAGAGCTCGAGGCAGGCCCATGGTGAAGTTGGGGCTTTCAAAGCCAGGGGGGGGGAAATCGAATACGAGCGGGAAATGAAGCTGAGGTTCCTCCGCCGCTTACACGGAGACCGGTTCGGCTGAGGCGTTGCAGATGGTCTGCCAGAGACCGGTGGGTCGGTTATGTTGTTCTCGACAGCGGACAAACGGCTCGTCAAGACCAAAGACTGATGAATCGATGAGGACCGGGCCCCGATGAGGCTGGGTTACTGCTGTGAGTCGACAGCGGGTGTAAGTGATGAGTCGACACCGTGGTTCCACAGAGGTGATGACTAGACGAGGTGAGATCGGGACGCGGTTGACCAGCCGTGTACATGAGCACTGTTGATGGTTCGATCTGTAGAAGAGCTCCGTATAGAAACTCTCTCTCCAGGGCGAGTAAAGAATGGGGTTTGTCGTTTGCGTTGACGAATAGGACGCCGAGCACTGGACGGGCGAGGCTTCGATATGGAACCGGGTTGGTGAGAAGATGGTCCAGATGGCCGGTGGAATGGGCCCAGGTTGTCGATGGGGATTGGGTGAAGTGAATGTTCAAGTCGAGGGTTTAACGAGAGAATAGTAGTTGGTGAGAACGAACGGAAGGGGGTTGAGGGAAAGAGGTGTAGGTGTAAGTAGAGGGGACGAAGGACGAAACCTGGGAACCAAACGAATAAAGTATGGCAGGCGGTCGTGGTCGCGTTTTTGTGTGCGGTGCGGCGTGCGGCGTGCCTGGGTTGGGGGTTAGATGGCATTCCCTGTCGGGGGGGTGGACGAGGGTAGAGAGGTCCAGCGTCGCGTGGGCAAACGGCAGACCGAGCGAGCTTACTCGTACCTTACGCACACGCCTCGGCCGGCCGGTGGATTCTTTTTTTTTTTGTTTTTTTTTTTTTCCTTTCCTTTGGTCTCCAGGTCTCTGCTCCGTACCCAGGTCCAAGTATTGAGTGGACGAAGGACGGCAGTGACAAGGATGTGGGAGGGATGCCGTGGTGGAGCGCTCGGAACGAAACACTGGCAGCTACCCTTGTCCGTGCCGGGGGGCGTGTGCTCCTGGGACACTGGACAGAGTCCGGGCCTGGTGTGGTCTGGGATCCTGACTGGAGACCTGGGAGTCTGGGACCAGGACTGGGAGCCCGCGGCGGCAGGGGACTGAGGTCCGCGGTGACGAGATGATTCGGGATCTGTGATGTGCTGCTGCTGCTGTTGATGCTGCCGTGCCGTGTCAAGGTGTGTTCAGCGCGTGCGTTCCCATGTACCGGATCGCAGAACTGCGCTGGTGGTGGACAAAGTACCAAGACTGCACGACACGAACAAGTAGAATGCAGGGCTCTGTCGTCCCATTCATCAGTTGCCGCTGCCGCTGTATGTACGTGTCTGTTCTGCCAGTGCACTGAGCCAGTCAGAGAATTGGATCATGACCGGACGATGCGAGGGCCATGTACTCTCTGACCTCGTCGTTCCTTGTGTTGCTTGTACTTGTAGCACCTCGGGCAGAGGTCGTGCTGCCTGTGGCAATCAAACTCGACTTTCCAATCGACCACGTTGATTCGATTGTGCCTCCATGTCGTGCCAGCTAGACTCGATAATTCCTCCCCGTAGACTCTCGTAGGTAGCCGCAGACGAGAGAATCTTGGGTTGAGAGGCTTCTGGCTACCTTAGTTTCCGATGGTAGCACGAGATGGCGACGAGACGGCGAGGGCTGACCACTGGAGCTGCGGGGGATTATTGGCCGCGCCGTCTCCGATTAGATGAAAAAAAGACAAGCCACAAGCGCGATATAAAACATGGGAAAAACGAAGGCCCAGAGACAGTGGCGTGAGGAAAGGGAGGGGGGGATCATCCGTCATCCCACCCGGCGGCTTCTGGAAGAAGAAACGAGAGGGGAGAGGACGAAGCATCGTCAGCCACAGTAGGATTGCACAAAAAAAGAAATCGCCCCGGCGCACAATGACTGACTGGCAGGCGGCATATGCTGTGGTCGTAGCAGACCAGACTCGAAATGCGTGGTTTTTGGCATCTCGTCTTTCTTTGCCAAGCGCCGTCACTCATCTCCTTTCTGATATAGGTTGCTGGTCCCGATAAGCCCAGAGTTGGAGTGTGAGCCGTCTTTTTCCCTGGTTATCCCTGGTCCGTGTTGTTGTTAATCAGCACGGCTAATGTCTCTTTTGCTCCAGCTCCGGCGCAATCGACGATGCTCGTCTTGCCTTTCCCATCATTGACACGACCTGGGGCTATCCAGGGAAACCCGCAAGTGAGGTTCCCACTCGGCGAGTGCTTTGCGCGGCGTGCCATGGTTTGCGAAATGACGGCGCTGAAAAAGACCCCGTGGTTGATCGAGTGAGGCTCTGGGCCGTGCTAGTTTTGTTTACATCGTGTCGCTTTCGGCACGGTTGCAGCGACGTGTCGAGATGGGCACTAGATGCTCACTAGAGGGCGCAGGGTAAGGCTGGACTCGAGAGCTGCGGTTGCATCGTATGTGAGGGGGTTGTGCACGTACAATCTCCGGTCCTCTTTGATATCGCCCGAAGCTGCCAATTGAAGGTGATCCCTTGCATCCGTGAATCAACACAACGAGCCATCAATCGTTCCGTCAAACCCGTTCTGGCCAACCTGGTGTCCCGGCGAGAGCTACGGCACTGCTGCCCGTCAATGGACCATGTCCGCTGTGCCTCTTCTTCTACTCCGTCCCCCAAAGCAGAAGGCCATGATCGACGAGGCTAGCGATGAGATGCGTGGCGTCTCTTTGGACTGGTTGTTTGTTTCTGGGTGAGACACGCGAATCCCTGTCGGTTGGTCGCGAGCAGAGGGAGAGAGAATCGGTAATCCGACCCAAGACAAGCTGACACTTTGCCCTCTTGGGCGAGTGGCCGTCATGCGCAGTCCGCGATAGCTTCAAGACACTTTGCGACTTTGGACGGGAGGGGGGCAAACTTTGGTTGCTCGACTGCTGAATCGCCGGTTGTAAACAAAGTGAAAGGCAGCTCCCAGCTAGAGACAGTGAGCCACCCACCCGTTGGCATGGCGATTGACTGGTGCCAGGAGAAAGCGGAGGCAAAAAGCCAGTGCTCTCTCGTTTCGACAGAGGGGGTGTTCCCTCTCTTCCCTGGATGCCTCCTGTCTCTCTGCCTCCATGCTACTGAATAGCGGCTTCCGGCTGCCTTCAGTGGAGAGCTGACGGCGTACCTGAGGGGGTGGAAGAGGGGCGAGAAGGGGTCGAGAGAGAGACCTGAGGGGTCTTGCTTTGACCAACAGGCGACGGAGGGACTTGGTCGCATGGGTGGTCCATGTTCTGCAGAGGGGAAATTTGCATAACAAGAGGGCAGCTGTGCCGTTTCCCCGGTGCGCTATGGCTTTGACCTTGTGCAGACGGTCAGATAAACAATGGTAGCTGTAGCTGTAGCTGTATCCCGTACCAGATATGGTATTCTCTGGTTGAAGACTTCTGTAGACTACCAGCCCAGTTGCCAGTGACGCAGAGCGCATCTAGATTCCGAACTTGGCCGAACTGACTCGGCCCCCAAAGAGGGCCAGCCCGGCTGCCCGAGTTTTAGAAAAGAGATTTTCGAGATTTTCGAGATTTTCTGGGGAGGCAGGCGGTCATGTCGTTGGAATGTAATCGTCTAACCTCCATCGGGACACCAGAGACTCGAGAACGACTCGCAAAGCAAAGAAGAAAGACGAAGAAGAACCAGGTTTGGGACTGGCAGAGACAGGGAAAGGCGATCTATCGAGGAAGAGTTTTTCATGGGTGTAAAAAGCGTAAAACGATACAATATCAGAGGTACCTTGGGTACATGAAGATGTGCAGCAAGGCACCAGGGACGGAAGTACCTCGAGATTTTCCTGCCGCCCTAATTCCCGATGGACCCAAATGACTGGGCTGGAGGCCGGGGGGGGGGGGACCTGTCTCACGTCTTCGATTCTCGGCTCCTGCTGGAGTTGGAAATCTCGGAGGACAGAAATGACGCACGCCCGCCTACTCCGTACTTGCTGTATGGGAAGCCTCCCCGCGCAGCTCTGTCACCTGTACTCCGTGCTCAACTCTGTAGAATAAGGAGAATGTTGCCAGGTCAGATGCTGACACTGCAAAGGGACGAGGCCAATGCGAGGCGAGCCAAGTGCATAGTGCACTCCGTATATATCAATGCTCAAGCTCTTCTCGGCGCAATGGAATCCATTCTCCATCCACAAGGAGCAAGGAAGGCTCTGATAAAGGGACGAGAAAAGACCTTGAAACAATGGCAGATGCTACAGTGCCATGGCGCAGTACCGCATGTCTCTGCCTGAGGGCCACGCTCCGTAACTCCATACGGAGTACTTCGTACCTTACACCTCAGGCTGACTCTCGGCACCAGGTGGCACCGTGGCAGGCACACAAATGGCACAAGGAAAGACCTTCCAACTTCCAGGCTCCTTCCCAACGTCTTTTCTGACTCCGTCCTTTCCATGGTGGAAGCACTGCAATGGGAAGGTATCCATCCGTACCTGATCTTAAGGCGTCCCTGCCTTCCCGGCCAAGTTCCCGCACACACCTCACGCCAGTCGTGGGCCCCAGCTCCCTTCCCGCTGTTACCAACCTGCTTCCTTGATTCGACGACTTTTCATTTCCTCCTCCCCCACCAAATTTCGCTCCTCTTGTTGTCTTGAGTCTTGACTTGTGAAGCCTTGGGTCATGGTCCATGGATACGGAGTAATGGCAATACAACCGCTCCTTTCCTCCCCTCTTCCATGGCCCACCACGGCTTCCACTCCTCGACTCCGTGTCTCTCCACATGGCCGCACTTTTCCACGACACAGCCCTGGCCGAAGATTGGGGCCCATTCCTCGCTATCCCCCGGCCGGGCGTGCCAGGCAAAGGCTGCAGGCTGCAGCAGCCTTGCAAATTGTCTTTTCCCCGGCAAGCGAGAGGACGGCACGACAGGGCAGCGCACGACATTGACAAGGCTCGACAAGGCCTGACACGAGCGACAAGGCCGGAGGACCGCCAGGATCCAACGTGCTTGACGGGGCCTGCGGGAATTAGATCCACGGCCAGAAGCCTGGAACTCCTTGGACCTTGGAACAAAGTGGAAGAAGCGGCGCCGATGACGAAAGAACGCATCTGAGATTCATCTCGTAGAATGAATCTATACGGAGTACTACCTGCTCATGTGAGGACGGAGCACTGTCTGCAGACCTGTTGCAGTGCTGGTCAATCCCCCGCCACCCAGCGGCAGCCAGCCTGTTGGGCGCACGCCAGCGCTCGATTGGGGGCTGACGGCGCATTTCCACATCTTCTATTCCTGCTTCCTTTTTCTCCGACGCTTTCCAATCAGAGACGTCCAGCCCACGCCTCCCCCGCTGCCCGTCATCTCTCACGTCGATGGGAGATGGATTAAAGATGAGACAGGCCCTGCCTGTGGTTGGCATGTTGGTGCCTCGCCATTGGGCCGGCCGGCATTGGTGAGTGTCTCTGTCTCTCGTCTAATCCTGCTCCAGCGTCCAGCCCCGTACGAATACTACAACAAAGGGTGCTCTTGCGATGGAGGGTCGGAAGATGGCCATTGACTGACACAGAATGTGCCCAGTGTCTCTCTCTCGAGCTCAACGTCTCCGTCCTACGCCCGTACAAAGTTTGTGCCCTGCGTCCGCCATCCTGCGAATCTACTACGTACGTAGTAGAGTATCCGTTTCCGTACCTGACGCTACTCGTCGACGATACGTACCGCATGTACCTGACCCTTGTCCCGATGTGCTGCGATGCGATGCTGAGGCGACCGCTCGCCGTTCCGCGGCCCCATGGGATCGCAGCAAATCCGTCGCATCTCATTCGTCGCATCTCGTTCAGGCGAAGAATGCCGGGCCCAGATGTGCCTTGTACCTGCGTTTAGGGCTCACGCTGCCGCACCTCTGGAGTCTGGTGGAGTGGTGGTCCAATTTTTCGCCATTTGCGCCCATTCATGATTCTGTATCCGTACGGGTTTCCGTACGGAGAACGAAGTATCCTTCCAAAGTACCTTTAGCCGGTTGCTTTGTCACTGTGAGTCCTTTTCTGCCCAGATCAACTTTTTCTTTCCCCCTCTGTTCCCACCACGCGAGCGGCGACGTCAAGAGGGGAAAGCGGACGCCAAAGAATCATTAATCCCACTTGTTGCGGAGTACGCCGGCCCAGATTTCAAACTTCTTCGCAGCAATCAGCACCGAGAAGAAGCAATCTTGTCACGAACCGGCCGTTGCGCCTTGCCGAGTCTTCCCCTTCGCAGTCGACTCTGGGATCTTGCTTGGAAAAGCCGCTGTCAGAAGAGGGGCTCATCTGCACAAACCACGAGCAGTCACAGCTCGGGCAACCAAGTGAACAAAAAGTCGGCTTTTGCTGGCAATGACTCGGTGTTATTCTGGGGGTTCGAGGGGATATCCCCCGCCATGACCGCACCTTGGACAAACGTTAAACCCTCGGTGCAGATGGCATCACAGCGCGCCCACACGTCTGTCTGCCGTCCGCCCGCCCTTTTGCGAACCGCTCCCAGGTCCACTCACAACGTGTCAGCCCGCACACATGTTTGACGGGGTTGAAACGAAAAGGAAGGAGGGCAGAAAAAATTTTCTGCTTCTCCGTCTTCTTTCGACAGCACTTGTCAACGGCTCCGATCCTTCTGTTGCCAATTTTGGAAAGAAAAGAAGAAGCCTCGCACGGCGCTCCAGCACCAGAGTTTCGTCTTAGTCGGCGCCCAGGAAAAAAACAGGGTCAAAGTCTGGCTAGACCATTGGCCGTTTGCGGCTTGCGGCTTGCGTGCGCGCACAACGGGCGAGCGTTGCAACTCACCATAGGTAGCTTGATGCTACCGTCGTCTTCTTCTGTCCAGGAACAACTGAAACGGCACGATGGCAAACAGCGCGCGCCCGCCACGTGGGGATCTACCAGACTTGTTGGGCTTCCGGTTCATGGTTCCTGTTTCGTTTCTCCCATTCCGGAAGCATCGTCCACCTCAATAGCTGCTGTTTGGCCGAATTGATACAACCACACATGGTCGACACTTTCTAGGTGGCGCCACATGTGTTTGACTGCATCTCTAATACCTGTATTGAAGTCGTGGCGAGCTCGTCTTGTGGGCGAGAGACGATGCGCTGGCAACATCTCATTACGTACTGATAGGTGTCTATTTCGATGCCAGCCGTGCAGCCGTCGTCAAGTGATGCTCGGGAGCACACGTCGGTGACCGCGCAGGCAGTTCAAGAACACATCATCCCGCCATCGCTCGCGGTAACCTGCAGACCCGTCGGGTAGATCCCACGATGGTCTAGCCAGTGCAGTTGTATCGGGGCGCCGGGACGTTGTCCAAGTCTGTGCCTCCTGCTCCGCCATGGCACGGTGGTGGCCACCGCCGCCGGCTCGTCATCGGTCACAACCACCGTGGACGGCCAGCACTTGTTTGCCCGGCGGCTGGTACATGCGACCGAGCACATGCGCTCTGTTTCTTGAGGTCGACGACTCACCGGTGGTCCCCGGAATCGGTCAACCTCATCGCAAGGGTTCGAATCGCTTTTGAATCCAAGTCGAGGCCGAAGTCGCACGACGGACGTCGCCCGATATCTTCCGCCTCTACTGTTGCGGCGCTGCACAATTCCCGTACGGATAGGTATGCGTGTGTAGGGGATATTCTCCGGCTCCCGCGCGGCATCCCAGGGTGCTGTGTGGAAGAGTTGGGAATCCGGGGGCGAGGTAAATTGACCAAATGCAGCAGAATGGCAACGGTTTCGGGGAGTTGATATTAAGATTTGATGAAGGGGATTGGGCCTACCAGGTTCCATCATCGCTTGGGAAAGGGGACTAAAATGCATCCCTTTGCCGTTACATTTCGCTTCCCTTTGTATTTCGCCTACCCCGGTCCGTCGCCAGCGGCACGACCAGCCCCTGCTCCCCCGAGTGGAAAGAAAAGGTACGGAGCATCTCGCATCAGGTTTCTGCTTTATTACCCGCGAAAGGTGTTAAGGAGGCCGGTGCAAGGTGCACTCGTCTCCCCCCCCCCCCCTCAGGGGTCGTCGTCGAAGCTTTGGCGCTATCGATTCGCCAGTGAAGTCAACCGGGGAGGAGGATATGCAGGGCTGTGGTGGACAGCTTCCAGCCGGCCGTTGCAACTTGCAGCCTCGCAGTCCAAGTGTGGTCTTGCAACGGCCAAGATATGCACCGAGTCAGTTGCAACTTGCAGGCTGCCCTGCTTGGAGGTTAGGAGTGCGGCGTCGCCCGGCTGCTGTGCGAATGGGAGATGAGAGTTCATCGTGTGTCCGGAACGGGATCGAGAGAGGCCCAGAAGGGGTATATCGAGACTGGATATAGCCAGGGAGAGGTGGCAGCATGGGCTCTGGGTCCTCGCACGTCATGATATACGGAGAGTCGCACCTCTGATGCTTTCTGCGACGGTATTTTCTGAGTGGTAGGTGGTAGGCGATGCGATCTTGTTCTGTTGGTTCACCTGATACTGCGGCCGTTGGTTCCGTGAAGCTCGCAAACCTTGATAGCGAAGTGCCTGGACGATCTCGGTCAGCCTTGGGTCGTTGACGTTTAACCCAGCAGATGGGATGCCGGAGGGATGGGAGTCTTGCTTGGAACTCAACAAGACAGCTTCGGGGCATGATGTAGCGCTGAGTGAACCAACCCAGAGAGTTTCTGCAATACTGACGATGCGCGAGGACAGCATCCTACGGTCTGCGATGCCGTCGGCTATTTCGCGAGTGACCAGGGAGGGGTTGCTGTTCTAGCAGACACAACGGTTCATCGTGACTTTTACGTAGTAGCGATAGCGGCTCCCTTCAGTCACTCGACCATCGGTGACAAGACCTGACGCGGCACGATGCTCGATGTGCGTTTTGGAAAGCTCGCGGCTATACGCGTGGACTGTCGCTCTGCATCCTGGCCTGGCCTGGGAGTTCAGCTGAGAGCGTGAGCTCGACCGGCGCATCGACGGCTCACTGCAGACTGTCAGTCTCTTCTCGAGGTTCTCGTTCGGATGTGGTCCGTCGGCTGGAGATGAAGCTGAACGCGATGGTGCGCACTACGCCGTGGAAGTCGTGGACCTTGTGCCTCGCGGGCGAGGGCAGTGCTAGACCACAGCTTCAAACGCTGAGCAGAGTGGTCTTTTGCGCGGCCACCGCGCGTTCAAACACGTGTGCTGTAAGGTAAGTTAGTTGTATTGTCTTCATGCCGACCGCGGTTTCGACGAGCGCGAGGGTCGATTCTAGGAGTTCCCGCCTTGGATGTACTCGGTTCCGAGGGCTTGTTGAGGTCTTTCTTTGCTTCCGCTTTGGCTCTTCGGACGAGCCCTGACTAGGCGACGAGAGGCGTGCTGGCATGACATGTTGAGCGACACGTGTTGTACAGCTCGTAAGATGGTAGGGTTGTGACTTCAAAGCCAAATTCAGAGACAGCCCAGCGCCATTTGCCCGGATTTTGTCATTCTCAACGAAGAGGATGGTTGCTCGAGGTGAAGCCCGGGTGGATGCTTTGAGCTACACCGAGTGCCATGATTAAAGGCCAAATATCGCAATGCCCGACAATACGCGGTAAGAAGTATTGTCGGCCCATGTACAGACATATGCATCCCACAGAAAACACAATCCTTAAAGAGGCAGATGATCAGATCAGATTCAACGGTGCTTAGGTCGTCCTGAGAGACCGGCCGAGAGACATCGGGGCGATGCCCCAAAAAGCTTGTCTGCGTGCTTTCCCGCATTCTGACAGGCACGCTTCCATCTCCAGATGATCATTGGGTGACCCCGCAATCCACCAAACATTTCGGCCAAAACCATGCCGAGCTCTCATCTTTTTCTCTCTCTCAGCCTTGGTCCAAACGGGCAGCTCACTATGGCATCTTCCCTTGCGCCGGATGCTTGCGGCTGGCCGTTTGATTGCACCTGCAAGGTCCAGCGGAAGAATCGCGCGACAACACGAGCGAGGGCACCACGGTTCCTTCGTTGCTCTCACGCGAGGCACGCAGTCTATACAGTAGCGGCGACCGGGATACCCCGCAATGAAGTAATGACGGCCAAACCTCGAGCATCTGATTGCTGGAAACTAGAATGAAGAGCTGGTGGTCTGCGTCTGTGGGGAGGGCAAATCATGTATGTAGCTCTTCGTGATGTCGCATTCGGTCCTCATTTCCGCGACTGGGGTTGATGGCCCTGCGGCTTGTGATTGACAGTGATGGGCTCACGATCGTTTATCAGTCGGTGCGTTCCCTGCGTGGTTCGCAGCAGAGCAGATCTAGAATGCAACGCCGTTCTCTCTCGATCCGCACATTTACGAATCTGGAACCTGCCAAGGTTGTGTGCCGCCATGCATTTTCACCGAGCTTTGACGGCCTTGATTTGGCTGTTTGCATCCGGGGCTTGGGCGACTGACAATGGCCTCACTGACGTGGTGTCGTGGGACAAGTACAGTCTCGTCATTAACGATACCCGGACGTACATCCTGTTCGTGTAGTCCCATCAATCGTGTTTGGGTCAGGTGTTGACTGATGACAGCTCTGCCGAATTTCACTACCAGCGAACGCGTAAATAACCCCGACCTCAAGCTTCGATTCGCAGCTAACTCTGTTCTTACACAGCCGTTCCCGAGCTGTGGCCCGTGAGTCAACCCTGTCGAGGACCTCACTTCGCGTGCTAACCCCCGACAAAAGGATATTCTGCAGAAATTCAAGGCCAATGGCTTCAACACCGTGAGGTGAGTACCGACTGCCTGCAACGAGACCCCAGAACGCTCACCGTGCCTCTCAGCATCTACTTCTTCTGGTCGTACCACTCGGCTGCCGAGGGCGTCTACGACTTTGAGACTGCTGGCAAGAACATCCAGCGACTGTTCGACTACTGCAAAGAGGCTGGACTCTATGTTATTGCCAGAGCCGGCCCCTACTGCAACGTAAGGATTCCTACTTGTCTGCATGTCACAGGAAGCTGACCAGTCCAGGCCGAAACCAATGGCGGCGGCCTCGCTCTCTGGGGCTCCGATGGGCGCTTCGGCGAGATCAGAACCTCTGACGAGCGGTACCAAGCCGGATGGCTTCCTTTCATCACGCAAGTGGGCAAGATTATCGCCGCGAACCAAATCACCAATGGCGGTGTAGGTGCTCTAGTCCCTGTTCATCTGCAACCCACTGACAAGTCCAGCCCGTCATCCTGAACCAAGTCGAGAACGAGTACCAGGAGAGCGTCTACTCCCCCGACCACACCTCGGTCATCTACATGGAACAGCTGAAGAAGGCATTCCACGACGCCGGCATCGTGGTCCCGCTGACACACAACGAAAAGGGCATGCGTTCCCGGTCGTGGTCTACAGATTATAACAACGTCGGCGGCGCCGTCAACGTCTACGGACTCGACAGCTACCCAGGCGCCCTCTCCTGCACCGACCCGGCGGTTGGCTTCAACGTCGTTCGGACCTACTTCCAGTGGTTCTCCAACTACTCCTTCACGCAGCCGAGCTACCTTGCCGAGTTTGAGGGCGGTTGGTTTTCGAACTGGGGAAGCCCGACTTTCTACGACCAGGTGCGCGTGCTGCAACATGGTCGAGGACAGCGTGCTGACATACAGAACAGTGTGCCTCGGAGCACGACCCGGCCTTTGCGGATGTTTACTACAAGAACAACATTGGTCAACGCGTGACCCTGCTTAGCATCTACATGAGCTACGGTGGAACAAACTGGGGACACTGTGAGTCGTACACGAACCAGGACACGCACTGCATAGACTGACAAGAGTAGCCGCCGCACCCCAGGTCTACACGAGTTACGACTACAGCGCCCCTCTTCGCGAGACTCGCGAGCAGTGGACCAAGCTCTTCCAGACGAAGCTCATCGGTCTCTTCACCCGAGTCTCGTCTGATCTGCTCAAGGTCGAGATGATTGGGAACGGAACTGGCTACAGTGTAAGTCACCCGGCCTCTCAACAATGCCACTACTAACGCCCATAGCTCTCTTCATCCTCCGCCTTTAGCTGGGTTCTCCGTAACCCCGATACCCAGGCTGGCTTCACCGTTGTGCAACAAACCAGCACCAAGTCCATGACCCCCATCCAGTTCGACGTCACCCTCAACACGACGGCCGGGTCCGTTACCGTACCAAACGTCGTGCTCAACGGCCGCCAGAGCAAAATCCTCGTCACCGACTACGTCTTTGGCAAGCACACCCTGCTGTACGCCTCGGCGGATATTGCAACCTATGGCATCTTTGACACGGAGGTGCTCGTGTTCTACCTTCAAGAGGGCCAGACTGGAGAGTTCGCCTTCAAGGACGCAGGCGACCTCACTTTTGAGGTGTTTGGAGACACGGATTTGCAGGAGACGACAAACGGGAACCATTCGGCTTTTACGTGGAAGCAGGTCGCTGGCTCGACAGTCGTCAAGTTCTCCAACGGCGCTCTCGTCTACCTCCTCGAGCAAAAGTCGGCGTGGCGTTTCTGGGCGCCCCCGACAACGTCCAACCCTACCGTGAAGCCGGACGAGCAGCTCTTCATCCAGGGCCCCTACCTCGTCAGAAGCGCAAGCATCTCTCACGGCGTCCTCCACGTCTCTGGCGACAGCGACAAGGCCACGACGATTGAGGCCTACGTCGGCGACAAGCCCATCGAGACCATTGACTGGAACGGCCAGCGCTTGGCCGCCACAAAGACTGCCTACGGCTCCTTTACTGCGCAGATTCCTGGCGCCGAGGACCGCGCTGTGACCCTTCCCGAGTTGTCAAACTGGCGCGCGGCCGAAGCCCTTCCCGAAGCGGCACCCGACTACGATGATTCACGATGGACCGTCTGCAACAAGACGACGACGCCTAGCCCGTATGCCCCAGTCACTCTACCGGTGCTCTACAGCTCCGACTATGGCTTCTACTCGGGTGCCAAGATCTACCGCGGCTATTTCGACGGCGCCAACGCCACCTCGGTCAACATCACGGCCTCGGGTGGTTTGGCGTTTGGATGGTCGGCGTGGGTGAATGGACAGTTCCTCGGCGGCGATGTCGGGGCGGCTTCGGCAACGACAACCAACAAGACTCTCACGTTCCCTCGGTCCGCGTTACTTGAGAAGAACAACGTTGTCACGGTTGCGGTCGACTACCACGGCCACGACCAGGCCTCGACGGCCCAGGGTATCAACAACCCACGCGGCATCCTCGGCGCCCAGTTGCAGCCGGGCAGCACACGCACCAACACGGGCTTCAAGCTGTGGAAGCTGGCGGGCGCGGCTGGCGGCGAGGCCAACATCGATCCCGTCCGTGGGCCCATGAACGAGGGCGGTCTCTACCCGGAGCGTCTGGGCTGGCACCTCCCCGGCTTTGCGCCCACCGGCTCCTCGTGGAAGCCCGAGTCCCCGCTCGTCGGCCTTTCCAGGGCGGGCATCCGCTTCTACGTGACGGATTTCACGCTCAACATCGACTCGGACCTGGACGCGCCGCTGGGCATCGAGTTCTCGGCGCCCGCGAGCACGACGGCGCGCGTCATGTTCTGGATCAACGGATACCAGTACGGCAAATACGTCCCGCACATTGGCCCGCAGACGCGCTTCCCCGTGCCGCCGGGCGTGCTCAACAACCGCGGCCGCAATACCCTGGCCGTCAGCCTGTGGGCGCAGACCGACGCGGGCGCCAAGCTGGACGGGCTCAAGCTGGTGCGGTACGGACAGTACCAGACGGATTTCAAGTTCAACCGCGACTGGAGCTACCTCCAGCCCGGATGGGAGGACCGGCAGGAGTATGCATAGTTTAGTACTTGACGAGCCATGTCTTGCGACGTGACTAGATTTATAGTTGTACATATTTACCACATGTAATCCGTGAAAGACCTATTAGGTTCGACGCGACTTCTCATTGGCAATCGAGGCCTTTAGTATCCGCGTCCACTCCGCAGCGTGACGCTCCCAACTGTCTGCCGCCTCCTTGTGTCCGGCCTCGCCCACGGCCTCGGCGCAAAGTTTGCGACGCTTCTCGCCCAACTCCACCAGCTGCCCGTATGCGCTGGAGATGCCCGCCCCAGCCGCCTGCAAGAGCCAGTGCAAGACACCCGGGTCGTCCGGGTACATCTGAGCCAGGCGCGACCATCCCACCGCATAGCCGAGCTGGCCGAGGTGGACAAAGGACTCCTTGGCCTTCTCCTTTTCCCCAAGCCGCAGGTACGCGTCACCCTGGCCCTCGAGCGCGGTGCAGCGCCAGTCAAAGTAGGCGGCGTCCTTGCCGAGCTCGAGGGCCTGGCTGAAAGCCTCGAGGGCGAGGTAGTCGTCGCGCTCCGTCTTGCGGCGGAGGTGGCGGAGGCCGGCGACGACCATGGCGTTTGCGTCGCGGCCCTCTGCGATGAGGGCCAGGCACCGCGTGCGCGTGTGCTGCCAGCGCGGGTTGTCCCAGTCGTAGTAGCCCTTGCTGCCCTCGGCGTGGTGGAGGATGCGGCTGAGGGTCAGGGCGGCGGCGTCGTAGCCGAGGCCGGCGGCCGTCTCCATCATGCTGCACCGCAGGATGAGTTCGGCTTCGCCCTTGTTGTCGTGCATCCAGGAGAGGAGGCCGGCGGTCTCGTGGAGTTCGCCTGCCGTGATGTTGTTTTCTGCTGGTTTGTTAGCACGAAGAGGTAAGGGGTGGTGTGAGTAGGTAGAGGAGAGTGAAGTGGTGGCATGGCGAGGGGGGAAGACTACCCCTGACGAATGCCTTTTGCCAGTCTGTTGGTTTATCGGAGCGGGCGAGGGCCTGCATGTACTTCATGTAGATGTCGTGGGCCCGTTCCGCCGTGACGTGCATGTAGGAAATCTCGCGGAGCCGAATCTTGAACTCGGTGAGGGACCGGGGCTCGAAGACGATGTCCCGGGGCTTTGGCGGGGAAGGTTTGGAAGTGCCCGTCTTTTTGAGGCCCGGAAGGGGCCGGAGTTTGCTCTTGGTCTTTACCGTCCTCGTTGTCGTCGGTGACGGTGCCGCGGGAGCCCATGCTGGTGACGGCGGCGTGGCGAGGCCGGCTAGGAGGTGCCTGCTGACGCCGCTGCTGCGGGTGGGAGCTGTCGCGAGGCGGAACATGGTTGGTGATGAGGTTGGAGAGGAGCGGTTCCCTCAGCGTCTCATGAGAGGTGAGTGGGAGATGAGATGTGGCGCGATCGCCGGTGATTTATCGATCGTCGAAGGGTGGTACAATGCACGGTTGAGAGTCTCTTAGTACAGTCTACATGAGTTTTCTGAGCCGAACATTCGCTTTTAGCCTCTTATTGAAGACTCTTTGCCGTGTTGTGAAATGAGGCTATTGATGATGGGTGGGTGAAAGTGAAGCTCCGGGGAAGCTCGAATGAGGTCCGCGCCAGTGAAGTGGGTCTGCGACGACCAACCAATCGAATCTTACTTACTCAACGGCTGTCTCCACCTCGAGAAAAAAAAAAAGTTGCGACTACACCTTTTCGCGACGACATTTCATCGACATTTCAGACTTCATTCATCATCTCACTGACAAGTTTTTCACACACTCAATTTCCTCACAATTGGTCGCATCTTACCAGTAATACATCTTGAACGATATTGAGTCGGCAGTCCGAAAAATTGTGAATCGCCAAAGTCAGCAACGATTCACCGCCAGCCGCTCACAACGGGCAAATCGCCCTCAACAGCCAGCTTTAGAGAGTCACCGCAGCTTCAAACTCACAATGGTCACCACACGGAACGGAAAGCGCACAGCCGCCGAGGCCCCCGCCGCAGCTGCGGACACCAAGAAGCAGAAGCTCCCAGTCCGGGCAAAGGAGGGCAAGACGGCCGCCAGCAAGAAGGACGAGACCAGCCGTTCGTCGTCATCATCATCAACAAAAAAGAGGTCCTCCTTTGTCGTGGAGTTGAAATCGGCAGCCGGCACGGCTACGGGCGCGCAGGACGTCAAGGAGAAGCAGGTCATCACAGGCGCCGAGCAGCCCGCGCCCAGGACGGACGACGAGGAGATTGGGGATTCTGACGCCTCGCCCGAGTCGGTCGGCGATGATGCGCACGAGGCGGCGGAGCAGCTTGCGGCAGAGGCCAAGACGGCGCTCGTTGCCGAGGGAGGTGACGACGGCGACGACGATTCCGACTCGGATGCGGCGCCCGAGGCTGTTTCTACGTCCAAGGCTGCCGTGCAGGCCAAGAAGTCTGCGCAGGCTGCCAACAAGGCCATTGCGGAGTGAGTTTCGCCACCTCCTTGTGTGATTTGGTCTACCAGAGATGCTAACCAAAAGGTGCAGACAACAAGCCAACCAGAAGCGCAAGCGCCAAGAGCGCAACGCCCGGCTTCAAGAACAGGCCGCGGCGCGCAAGGCTCAAGAGGATGCGACGCCGGCGGAGAAGTCGAGTGAGGAGGAGGAGGAGGAGAACGGCGAGGAGACGGCCGAGACCCCGGCGCGGGAGGCCACCACCACAGGACGCCGGAAGAGGCTGGATCTTCCTTCGGAGCTCCCGGCCGAGTTCCTCGAGTCCGACTCGGAGGAGGACGGTGGGAGCGAGGACGGGGCGGGGGATCGCAAGCCCCGCAAGGCACGGAAGCTCGAGACGGCGGAGGCACAGCTCCTGCGCGAGGCCCGCGCGCCTAGGGACGAGGTCGTCGGCACGACCGTGTTCCGGACCGTCAAGAAGGAGGACGATAGGCTGGCGCCCAAGGCGCAGAAGTATTCCGTCAATGCGAAGAAGGCGTTGCTGGCTCGCGGTAGGGCGCCGGTGAAGGCGCGCAGGGGGTTTCTGGTTTAGGATGTTGTAGCGAGGGGGGTGCTAATGGTCGTAGACGTTGCCTGGAAAAGGCAATGAATGATACACAAAAGTTTTTTTTTGGGTTTGCAGTCAAGCGGAGTATATGAAAGTGAGGTTGCTTGATCGGTTCAAGGTCTCGGGATCCGGTTCCGAACAACGGCGCTCGTGATATCGGCGTCTCCACTTTGGCTTGCATTTGCCTTAACGCCTCAAACGGTTAGCGACTAAGGTAGTTGGATTATCAGGGTCCTTTTGCAAAGGATCTTATCACGACTCCACTCTACCACCCAGAACATTACCATCAGGAAAGCTGCAGAGACGGTAGCATTGCAGAGGAGGAGGACAAGAAGCTGGGATTGGACCATGTGCCATAGTGGGCTACCATTGCGCCATTGTCGCAACCCAACCAACGGCGCGGATGTTGGCCGAAACGGGCAAACGAGTTGCCTTTTGCCGGGACTGATGCGATCCGTCGCACTGCGAGTGCCGACGACTCGGCGATTTCGCAGCGGGTTCAGGACCTTGGTCAAAAGAAGCAGACTTTTGGCGATGTACTCAATTTTGGGTCCAGATTCTTTCACCCAAGACGGCGATGGCTTCACTCGAGGAAAAGTCACCCGCAGCGGCCGCCGCAGGCCCAGCCGACGCCCACGATGAAAGCCGGGAGATGTCTAACGACGGCCCGTGGATTCGCTTCATGACGGCGATCCGCTGGTACTCCAAAGACACGCCTAGCGAGGAAAAGAAACTCGTCCTCCGTCTGGACCTGTTGATCCTCGTCTTTGGCTGTCTCTGCTTCTTTACAAAGTACCTCGACCAGTCCTCCCTCACCAACGCCTACGTCAGGTATCTCTGAACTCCACATCACACCCCCTTTTCAATACCCGAGACTGACGAGTTCACAGTGGCATGAAGGAGGACCTCAACCTCCAGGGAAACGAACTCAACTACATGACCATCGTCTTCTGGTCCTCGTACTGCACCTCCATGATCCCAGCCTGCTACTACCTAACCCGCCACCCCATCAACGTCGTCCTCCCCATCCTCGAAATCGGCTGGGGCCTCTCCACCTTCGGCCTCGCCTGGGCGCGCAACGTGCAAACAGTCTACGCCATGCGCTTCCTCACCGGCCTCTTCGAGTCCTCCTCCTTCACCGGCATCATCTACGTCATCGGCTCCTGGTACAAACCCGCCGAGATCGGCCGCCGCGTCGCCCTCTTCTACGTCGCTGCGCCCTTGGGCACAATGTTCGCCGGCTACCTCCAGGCCGCCGCCTACACGAACCTCCACCGCGTCCACGGCCTCGCCGGCTGGCGCTGGCTTTTTATCGTCGACGCCGTCGTCACCGTCCCCATCGCCCTCGTCGGCTTCTTCGTCTTCCCGGACGTCCCCGCGCGCTCGAGGCCGAGACTGCTCCCGCCGCGCCTCTACGCCCTCGCGCGGGACCGCCTCCGGGGGCTGACGGCGCCGCCGCAGCTCAAGGTTTCGCGGGATGTTTTCGGGCGCGTATTCCGCCGCTGGCACTGGTACCTCTTTGTCGCGCAGTGGACCATCATGAACGAGAACCTGCAGCCCAGCGGGTCCCCCTTTTCGCTCTACCTCAAGGCCTTTCCCGCAACCTACTCCGTGACGCGGATCAACACCCTGCCGACCGTCGCGACAGCCATCTCGGTCGTCTCGGCATTTGTCGCGGGCGCCGTGGCTGATCGCACGGGCTGGTTCGCGGGGTTATCCGTCGCTGCCACGGTGCCGTCGCTGATTGGGGTGATTTTGCTCGTGGCGTGGGACGTCGGCGAGGGCGGTCGTCTAGCTGCGTTTATGCTCAACGGGTTCGAGGGCGCGACCCCCTCGCTGACGATGGCGTGGGCTACGATTACCATGGCCGGGGACGCCGAGGAGCGCGCTATTGTGACGGCGTCGATGAATGCCATTGGGCAGGCTATTGTTGCCTGGGCGCAGCTGCTGCAGTTCCCGGCTGTTGAGGCGCCGTTCTTTCGGCGTGGATTTAGGAGCGTTGTGGCGACGATGGTGGTGCAGTTCTTCATTACTGGTGCGATTTGGTTCTTGGTTAGGAGGGATCGGAGGAAGCTGGAGGTTACGAGGGAGGACACGGGGGAACCTATACAGGAGGTGAAGCAAGGGGTCTAGATAATACATAGGAGATGGTACAGCTTCATAGGTAGTGAAGTTGTTATACGGAGTACGGCACTTGGCATTGATCTGTAGCTACATGCCCCACGGTATCATCCATGTACATCAATGAGACCGAGCCTTCTTCTTGGGAGGAGACTCGATAATCTCCACATCAGAGTCGGGATCCCTGCTGGCTCGCTTCTTCTCCTTCCATTCCTTAATCTTGGCCTTTATGGCCTGCAGACAAGCCTCCTTCAGCTCCTCTCGACCCAGCCCGCCCACATCATCATGCTCATCTTCCCCACCACTTGCGAAGTGTAGCGCTCCAAGCCTCTTGGGAAGTATACTGTGCCTTGTATCTGCGCCTCTCCATCCATTCCTTGATGCGCTCCGTCACCATATCGGATTGCGAACATTGGGGCGCCAGCCTCTCAATCTGCTTCTCCAGTCTAGCCATCTCTTCGATGCGCAATGTGCCCGCCGCGAAGCTCTCCGTCACCGCATGGCAGCCGTCAAACGCTCTTCGAAGGGAGTAGCTGACTCCGTCTTTATCGACCTCGGATACCCGGCAGACGGCCATGTCGTAGGCCTGCAGCAGTCCGTGCCGGGAGCTGCGCAGAGTGGACGTCGACTCAGTCAAGCCCAGTACCAGCGTGTGGAAAGCTTCGCCGTCGGGCCGCTCTCGCTGGGTGAGGCTGATGGTGACATGTGGGTGGATGTAGTTTGCCAGAGGAAGTCGCTGACCTGGGTTTTTATCCGAGTTGTCGTCCTCCAGGTCGTCAATTACATGAGCCTTCAGTTGGGCAATCGGAGGTACGGGGACCTCAAAGGGGTATCCACCCACGCACTGCCTGCCCGGACACAGCGCCGTCCAGATTTCCTGGCGAACTCGAGAGGCGTCGAAGATGTTGTCAATGTTCTGTTGGTACGAGGCTCCGAGATGGACGTCAGACGCTTGCGCTTCGGTGATGCTTGCTCTGTTTGCGATCCCCGAGTAGGCAGCGGAGTAGAAATCATCATTACCTCCTCGACGCGAGGCTCCGGAGAAGAAAGCAGACGCATCTCGCTGTTTGATGATGAGTCTTGCTTGGGCAGTGGTTGTCGCTCCGGTGCCTTGGGTGTATGGGGTGGTGGCTCTCTCTTCTGTGGTGACTGCTCGGGTGTGTACTCTCGTGGTGGCTGAGACTGGGAGTGACCTGCTGCCCGACTTGCTGCTTGATCTCTGAGTTCCCTGAGAAAAGTCACATCATCTACACCGCTAGGCTTGTCGTGGAATAGAAAGTCGCCGAATGTTCGAGCCCAAGCGCTGCTTTCCTTCGCAAAAGCTGCTGGAGATGTAGCCACTGCCCTGAGTACTCTCAGCCTCCGTAGCGTCTGGTCATCGTCGTATCTGTTCTCGTCCCTCTGCCTCAAAATCATATTGAAAGCCAAAGTGTAGTTAGCGTTGTGCTTTTGATCATTCTCCCACGGCTTGGACGCAGGCGGATAAACCTGGCCCACCAGGCTTGTTGCGTCATATATGCCACCAGACCGGTCGGGGATAGTAAAGCTGACGTGGTGCTTGATTGCAGCAAGAGATTTGGTTGACTTGTCAGAGAGATCACCAGCTGCGGCGACATCTTTGAGATCATGCGGGCTTGGTCCTCCACCCAGGTGAAGTTGCTTTCCCAGACTTCTGGTGAAATGGCGGGACCACGGATATCCATATCCGTCGTATGGAAAGCCCAGGACGAGAGTCCAGATGTCAATGGCCGAGGATATGAGAGGCATATGGCGGCGGCGCCGAACGAGCTATTCCATATGGTGTTGTAGTAGCTCATCACCACCAGCAGGCAGTAGCTTGCAGTCATCGTACTGATGCTGGACGGTGTTGCACATCGGACACCCGCCGATGGAACCACGCTTGCGGACTCTGATCGTCATCTGAGAGCAGTCCGCTAACTCATGGCCCGGATTCTCGCAATAGCCGCACCAGATGCTCGACTGCGTTTCATCGCGATGGCCAGCATCGTCGGTACGGTCGCGGTCGTTAGACATCGTCGCGAATCTGCGAGAGCAGTAAGCAATCTTTATCGAAATAGTTCTGGCGCGGGAATGTAGAGAAAGAGTTGACTTACCTCGCCTAGAGGTTCCAGCCTTCTAAGTGATGTTTCGTATTTTCAGTCGCCGAGGAGGGTGAGGCGATTGGAATGGCAGCGTCGATGTGATGAAACCAGGGCAAATGAATTAGACTGAGGAGTGAGAGTGAGAGGAACAAATTGCGTTTTGGTGAGAAGGTCGTTGGATTCTTGAGAGGTGAAGATTTGAAAAGGTGAAAAGCAGGTCCATTGCTCACGAAAAGGAAGGAGCGACCCTCACCTTCCATTCTTCCAAGAAGGTCAACTTCACCTCTCATGGCAAGTGATTCATCACACAAATACCATCCAAGTACTGGAAACGAAGAAAATGTGCCGTCAACTCAGAATCTGCCTTCCCTCACCTTATCATTTCTCAACGAGACCAGATCGACCCCGAAGTGAGGGAGAGCAGGTATGTAACTTCAACAGAATTTGATAGAAGCTGCGTGGCGAGACCTCGGAGACACCAGTGACCTCCATATTGAGAGCAGATCATTCTTGTACAATAAGGTACCTTCCTGTACAAGAGATAAGGTGTCTTTGGTCTTTAACACTGGTGAGACTGGACATCTTCTCAGTTCAGACGCAACATCCTGCGCTGAGGGAGACCGTGGCGTGAGAAGGGCACATGGTTGACGGTACACACCCTATAGGCGAACACCGCATCTACACATGAGGATCATATTGTTCGTTCGGACTTTGCAGCAACTCCTCGAGGTTAGGCACCCTACCCGCTTCATGTTAGCGACACGATGCCGGAGTCTATGGAGGACATTCTGACAATGATGCAGAACAAGACGAGAAAATGAGTTGGGCCCGAGCATCATTTCCGTGCAAGCTTGGTCCATGATAAACCTCTTCAAGTAGAGTCTCACTCTTGACAGACCCCAACACACGCGCAGGAGTGAATTAGGCAGACAAACAGTCGTTTTCCCATCTACAACAAAGATAGGGAGCTGTGGAAGTGAGACTTGAATGGCGGGCACCATATTACACTTTCACCCTTACAACCATAGTCACTCACCGTCTTCATCTCACTCATATCTCACCCCAGAACTCTCAAACACGGCAAAACTCATCACCAACTCGTTACAAATCCACAGAAGCAAACATCACCAAAAAATGACGACGAACACAAAAAGAATGCGTGAGGCATTGAACCACACCCGATTTGAACGGATAACCTTTCGATTGAGCCACTGCTGGAGTCGAACGCGCTACCGTTGCGCCAGCGGTCCTACTGGATGAAAGAGAGGGTTGTGTCAGTGACTAAGTCCCGTCACACGCACGTCTGATCTTGAACAGCTCGAACGATTGGCTGTACACAAACAAGTGCCCCCACACCACCTTGCTTTAAGCATTGCGGAATAGGCCGACGCATGTTCTCACTTGAGCGCTCACACACGAATCCGGTCCCCTCCCACACGCTCCAGTCTGAGAAGGAGAGTCATGATGCTGCAGGAACCGCACCACCGCCAACATGACTTCCAGAGCGGAGCAAGGTGGGCTCGTGACGACCCTCCCTCGCCCCCGTGAGAACCAAGAAATCAAGGACACCACATGCAGAACGTGTGTGTCTCGTCATAAGAGACAAGCGCGCTTGCCCATCCCCAGACGCCCAGACGAACTGTCTGCTCCTCTTGCCCATCCTGTGATGGTAGACCGTACCGAGTACCGTAGATCGGCGTTCTCTGGTGGCCCAAAGCCGGGGAGTCGACGACGGCATCCCCAAAGCGACAGACCTTGCGGACCCTGACCGCGCAACACAGAGAGAGTCAGCCCTGGTCCGACACCTCTACGCCGAAGCCGGGTCAGGGCGTTAAGTGGGTGGAGACACTTTCTGCGGCAGGCGGGGGAGGTTGTTGCAACAGGACTGGATCTTAATGGTCCTCTGATAACACCCATCCAAACGCTTCCGAGGGTCGACGCCGCCTGCTGCCCCTCGTTTTCTCTTTTCTTTTCGCATGCATCCGGTACGGTGACATCGGTCTGTTGCCCTGTACTGTGGAAAGAGACTGAGTGAGCACAGACTTTTGAAACAAAAGAAAAATCGTTATTCACCTTCTGTATCCGTCCCATGTGGGAATGAATTGACTGCAGCGATAAGAGGATTCGCCGCTTGTGGCGCCCTGCTCGTGTCTGTGAGCTCGATTTTGACAACTTTGACAGAACCCGTACAGCGGGCTGCGCGGCAGTCCAGAAGCAGCCCGCTCGTCTGTGCGACAAGGTTACCTGATCAGCATGTCGTCTGATCCAAGAGGCGCCATCAGTGACCTGCCTGACACAGCGGATCTCCCAAACGCGCGCAACAATATGGGATGCCTCAACCATCGAGCATACTTGCGTATTTGCGTACCCCGCCTCTGAACGAGATGGCTCTGGGCGAAAGGAAGCGTATCAAGGCAGAACCTCGGCGCGGATGATGGATCTGCGCTGGGGGATTGGTCTGAGGAGTGGTTTCCCCGACACCAGGATGGGCCGTCTTGGACACGTTTGAAAATAAGTGTGAAACACTCCAATCGTGTGGGACGCGATCAAGATCCAACGCTGGACTGCATGAGCCCTGGCCGGGTCGTCGATTTGGAATGGACAACTTGTTTCGCCGCTCACTCGCCGTCACCCGACCAAGGCAGGTCGCAGAGGATGAAGCCGTATCTGCAGACCCGGGGCCCCTTCTCATCACTCCAAAGTCGGAGCGTGATGATCCTCCAGGTTGGACGGAGATCGGCTTGGGTCGATCCCACACGATGCCGCCGAATCGCTCCCGGAATCCCGCTGCGTGCCGTCCTCTCATCCGATGCTGTCCGTCTCAAGAAGCCACCGCGTCACCCAGTATGCCAACTTACTTTTTTGGCAGTATACTGCATCTGCCTTCCTCAAACGGACGAGCAGGAGACATCTTGTGGTCGCTCGGCTTTTCCGATAAGCTTGGCCATTGTGGTGTGGATGGCCGAGTCAGCCAACAAGACTTGTTCCACGGACAATTGCACGCTGCGGTTACATGGGGCCCGCTTCGTCCCATTTTCTGCACTCGTCTCTGGTAGATTCTGCGGGTTGAGCCTTTTCGGATCCGACTTGTGGATGAACAGACGCAGCATGAAGACGCTCAATTACCCGTTTGATCGACACCCGCAGCGGAAGACGCAAGACAGACTCAACGGCAGTGGAAGCACGAGAAACCACGTGTGGACTAGGCCAAATGTTAATCGAGTTCGCGAGCCGTTGATGAGGACAAGTGGCTGCGGACAAGACAGCGCTAGAGCGGTAGTTGGCGTTCTTCTAGAATTATATCGGCAGATGCTCCGGACCTATCCGTGGTAGACTGGCGATCGACATCACCAACGCATGCCCCGTCAACGAGGCGGCAGTAGGTCGGGTAGCTTGTCGCTTGACAGTTTACCAACGAGCCATACAGACCGCGTTGCGCCGTTCAGGGCCAGTAAGCTACCCAACTAGCCACATGAGCTTCTCGTGTCTGAGGCGACGTTGAAAACGCCATCGGTCGACGTCATCACACGTCGTGAAGCCAGCAACTGGCAATACGAGCCACCCCCGGCCTGTCCACCTTGGGCATGAGTGTTTGAGGTTGGCACTGACGCCGAGCAGAATTCCCAAGACCGCGGTTGAGGATGCCTGGCCCGCCTGGCCAGCTATTGAAACCTCCTTCATAGATTTGATGAGAATGACCCGATGATGTGTCGCAAGCATGTTGGCAATTCACATCTCAAGATCGGTCTGGCTTTTTCGAGCCCGACGCTAGCGCGTTCTGGACCGTCTGATGTGCCCGATGAGATAGATGTCTCTTTCTTTCCAGTCCAACCCGAATGTCTGATAAGCTCTAGAAGTCGACTGGCGTTCGCGAAGCATGTTCGGGGCTTGCAGCGCGGAGACGAGCCGCAGGAATGGTGAGACGTGAATCAGTCTTGGCTCCGTCCCAAAACATGGCAATCCAGGCTCCAGTTTTTCCATCATCTCTTCTGCACGCCACATATCCCGGGGTACCTCCCACCACAGAGGCGTTTGTTGTACATTGCCAATGTCTTGCTAGACCGCGGGCGGATTAAAAGATGCGCAGGTCAGTTCTGCAGGAGTCTAGAAAAGGCAGACTAGGCACTTTGCTATAGCCGGCAGTCCAACCAGAGGTGTCATGACTTGAGCCGGCAGAGTCGAGACTGATGTTGAATGTAGTCAACTGTATGCATAGAGACCGCATGGTCGCAGCCACTCAAACCTACCGAGAGGGCCCGTGCGAGACGGTCTTCAACGAAAGAGTTGGAACTGCAGCTCGGTTGAGTTGGGTTGTGATCTGCAAGCTTGACACGGTGCAAAGTCAGTCGCCGCACACTTCGATAATTGCAACGTTCAACGACGATTACAATACCCGGCAGTCACCGCCCTTTTGGCGAGACTTGGGCCAGGCCTAGGGCGGTTATCGCCTATTCTCCGTGTGCCTCCTAGCGATGCCCTCACAAAAACGCCCAGAGACGGCATTTTGAACCAGGCCACACGTGGCGCAGGGGGGTAAAAATTGGACCTGGCTGAGCACTCGCCGCGCAGCTCACGTCAATCGCTACTGGACTGAGCAATCACGTCGCCAGACCTGGGGATATCTTCAATCCTTTGCGTGAGTGAGACACACCAGGGGCTTGCACCCTGGCCCGAATGCACCGTCCCGCCAACGAAACGCACCGTGGCTGGAGTCTTTGGACGGGACGCTCGAAAAGCCAGCCGAGCCGTTCCTACGCCCTGAAAGTGGACGTCGGTCATCCGGGCGAATGGGTCCCGCGGCACGCCCGGCCGCTTCACGGCAAGACAGGGGCCCGATCTGGCTCTCTATGGTGATGTGCTGACCTGGCAGGGCATCGAAACTTGTCGAGGAGACGGATGAGCACACCACCGATGCAGTTGACAGTCGGTGACAGAGAAAAAGAAAGCGCAGTTGACGAGAGATCATTGCGAACGCAGCTTCCTTCTTCCTGATCGGTCATGTGTGCTGAATCGGGATGGGTGCCCGTATCGCTGCAAGACTGGCGGCGAACCATAATAAAACCTTGATATCGTTACGTATCCATTTTCTTTCTCGGGGTGCTGGTCGACTTGACGCCGCCCGACGCTCACGGCGACCAGCGCGCATCTTGTTGAGCTCTGGCAAAGCGGGAGCGAGGCCGTTGACGCCGTCCATCTTTGAACATCATTTGCCTCTGCAATGCGGAAGCTCGTGATGCAATATCGAGCGTGGCTGCGCCTGGCCAAGCTAGGTCGTCGCTAGCTGGATCCGTATCTTGTCGCGATTCATCAATTGCAAAGACAGGGCCGTGCCAGTGAGACGGGACCCTCAAAGGGTGATCGCGAGCTGTTAGCTCAAAGATTCGGCAGCGGGCACGACTCCTCTCGTCTTTGGACAATTTCCGATTCGGCCCCCGTTTTGTGCAATGAACCGGACCACCAGGATCATCCTCCTATCGATGCAAGGAAGACTCTGCCAGCAAAAAGGCTTCGCCGTTCGGTTGGAAGTCAGCAATGGACTTTAGTCCCCCTGTTCTGCCAGTGATGTAACTTCAAAGAGGGACTCCCTGGTAATTCGATATGGAGAATGCTCTCACTGTGATCTGTCTTCTGTTGCAGCAGAGCCTACGTGCCTCCTGGACGCGATCAATTCTGGTATCTGTGAAAGACCTGAGCTACCGAATAGAGCTATCATTTCACGTTAGCCATGACACGGCAGCAGCTATTCTCTTTCTTGCGTAATCAAATCGACGGCCGAGGAGCATTTCGTGCGATTCGGGTCGGCTCAGCGAAGCCCCACGTAGGCCCACAGGCTGGTTACAGCAGCAAGAATCTGGGCAAGGCAGGTCGGTGACCCCTCGTCGACGGGGAACTTGATGCACATATCCGTCCCCACGAGCTAATTAAGCGTCCCCTTTATTGCGCGTCGGTCCTGTTACGGCAGACCGTCGACGGTTACGCAGCAGTTTCGGACCGTATTGGCCATGGATGGGCATGAAGAGGTAGTAGCCGAAGGAGAAGTGCTGCAACGACCCGAATGTCTCCAGATGAGCACGTTGCCGAATAATTTCATCTGCTGGCCGGCTGTCGGCTTCAGCAAAGTGGTTGGTTAGAGTCCGTCTTGCTCAACGGCTGCCCGTTTCACCAACGCTTCTGCCAACCGTATGTGTAGCCAGTCGATTGGAACGATCTTGTTCTCTGATACTAACTGCATCGTGGATCCCTCAACTAGGATAACAAGATACTTGGGTCGTAGAGGCGCTCCAGGCCTAGCGCCACCCGTGCAGCAACGGCGCCTTAGCTTCAATTGTTCTAGGCACGCTAGTTTGACTTCTGGAAACAGCCTGGTCCTCGTAGGAAAGCCGCTGCGTATCGTCCATACGTGTCACTGTGCCCCTCGAGTATTTCGTACCGATGTACGGAGTAACGACTTGCTTGGGCCGTGAGACGGTGAGAACGGGTGACGGATGAATATTGCGGCAGTGGAGGTTGCGTCCTGTGTCTTCCGTTAGTTATTCTGATAGCATCGCGGGTACCAAGATGGAGACGGTTCGGTAGTGGGTGATCCCTTGATGCCACCTCAGACCACACAGTCTTACTCTCGATGGCAGGGTTAGCTCCTTCAAGCTGTGACCAGCTCAAGCAATAACCATCGACTATTGAGATGCTCACTTCAACCTACGAATACGTACGGATACCTGGGTGCAGGGTGAGCGGGAGAAGAAGGGTTCAGCCAGACCAAGTAGGCCGTAGGGGTCCTATTGGGACTCTGGCTTTTGAATTCTTCAGTAAGATTTCGGCTCCCAGGTCCTTCCATGCCACGTGCCGTGGCTGGTAGTGCAGAGCGGGCGGTCGACCCCGGTGTTCCCCCTGCCAATCGAGCCATTTTTGACGGTCCTTTCAAAGCACGAAGGTCAAATATCCCAACGGCATGGGAAACGAGATGGGCCTGATCAGTCGTGTCTGTCGCCATCTCGTGGCGGAGAATGCTTGCCCCGGGGTTGTGCTAGATTCTGTTGGATTCTACGGCGTGTCTCCGTACGGGTACAGGAGGAAGCCGAAGCAGGCACATGCGGCATGTATCGCATCCCGCGTATCAACGAGGACTAGGCGACAAACCGGCCCTCAACACCCTCTTCTGTGGTTTGCGATCTAGTGCTTCACTGCCTGGAAGGGGGTGTTTAGCACAGCCATCGCAAGTTCATCAACACTACCGAGTGAAGAGAAATGTGCTGACGTAGACGGAGGTGAAGGGCCTCCAATAGGCGGCGTGTGTGCTTGGACGGACGGGAGCCATCAGGGATGATATCGAGAGGAGGGACGGGAAGACCCAATCGAAATGGAGGGACTGGGTAACCCAATGACGACCGAGGTTTGCAGAGTGTTTTGGCTGACGACGATGGTTCCTGAGCCGAGGCGGTTGAGCACTTCTTTCTGTTTCGAAGCGGGTGGTGGCAGAATGTGAGCCGCGAACCAAGTTGGCAGCGGTCAATGCTAGCAGTATCCGTCGTCTCGTGGACGATGGGTGATTGGATTCTCTGGCGGTGGGTGTTTGTCGTCGGCGCAATGAGGCAAACCTGTCGACACTTGGCTCCTAGCCATGATCGTGAATAAGAACAGAGTCGTAGTGCAGTGGGATCCCTTGTCTTGTGCAACAGAATGAGAGGGGGTGGGGCTCCCTACGAGGAGGGAGGAGAGGGGCTCTGGAGTGTCCGAATTTTATGAAGCGGTGTCCCAGATTTCCAAGTATCGACGGCTTCATTTTGATCAACCCCCAATTCAGGACGCCACGACCGATGGTGGATGGATTGGTATTGGAATGGGGGTAAGAAGAAGAAGACGACGGTGGTGGGTGGGATATGTTGCAAGCCAGGGTCCAAAAAGGAAGAGCGAAAAAAGAGCACCACCTGGCACCAAGAGAGTGAGAGGAAGGAACCCAGACGGCCGTTTCCTTCCATTTGAAGAGACCCACTTGCTGGGTTCAAGGAAGGAACTTTGGACCGGGGCAGGAAGAACACCCATTTTCTCGAACCGGGGTCCATTGCCAGGGCAGTTCGGCAGGGAAGGGGCTGTGGAAAGAGGCCGGCTCGGGGGCTCCCTGGTCCTGCTGGAGCTGTGCGACTGGCTGAGAATGGCAGGCGTGGAAATTCGAACCTGCCATCCGGCGGCCCAAAGCCCTGGCCGGTGGAGGCCATTGAGTCGCGGGTACATGATCACACGCAGAGTAAGGCTTGCAGAGGGAGATACCTCCCTGGCGGGGCAGGATTAACTTGTCGAGTAGGTACTTTCCAAGGTAAGGTCCGAAGCATGGAGGAGCAGGAGGCAGGAGCAGCATTACCCGTAGGAGCAGGAACAAGTGTCAAGACGGCCCGGTCC